TGAAGCTACATTATTGAACACCAGTGCTAGATAACCATAGAGCTCCGTTCTATGTTGACTGTAGCATGAGAGATCATATTGATTTTCTCCCTTGCTTGGCGGCCTGGCAGTTCACACCAGATAGGCTGAATATATTTGTGTCTCTTTCCATAAAGATACAGCTTTAGTTTCAGAAGCCTCTGGGAGACTGAGCACAAATTGTAGATATGTCTACTGGACCAAATTTGTGAGGGTGCTCCCAAGAAAAAAATCAGGAAAAGGGTTAAAAGAATTTTTTGGTTACACAGAATATTATTCAGGAATGAATTATACAGCAAATATATAATGAAATTAACTATTCCTTATTTGTTTTCTATTTAAATGAAAGCAAGAACAATTCTTTTCATTTAGTTTACATGTTACATTAAGAATCTTGAAATGAAAGCTAGCGATAAATTGATAAAACTCAAGATAATAGATTAATCTATATTCCCTACTAGCTTCTGTGAAACAGACTATAATAAGTTTAGCAAGCAACAAACCATGCAGTCAGCCCTACAGGGCTAGCCCATTAATTGACACAAGGTTGATAAATGGCTTTAGATTGTGTTGTCCCTTGTAAGCAGAGCTACTTGCATATGAAATTTGGACGAGTCCATTTCAAGATAGGGGAGTTCTTTGTTTGCCAGCACAGGCTGAGAGGTGTAATCTTTACCTTAGCACAGAGTAGCGAGGATTTTTCTCAGGTAATGTATAGAGGGGAAAAAAATAAATCGAACTTACAAAGCGTTCTGTGTGTTGGAAATGAGTGGCGGTATACAGTGGAGTATCCTGTTTCTCAGAGCCCGATCTTAGTCGAGAGATATTTTCGGAATTCTGTAAAGAAGGGATTGAGGTGGCTTGTTTGAATAGTGACTGTATCGCATAAAAAAGAAGTCCCTTCATAGAAAAGCAAAAGAATAGGAGGTAATTTTATTAACAATTTTTTTTCCAAAAAAAAGGAAAGAAAGAAAAAAAGAAAAGAAGGGAGAGAAAAGTTTTATATTTAAAAATATTTAAAAGTCATTTTCAGTAATTGTTTATCAATGTAAATTTTGTTTTTTAAAAAAAGATAAACGGTTATTATGTAAACAGAGAAAATTTGTTTACAGTGTGTGTTCTATTTTGATTTATGCTATGGTTTAGAGGGGATTTCCTGATTGTATTCAGAGGGCACCTGTCAAAGGTATTAATAAGATTGGTCAGTTCTTTGTTGTGCTGGGCACATGACTAGAATTCCAGCTGTTGTTTTACCATGTGGATGGGGATTATATTGATTTGTTTCTTACTTTGTGATGTAAAAGTGACATTTTTTTTCTCTGATTTAATAAAAGAAAAAATGAAATAAGGATATTAATGGTGGATATTAATTTCTTTTTCATTCTGCCCTTTCATGTATTTAAGCATATTTGCATATTACTTAATTTTTTTTACATTCTCTTTAAATTAAAAAATGGTGATGCAGAAATATTTGATAATTGTTTTATTTTGATATTTGACATTTTGCAATTTTAAGAGAGATTTTATTGCACTCTTGTAAATGCTAGCACTTGCTTGAATTTACAGTCTTCTAGTAAGAAGATAAGAGGGATTTGTTCTAAGGATAACTGATAATTGTTGTCATCTTCATCCTTAATTACAATACTAAAGACTGTCTAGTCTGCCATGTAATGACTTCACTCTTCCTGTGACCCTAAGTACTTTGGTTATAAGTGAACCCCTTCAACTTGTGAAAACAATGCATTTTAATATATTTCCTCCTTTTTTTTTTATTTAAACAATTTAGTTGCTACATGTATTTATAGTATTTGAAGTGATGAAAAAGAATGATTTTTTTTTTTTTGAAATTTCAGATGAAAAAGTTAATATGAGATGCATTCAATACAAAAGTTTGATTTATAGGTGGAGGAAAGGGGGGTAACTAGGCACTTCTTTTCAGCAATTTAGAATGGTTTTAAAATGAATTTATAAATAAGAAAAGGTTCACTTAGGGCCTTTTTTGGCCCTGTGAATTTCAGAAAAATTGAAACTGCTTGGTTTTAATTAACAATGCATTAAATATCATTTAGACCTTTGGTGACTGCGTATCTATCAAAAATGACGTAATTTTCTGGCTAGTCAATGCATTATGACATCATGAAATGCGTCATTTTCCTCATATCCTGAAAAATTCTACAAAAACAGTAAATTTTTAACGCTATTTTTCGATATTTAATATAGAGCGCAACCTCTGATCTAAAATATGCAACTATTAAATGATAGAACTATTTCTGAGGATTACAAAACATGTTTTATTTTTTAGATCAGAGGGTGCGCTCATATTATTTCTCTTCTGTGAAAGTATTCAAATATACTTGTTTTCTTTAAAATTCAAGAACATTGCAATTCCATGAAGCCTGTTTTCCAAAACCTTTGCTTTAAGAAGAAAATTTTTAATAGGAAATGAAAGCACTGAGTCTCTACTTTATCTTGATGTTTAAAATGGGACATAAAGTGTTAGTCAAAAAATTGGTATATCTACAGGGCCATTTTATATATAAAGTGAACCTTGCTCTTTAGAGAGAATTGTAATTAGTATTGGATTATTTATGTGCTCTAAAATATTATTAAATTTTGACACACTTTTCTGTGATTTACCACACTTACCAGATACTGTATACTATTCTTTATATTGTTCATCAATTCTAAACTATTCAGCTCAACATTATTTCAAATATGAAAATTGAAGCAATTGTTATTTGAAAGGGATAATATTTACACACTTTTTCAAAGCTTAAATTTAAAAAAAAAAAAAAAAGATTATACAAGTATGTCAACTTCATATTAAGAAACTTCAGAATCGGGGGGGGGGGGGGGGGGGGGGGGGGGGGGGGGGGGGGGGCTAGCTAAAACAATCTGTAGTCATCTGTCTTGTAGGTGTGAGAAACATTGCTAAATTCCACTTTACCAAAAATTCTGATGTTTCAAAAAGATTACACATTTTTCAAAGTAAAACAAACCTTAATATACATAATGAAGGGAGTACATCTAAATATATTAATATGGAATAAATTTGTGACATAAAAAGTATTCCTGATCAACAAGTCAAAGTCTGCATCACAAATCCTAAAATAAATATGCTTGTTGGCATACATGTGATTGTCCTGAGGACATTCACTCAGAAATTAGTCTTCAAGACTTCATTATGTCCCCCATCTGTCCATGTTTGAAATACATAAGAAAAAAAATATTATTCTGATCCAAATAAAAGTTTGATTATATGGAATTAGATGAAATTTTTTCAGTAAAGAAGATTTTGTGAACTTATAAATGAAGTAAAATGGATTACATATGGTAGAACAAAATATTTCATGTAAAATCTTTGATGTTGGATTTAGTATCCGTTAATTTCAAATGATGTTTTCCGAATGTTTCATATCAAAAATGATTAAACAAGGGCACCTGCCTCAGAGTGTTTTTGTCTTTTTTGATCATGTATAAAATACTTTTAAAACTTGAAATGATCTATGTAAATCTTCTAGCAAGCCCAGACTTTAAATTGCTTGTTCTACCTGGATGAACAACCACAGGTAAATGCTTGCTTTAAAACTTGAATTCAGAGTTTCAAGGCATGCAGTGTAATGTGTTGTGTTACTGGGATCTGATTATAGTCTGTTTCTGCTTGACCAATTCAGACAAAATTTGGTGAAACTATTTCCTGCTTGTAATCAGTTGGTGGTGAACTAAGTCAAATGGGTACATATCTGATTCTGTTTCTTTGATTTCAGTGCTTGGAATTTTTATATAAGGTGGATCAGCTAACATTTATTTGGATATATGTAATTTTTTTCAGGGTTGTTGTAAGGAGTTGTTGTTCCTTCAGTGGAAATTTTGCTGCGACAAAATGAAAATTTTATATTTTTGCTTGAATTCAAACCTGGGAGTTTCATTTATAAATCTAAAAACATTAAGTTAACTGTGTACATTATTTGCAAAAGATCATTTGGCAGAAAAAAATTGTTTTTTTTTTAATGGTATAACATTTTTGTGTTTTCAAAGGTATAATCTGACTTGTTCCGTCTTTAAAAAAATGTTTATGTTCAACTCTAAATAAAACAAGGAAAATAAAATAAAAAATCCTCAAGAAATGGGCTAAACACTAATATAAATAGAAAATGCAGGGAAATCTGTTTTCAGGAGCTGTTTTTGATTTATTTTTTTTTTAACAAAATTTTTTTTTTCAAGATCTCTTGAGCTATAAAGATGTAACAATTTTGATTGTATTTTACAGGATCTCTCAGGCTGTAATTATGTAACAATTTGAAGGTACTTTTTTACAGGATTGCAGGATGTGATGATGTAACAATTTTGATGTACATAATCTTTTCAGGCTTTGATTGTTATAATTATGATCTTAAAAAAACAAAAAACAAAACAAATTAGAATTGTTACATCCTGTAAAATATGAATAAAATTGTTAAATCATTACAGCCAGAGAGATCCTTAAAAATGTCATTAAATTGCTACACCAGTTTAGCCTGAGAGATCCTGTAAAATACAAATTGTATATCATTACAGTATGAGAGATTATGTAATATACAAAGATCTCTCAAGCTGTTATAACAAATGGATTATAATTTACAGGATCTCTTAGGCTGTGATGATGTAACAATTTTGCTTAAATTTTACAGGATCTCTCAGACTGTGACAATATAACTTGATATTTTTTACAGGAACTCTTACACTGAACATTATAACAGAATTTGTCTTATACAGGATCTCTCAGACAGTGATGATCTAACAATTTTGATGTATTTTACAGGATCTCAGACTCTTAGGCTGTGACGATAATATAACAATGAATTTACAGGAACTCTTACACCGTTCTAGCAATTTCAATTTGTTTTATATAGGATCTCTCAGGCTATGATTATGTAACAATAAAGTTATATTTTATAGGATCTCTAAGGCTGTTATGTAACAATTTTGATTGTATTTTACAGGATCTCTCAGGCTGTGATGATGTAACATCATGTGACAATAACTCCCAGGGATTACCTACCTCAAACTCGCCACATCCCTCCATTTCATCACTGAGGCCTATCCCCTCTCCAGTAGGATCATCAGGCTCAAGATCAAACACTCCCGCTTCACTGCCAGGTAATATCATTCGAACATTCCTGACAATGGATAAGTCACTTTACGTGCAACCTATATAGAGCTACATAATGTTTCCTTTTCAATCTTGCTAGTTATTTTTATACAGTGTGTATGTACTCAGCCTCACTAAAGGGTCAAAAAAGCTTCTAGTGCATGCTTAACATTTGAGTATGGGAGCTCCGTAGTGCAGAAGTACAATTGTGTGCTTGTGAATAGTATTTGTGAAGTGTCTAAGTAGTAGTGTTTGACTTGTCAGATTAAGTAACAACACTACAATATCTGTGGAAAAAATGAGTTTTTCTTTCTCTTGATGGTCATGTTTTATTCCTTCAGGACGGTTGTTTTGTCTTGATTTAAGAACCCTCTATACACTGCACACTAGAGAGTTCTGATTTTGTGTTATTTTTATGCGGATAGAGTGATCTGCCCTTTGATCAAGAATAAAATAAATTGAAATGAACAGTTTATTACTTAATTTGCGATCAAATCAAGCATTCATAACACTTTAATAGGCCAAGATGAATAGATAGAACACTTCATGTGCAGGTATTTTGCCCACTTAAGTAAACAACAGAGATTTATGCTCATCAGTACTTCATTGTCTTTGAACATTTTTCCTGGGGGTAAATGCAAGGCACCCTATGCTCAAAATGTGATAGATGAGCTCAATACTTACACCTTTACACACTATAATTTTCTCAATGTCCAAAAAATATTTTCCTCTAGTGTATAGAGGGTCCTTAATTTTTTTCCCTCTATTTTAATTTTCATTATTGAACCAAAAAAGTCCAGTGAATGGGACTAAAATTCTTAGAATATACGTATTTTGGGTTTGTTGATGTTTGTTAATGAACATAAATGAAATATGAAATATGTGACTGCTTCATTGAACTGAGTTTTATGTCTATACATATGAGTGGGAAATATACATATATTTGGGTTAGAGATAAGGATCCTTCCAGTTGTACTGGGGGGTGAAGATAAGGACACAAACATGAAAGACAATGCTATCCTGATGACAGAGTTTAGGAAATTGATAGGAGACTGTCGGCTAAGTATTTATAAAAACACTTCCGTGTATTGAGGAAATTTAATATTTTGGCACAGATAGATCCAGTTACTCGGTGTAGGTGTGGATTCAATTGTTTGTAAGTCAAGTAGCATTAAAAGTCACTGTGTCAGAAAAAAAGTCTCAAGTCACAATGGGTGATTTATTTACTGTGCTGGATAACTCCAAGACAAGTGACCTTGGGGCATTGTTCACAGAGCTGTGAATGCATTGAAGTGTGCAATAGAATTCCTTTGTATCATTTGTCTGATTGGCCAATGCTAAAGTGCACCTGTTCACCTGTATCAGTGGAACACAGGTCAGGGTAGACATTATACCTATGTTTAATGAGCATTTAATCCTTTGATTTCTCCCTTCTCTATTGTTCTCCAGACAGGTAAATTCCATTCATGCTCAGCTGAGGCTTTCAGTCTTGGTTTTCCCCTGAAACTAAAAATAACCCACTATCACTGCCAGCAACTAAAAGGTCAGAGGTTATGTTGACATCTGGAAAGCTATAATGACTTAGTGTGGAAGATTTATTGCCTTGTCTGAGGAGTGACTTACCTAATGCTAATAAAACTGATAGGATTATACAGAAGCCAATATTGGGCCAGTGCATTTAACAGTGATGTATTGCAGAAGCTCATAAAAATGGATGTTTTTTAAGAAAGCTGGAAAATGCCATCCTCGAGTTAATTGCTACTTGGGGAGAGTGCCGCTCTTTGATGGAGATTACAGATATGCACTTAAAACAAGTTCAACAGATTCAGAAGAATGGAAGTGTATCAGATTAATTGTTTGTAAATAATGCAGCCTTGAAAAGGAAAATAAAAAAAAGAAATGCTTATGAATTAGAATTGCTACTTTACAAATAATTATGGCAAAGTACATTTGTAAGAGAATTGAAAGATGGCCCCAAGTGCAATTTGACTGAAGTTTTACTTTGAAAGCAAATGTTACTGTAAACATAAAGCAAGCTTGGTCATAAAAGAAAGTTTGCAATGATTTTGTCTAAAATTCATTGCTACTATACATGTCATAGGGGTAAGATAAAAATTCACATTTATTAAGATAAAAACTTCAAAGTATTGAACAGGTTATAGTTGAATAAAAAATGTTTTGGAATTTATTTTTTTTGTTGGTCTGAATTACATTGATTAATTTCCCAAAGTGCCAAAGATAATCCAAAGTCATTATGACAAGGATTCCATTTCAAGTTTGCTAAAAGTGATTAAGAGCTGAATACAGTGTCTCATTTTTACACCTTTTACCAATATGTATCGGGAAAGGAGAAAATGTATGGCTGCACCAGGCATCGAACCCGGGACCCCAACATCACTAGTCAGGTGCTCTACCAACTGAGCTACCTAGGCAGATATTCACAGACCAAACCATTACATATATATACCAATTACTTTCTGCTTCTTTACATGACTCTCTGAGGACTAGCAGGGCTCTAATCATTGTAGAAATAAGATAAAATATACTATATCTGGAAATGTCTTTTATGCTTTAAATATGGACAATGCTTGAACTTTATCTGCAGAACCACTTCTCATATTCTCCACATTTTTCTAGACAAGATAGAGTTCCAAGTTGTTATTGCCAATCTATGGATAATGTATGTGATGTATATTTACTTTTTCCAGGGAATCAGGCAGGCAGTCCTATGCCCCCTCGCCCTCCCTCACAACATGAGAGTAATCCAACATCTAGGATGACCCAGTCACCCATGGCTACTAGTAAGTAAACCATCCAAACATTTGAATAAATTTTTCATGCAGTCTAATCTAAGGAAGTAATGAACCATATTTAAAGATGTAGTTTTAAATGCAGATATAAAATATCCTCACCCCCCCCCCCCCCCCCCAAAAAAAAATGATGCACAAATGTGTCAAAAATCAAGAATACATGTGTCAGCATACATATCATATTTGATTGAAAAAACATTTTGTTGGTCCTTATTTGAAGAAAGATTTTCTGAGGTTCTAATTAAACATTTTGTTTTTGTAGGTTATAATCAACAAATGATGCCCCCTCCCATGGGTCCAAATCAAGTGAATTATGGGCCAGGCATGGGCAAGATGCCAGGGAACATGCCTGGACCAATGAATCAGGGGTTCTCCCAATATAATTCCCATTATCCACAAGGTATGTACTTACGGAGAAATATTGCTAAGGGGTGTAGATAGTGCTCATTTTAGTAGAGAAAAAAACATCATTATATTGTACAATAACTGCATCTAGACTAAAGAAAAACTATATGCTATAGATTGATAATATTCATCATATGGGAGTTGAAATTCAGGATGCTTTTCTAAGGCATGTGAATTTAGAGCAACTGAATGCTATTTCTGTATTTGTAGGTAACTATTCAAGTCGACCAGGAATGCCCCCTGGTGGTGCAGTGATGCAAAATTACCCCATGTACAATGGTCCCACCCCAGGAGCACCTAGTGCAGGTGCCCCAAATATGTACAATAATATGCCTGTGAACAGAAATTCAAGTTACAATCCATATGGAGGACAGAATAATATGATGAGTGGTATGAATAATTATAACGCTGGAATGCCTGAAATGGCAAATGGACCAAGACCTCCGACCCCTGGAACGCCAGGGTCAGGGGGATCCTCCTCCAAAAGTGCTAAGGCCGCAGCACAAGCTGCATTGATGGCAGCAGCAAATCAGCAAAGGTCACAACAGCCGAGTGGTCGCTCAAACATACCTCCACCCTCCCAGATGATGTATGGACAGGGTGGACCCCACCCGGGTTATCCGGGAGGGATGACAAACTCTCATTCTCCAGTGCCTAATTCTCTAGGACCCAATTCTAATATGCCAAATTCTAGTAGTGCACCCAATATGGCAGACTCTTCTACCCATAATTCCCTGCCTCCTTCTCAGGAGAGTAGTAATCCTCAATCAAATGGCCCGCCATCAAATTCCTTCGGATCCCCGTCATCTGTGTCATCAACCAATGAAAAAATGCCTTCACAACAAAACATCCCTCCATCTAAAAAGCAAAATATGCAACGAGACTCCAGTATATCATCCGGCTCAAATGACAATGTGACATCATCATCAGAAATGACTGCTAATAATAATAATGACAGTAGTGTACCGCCTCAGTCTGGATCCATGGACTCTAAAGAACCACAGTCAGGGACTCCTCCCAATCAGGGGCTACCCTCAGAGAGTTTGGGGGCTGACAGCAATATGTCCTCTCTGACGGACACTTCGTCCCAAGGAGGGGACATGTCTTGTCATGAGCAGAAGGATGTAGAGATGCCTAGCATACCTGACCAGAGTAACTTGCCACCTAATGCAATGAAGCAGGAATTACCCATCACAACTACAGCAACTACAAATGCCATGGGTAAGATTCAAAGGGGGATGACTTCTTCAAAGGTTTAAGAATTGTGGAATAAATGAGTGAAAATATTAATGTTGGCAAGTTTCTATCAGATGTATCATTTTCCTTTGGTAAATTTTGTGAAAATTTCATCACCTGTTATTATGAACAAATTGCAATAGAAAGAAATAGGTGAAAAGAAAGTAGCTAAGAAGATTAAATCTTTTCTTAGACAAAAACATAGTGACCCAGGTGAACACTTGTCCGGTGATGAGCACCACAGCAGAAGTGTCCAGCGACGGACACCCCCACATTCCGGCCATACCCCAGCAACAACAGCCTGCACCACCCAACCCAATGCCCCCACTAGAGGAAGTAGTCCCAGACAAAAAAAAGAAAGTAAGTCTGGCTGTTTACAATTATCTCTGTGTTACATCATTCAAGTAAACCAATCATTTGGCTTCTTATTTCATTTTTCTATAGAAAATGTCAATTTGAATTTTGATTTGCATGGATTATTACCTCAATTTTTTTATTATTATTGGATTATGTTTGATTTTTTAATTTTTTTTTTTAATTTTTTTTTTTTGTTTTCAATGGAACTGTTAAACCAGACTTTGAATTCAATTGAAAAATCAAGAATGATTGGTTTTGACCTCATTATGTGTGCTTTAAGCAACATGGTTGTGGCTGAAGTTTTCTTTCCTGTTCTCCAATTGGTCTAACTCTATTTCATCTGCTAATACCAGAATTTGCACTTCAGTTTTGGATGGGCCCGGTTAAAGGCAGATTTACCCTCTGATTTGTTAGCTTATGTGCTATAGTTGTGGAATTTTGTTTTACGAAAGTCAATAAAGACTTGCCCTTACTTTGACAGAACGAAAAACCATTTTCAGCTTAATTCCCACATGCTTCTTATAATCATGCCTGATTTTTTTTTTTTTTTTTTTTTTGAAAGTATTGAAATATTCAAATAATTTATAAGGGCTATTCCAGTAAAAATTATGTGAAGGGGTGGAATGCCACTGACATTTAGCCCCCCCCCCCCTTTAAATTTTTATCACAAAGCACCAATAGAATTAAGAAAAAATGCAATAATATAGGTCTGATGTGAACAAGTACATTGTTTTGCTTTAGAAATAATCTTCTTCCTTTCCATGATAAGTGAATCTTTTACTTCTAAGACTTTTTAGAACAAGAAAAGTTTGGGGGGGGGGGGGGGTAATTGAAGGAATCTGGGTTGCTATCAGAATGACTAAGTTTAATATTTTTCTTTACAATTAATAAAAAAAAATCCCTTGTTATTATTTCTGACTAATTGAACTGCAGAAATAATATTATTTTATCATGTTTATAATCTCTAAAAGTGATTCCACATGTTTAGCACGAATTTTCTCTGGTTCAGATTACTGAAAGTTATTTCATTGTACCATTTATTGGTTGTTTATCATAAATACCAACACACAATAATTACTTTTTAAAGAAGAGTATAAAGTCATGTAACCAGAATCTCATAAGAAATTGTGGTCCAAGTCAAACAAAACGTTTACACAGCTTTAGGAAAGATAACTCTTATACCGAGATATCATTTACAGATGGGTAAAAAAAAGAAAACGAGAAGTCCGACTTGATTTCATCAAGAAGTGTGTTTCATTAGATTTCATAATAGTATAACTTAAATGTTGTGGGTCAAAGCTGGAGACAATTCCTGTCTCTCCCCACACCAACAGTAGTAAATCATGTACACCACCCTCAAGAATACAAAAAAAATACCCCCCACCCCCAACCAACAGAAAAAAAAAATGAAAATTGGAATTCCACCCCCCTCAGAAAATTTTAACTGTAATAGCCCTAAAAGTAGGGAATGAAACAAAAGCTCTACATTTTATAATAAGTTTGGAAAATAAATTTTGATTGTGATGGACACAAGGAAAAGAGGACAGGTAAAAATGGTAGTGTGTTCATTTGTAGGAGGGTGTAAGCTCACATCCACCTACCCCTGCTAGCTTGGTAGCCCCCTCCCCAGGGAGTGCCAGTGTTTCGTCCTATCACGAAGAGTTTGACAATATTACCAGCCCTCCCATTGGTTCTAACTGGGCTGGTAACCAGACAGTAAGTCACGTGCACAAAATGTGGGTGTGGTCATTTTTTGCTGTCATATATCTGTTGGGACTCTGGTCATTGTCTCTGTATTTGCATTGTATCCTGTTGCCAATTTCTCTTTCCTCGCCATTTTTGTTTTTGTATATATACTGCCTGGTTCGTGGTATTGTTTTATCATTTACCACACATCTTGCACTTAATATGAGCCTTTTTTATTTGTTGTGTCTCGGTATAAGTACTGCACAAGTATATCATTAAATAATTTGATAATAAGCATTATAATTACTTAGCTTTTATGCATACTAAACTAATATTTTGGATTACCATTTTATTCTAGGACATTGAAATTTGGATATTGATTTTGAGGAAAATGAATCACCTATTTGAAATGTTGTCTCTTGTATAGTATTTTCAAAGAGGTTAAATGTCTGTCACTTCTGTTGTTTTCTATTTCAAGTGTTGTGCCCTTCATTTTCTGTCAAGAAATTCATTTTAAGAAATTGTAATTGGGATGCTTATTGATGTCAGTAAGTTTTATTGAAGAAAACTAATTTAGATTTGCTTTGTTAATATATTGATTACTTAACAGCTTGGTTGTAGATATTTATACATTCATAGTGTAGTGGCATACAACTACCAGTGCACTCAGGAAAAAAAAAAAGATTTTGTCACTCTACTCAAAGTATTAGTGTATTTGTAACTAAGAAGATAAATAAAAACAGACAAAAATTTCAATATTTAAAATTTTTTTAAATTTTTTTCTGCATGTTTACTATTGTACTCCTGTCTATTATTTCAAATGTGGAGATTTATGAAAACTGATATATCAAATCATGTCCTCCTTTAATATTGTGAATAAACTTTAAAAACTGTTATTATAGCTCACCTTAAAGTACATGAATTTAGAATAGGTTCAATTCACAGTAATTTATATTGGTCATGCCAGGATTAGACTTGCAGTGATGATGAATCTAGGAATAATTTCTACAAGTCTCAGATGGTCAATGTTTTCAAATCAGGTCAAAATTCAACTGTTAGTCCAATATGGACCAAACATTCTAGATGATGCATCTAGGAATGTTTACTTAAAGGCATTCTACAGATTCTGCATCAACTGATGTATTCGTAATTATTGGTAAGGTGAAGGTTTTTTGAGCAGGTCACATTTCCAAAAAGTTATGAACCTTCCCTGAACCAAACTTGCATTGATGATGGTAGAAATGCAAAGCACTGGAGTCTTACTTCGGTTCTGTATATTTTAATTGTGAAGTTAAACAGTGATGATAAAACTACCTTTACATGATTTTTTTTAATTATTCGTTGCCATACTGTAGATTACATTTGCGGAGGTGAGCTGTGATATATATCTGATTACCTATATTTTTTTTAATTCTTGATATACTTTTGTTTATCTATTCTTCACTTATTCCCAAATTTATATTTATTTACCAAGGAACTAACTTTATGGTTTTTGAATCATTTTGTCTTTGTAGAAGGGAGGAGATGTGAACAAATTGTATGAAATGGGCAATGAACCAGAACGCCGGTATTTCCTGAATCGACTGTTGAGCTTTCTGGAGGAGAGAAATGCTCCACTTAACAACATGCCTTCTATAAGTAAACAGCCCTTGGACCTATATCGGCTTTATCTACATGTCCAAGAGAAGGGTGGAATGCTTGAGGTATATACTGGCAATTATTTGTTTAGGAAATCTAATCATGTATTCTGTTACTGCAAAAATTTATTGCATAGATGTTGTCCGTGTTCAGATTTTCTCTAAATGTGAAAATACTTGTCATTTTCCGTCAGGTAGGTTTACAAATAGATGTCTTCATTCTTATGAAAGTAAAAATATTGTTTGTTTTTTACAGGTTACAAAAGCAAAAAAGTGGAAAGAAATCTGTGGTCTTATAAATATTGGTAGTTCTGCCAGTGCTGCATTTACACTTAAGAAGAACTACATCAAATACCTCTTTCATTATGAGTGCCAGTTTGAGCGTGGTGGGATGGATCCTGGACCTATCCTTGCCAGCATGGAGGCTCAGCTGGCTCAGAAACGCGAGTCCAAGAAAAGTCGAGCACCCTCACCGGGTAAGAAGGATAAAGGTCGGAGATATTTTTAACTTTTCAATGTGTGGATGTTGTTGATGCTAATATAGGTAGGCTTGCTCTTTTTAACACTTACTTTTCCTTCTCTCTACTTCTCCCCCTTCTAGCCATTGTTTTCCTGTCTTAAGTTAAAGAAATAACCCCCCCCCTTCGATAAAGAAAATGAAAATAAAAAATAAAAAGAATCTTTGAAACAGAGAAACCAAACACAAAGGTTGTTTTGAACAGAGGGTGAATGGAACAACTGCACCATGGTTATTAGGACAAGGGTTGAGGAGTAAAATAATTGTCCATATTAATTTGTAATGGAATAACTTTATACAATTAAACTTGGCCTTAGGGATGATGATGATCATAAGATTTGTCATGACTTTGAACACAGTATTGTGGTGAGGTCAATGCCACAGGGCTCGGAAGTGTCAAATTTTGTAGGTCTTGGGAATGTAAAGTTCTAAGAGAGAAAACTATTGAAGTAGCATAAGGAGCTCTTGACACAGAGATTGGCTAGGGTCAAGAGGTCAATCAATTCTAACCATGGTTGTTTACATAAGGTCAAGGTCAAATGGGTGAGAATTTCTTATAGGCCCCTGTCTTTTTAATGTTAGGACTGTGAAAGATCATACTTTCATACTCCATACAAAAATGTGACTAGATGTGTTATAACCTTCATCCAATTAATATTAACAAAACTTGGCCACGGGACTTTGCATTTATTATTTTCTGTTGCAAGATGGCAAAGTTCTTTTTTTGGCTATTTAAAAGTATGCCCTTTCTTAAGTTGCACCACAGGGAGTAATTGTCTCATTAGGGCTTTTCTATTTCATATACCTTTTACACTCTTTGTAAATGTTGCCAATGTTTCTTGCCTGCTTTTGAATTTAATTGAGAGCCAAGTTAAATTGATGTCGTAAATTAAAGAAAAATGATACAATATGCCTGAGTTGTTGTTTAAAAAAAAGAATAATGAATGTTAGAAGTTATCAAATGTTTGGACTTGTTATTTTCAGCTGGATCTCAAGGTTCCCAAGATGCATTTAGACCACCAAGTAATTCCAATGCTAATCAGGGAATGGAGGGATTCCCAGGAAATATGCCTAATCAAGGCTTTGACCCCAACATGGGTCCCATGGGTATGCCAGGGATGATGCCTGGACAGGGACAAATGATGAACAACATGATGCCACCCAGTTCTATGGGTGGAATGGGCCATAATCAAATGATGCACCCAGGAATGATGGGTGGTAACTACAGCATGAGACCAGGCATGATGAATCCTAACATGATGCCTCATAATAACATGATGGGCATGCCTCCAAGTGGCAACATGGGCATGTCCCAGAACAATATGGGCATGCCTGGCAATAATATGGGTATACAAGGAGGTGGTATGAGGATGTCACATGGAAACAACATGGCCATGCCCAACAGCAGCATGGGAGGCATGCATTCTGGGAACAACATGCCTATGCCACCACAAAATAATATGGGCATGGGGCATGGCAATTCTATGGGAATGCCTCCAGGGAACAACATGGCTATGCCACCACAAAATAATATGGGCATGAGACCTGGAAGTAACATGGGAATGCAGCCATCTGGAAATCACATGCCCATGCCTTCATCAACAGGGAATATGCCTCCTTCGTCAACAAATCAAGTAGCACCACCTGTGAATGGTGATAGCATTAGCTGTCAGGACCCATTTGCAGATGATCTAAATAATAGTGGTTTTATGAATTCAAACCAACCAAATTCTCAAGGATCAAATTATTCTGGCATGCCACCCCATAGTAGTGCTGGAAACTTCAATAATAACAGCACCAATTTCAATAAACCAAATATCCCTCCCAGCAGTATGGCTCAAAATGTCCCTTCAAGCACTATGGGACAAACTCCAGCACCCAGTATACCATCTCAAAATAGCATGGGACCTAACATGATGCCAAGCATAGGACCCGGTGCTCCCCCATCTGGCACAATGATGCCAGGTTCTGGAACATCAAATGTACCAATGAACAGTATGGGACAACCTATGACCCCTAGCAGTATGTCACAGTCTATGCCTCCAAGTAGTTCAGGGCAGTCATTGCCTCCTACCAGCATGGGTCAATCAATGCCACCAAGTAGCACAATGCAATCCATGCCCCCTAGCAGCATGGGTCAGCAGGTTTCCCCCAACAGTGTCAGTCAGTCTTTGCCTCCAAACAGTATGGGACAGTCGGCTCCTGTCAGCTCTATGGATCAATCTATGGCAACCACAAGTGTTCCTCAGAACAGCGTTTTACCTAGTGTTATGACTCAGAACAATATGTCTCAAAATCTTCCAGCAAGTATATCACAGAGCCTGCCATCAAGTTCTGTGTCACAGACATTTAATAATATGAACCAGTGTGGCCCGTCTAGTAGCATGGGCCAGAATATGCCTCCTATCTCTTCTTCACAAATTTTTCAGCCAAATATGGAGAACTCAATGCCAAACTTGTCACAGGATTCCTCCATACCATTTTCCAATTATCAGTCCAATAACTCGCAAGATGGTGACCTTTCCCAGGGCTCCACATCCAACATGAGCACACATTCAATGTCCTCTGGGCGGAATTTTCCATTTGGTGAAAATCAGTTCAATAAGCCAGAAAGGTATACATATCATTCAGCATGGATGAGTTTCATTAACCTGAGAACAAAAAAAAAAAATCTATGTAATTGTATCAGAAAATATGACTGAAAATATGACAGAATTTATAACTATTTTGTATCTAATGGGAAAAAAAAAAATGATGGATGCAGAAATTCTATAGTTTTTTCATTTAAAGATATTTATCATTTGCAAATTGTCAACATTAACAGAGGTATTGTAAAGAAATATTTCTTTATGAAGAATTTTTTTTACCAATTTCAGGTTTGATTCTCCAAACCCTGTGCAATCTGTCACGCCCACACCAACCCCTCCCCCTCAACGCCAGCCTACACCACAGTCATCCACTCCATTACAGCAACCACCACAACCGCCACAAGATGCCACATTTCCACCAAACAGATATGGAAATCAGCCTCCTTCTGTGATGCCCCAGGGTACACAGCCACATGTAGGTGGTCCCCCTCATGATCCATATCATCAGAACTTCCCTCATCAGCAAGGATATTCCACCCCCAACAAAATGATGACAGGGCCCCAGGACCAGTATGGAGGTTATCCCTCTCAGTATCAGAATTATCCTGGCCAGAGACCAGCCATGAGGAATGATATGAATATGGGAATGTATGGCACTCCTAATAAACGGTTTCCAGACCAATACCCTAACCAAGGTGAGGAATTTGGAGATTCATGTGAATACGTTGTCCCTGAAGGCGTAGGTGTGGTTTTGAATTTGTGTTTGGTCTACTGTCAATTTATTAGATCACTAAATCAATTTTCCCCTACAAAAAATGTCTTTACTTCATGCTAAAATAATTTTATGAATTCCAAATTTGACAATTTTTATTTTAAAGCAATACAAATTTTGAATCAATGGCTGACAATTTTGACTGATTTGTTGACAGCTGGCTATAACTCGCAGCCACCTCCTTCCTCAGGGTACGCCTCCCTGCCTTGTAACACACAGTCCTCTGCTTATAACTCCTCAGGGATGATGGGCTATAACGCCCCACCATCATCGTACACTGATGGGTCCCATCAAAGTTCTTATTATAATAACCAGCCTTCATCGTATGGAGACGGTTCTTATCACAGGGACGGTATGGGCTATGATTCACAGGGTAGGCACAATATATAGTAGAGTAGAAAAACTTTTTTACTAAAATAACATTTTTTTTTTCTTTTTTGTTCTTTTTACCCCTTTCCTTGTGTGAAATGTAAATACTTTCATTTTGATTAAATACTTTCATTTTGGCCTGTTTAATACTAACTTTGACATAAAAATTTTCTTATAGTCACTTTTAGCTGGTATGCTCCTCTTTCATATTGATTAAACCCTAAGTAAATGGTGAGAGTTGTCCAAAACTTTCATAGGCACTGAATCTGCTCTGGCTGTAGATGTTGAAATGAACTTTAGTGTAGTTTTTTTCCGCTGTCAACTTCATTTAGCCAAACTATCATTAGTAAATGCATCTTAGAATAAATATTTTTAAAACCCTGCTGTACATTTGATTACCAGATGAGTAATTGAATGTTTATCTATGGGAACTGAAATAAAAACTATGGATTGATTAACTTATTTGGACATACACTGGATTTGTCAAATTTTCTAATAGAATAATGATCAAATTGGTTAAATTGCATCTTACTGAAAGTCAAGAAATGTGAAAATTCCTTTTATTTATGAGCAATGTTTGATGATTCTTATTTGAAAAAGTTAAGTAGGAATATGCAGAGTGAAATTTCAATAATGATTGATACTGACAACTTGCCTTTCCACACCATTATATGTAATTCTCTGCTCACCTTACCATAAACCCTTTTCCACATCATTGTTTAAAATGCTTTGTATTTCCTTCAGTAAAGTAGATTTATATAGAGGTTAACCATAAACATGGAAATTTATTTATGGGAATAACAGGAAACTTTCATTCATCAGATAAATTACTTGAAATGATGAGCCTTTTGATTTGTCTTGTTTATGGAAGGGGCGGGGGCATAAATGTAATTTATAAACCTATAACCCACAAGTATTCTGCTTCAGAGTTGCTCATTGGAATTTTCATTTGTTTTCATTTATTTAAAATTTGTTCTTTAAAAGCATTCTGGATTTTGAATTCCTTCTTGTAGATTCTAGACCCAATAATCAGTGGTCACCAATGCCAAGGTATAGCCATGGCCACCATAACATGGGAATGAGCCCCGCCCCCAATATACCACCCCACATGGCACCATTCAACAGGACCCACAGGATGTCTCCTACCCCTAGTCACAAAGCAGGACCCTACATGTCACCTCCCAAAATGGTAAAAGTCATCATCTGTTGAAATTTTCTTAAAGTGAAAAATGTTCCTAGACTTATTTTAAATGAAATATTTTCATTTATATTCATTTGTTGAATAACAGTGCATTTTGTTACAGAAGATGCCCCCAAATCAAATTCCTAAGAAGGAAATTCCATTCCCGCATGACAGTGTAGAGGCGACAACACCTAATTACTTCAAAAGGCGACGTTTGACACGATCTGATGTTGGTATGTTGCATGTTCCACTCAGCTGTTTTCACATGTTCATCACCTGTTTAATGTTTCATACGCACATAAATTTTTAGCATTGTTATTTGACATGTAAATCATCATGCTGACAGTCAAACAAAAATTACTTCTGTGTTTTAAATGCATTTTGTATCTTAGTACTGATATAACATGATCTGTTGTATTAAGTGAGATTAATCCCTTGTTATCCCCCCTTTTTTCCATGAATGGATGTAAGTTTTGTTTGGCCATCAGACTATTCCTCACAAATAGGCACATACATGAATATATGTCTGTTTTAGAATTGTTTCTTTTGAAAACATTAAAAAGAAATTGTAATTTTTATGTAACATTAAAGTGTGACATGATTTTGATATTTTTTAACAACACATGATTTGTCAAAATGTCAGTGTTGATTTTGAAGATTCTAACATTTACAATGTTCTGTAATAAATCAGTATTGACTGCCAAATTTATTTTGCTAGATAACAGTATCTCTAAATTGGATGTACCCTGCCTAAAAGTTTTAGTTTAGATTTAAGCTTTTAATATTCAGTCAGGTGACTTGCATAAATCTCATTTGGTGTACTTGCTTGAATGTCCCAGTTTATTAAAATTTAAATTCTTTGTTAAAGATTTATGCAGGGACATCATAAATTTGCATGAAATTTTAAGGAAAAAAAATCCTTGTTTGGAAAATTTTTGTTGGGAAAAAAAGTAAAATGCCTGATTATGCTTTTGGACTGTATATAAAACAATGTTCTGTTTTATTCAAGCATTCCAAGATTTATAAGTACCTGGAACTCGAGCAAGTACACTTGTAAGGTATCACAGTTTCCCCATCTCGTAGTTAGAGCTTCCTAATCGTTACGCAGGGCTTGAAATTCAGTTGGAACGAGACTTATTAGCTTCAAATTTGTGTTTGAATCATTTACATTTTCCCCCATGATGCATCATAAGCTTGTGTAAATTTGTCGATATTTTTTTTTTATTGCAATATTTTGATGTTATTGGTCTCATTGGCCAGAACAATTATTTTTTGTTCCAGTGTATGTGATTTAGTTTAAATATTGTGCTTCTGTTTTTAAGCCCTGTTTGTGTTGTAATAAATTGTAATGCTTCAAACATCCAAGATATAATCCAGATTATTCTTGTTCTAACAAAGATAACTCGTGTGTCAAGCTTTTTCTCTTCTATACATATATATCCAAGTGTTTTAACATAGTGTGGTTTAACCCAATATATTTATTAATGATTAATTGTAACGATCAGATATTTTCAGTGTGATTTTATCGAGATCCAATAACCATTGCTATAATGTAAAGTTTTCAGTTTAGTTTTGCACACACTTTTGTTGGCAATGCAGATCACAAGCATTTTTTTTTTTAAAAATTGATTTTTTTTAACTATCCATGTTGGTTGTTTAACTAGTTATGGACATGCATGCTTTATGTTGTTATTATCAAGATATCTGTATCTAACGATGTCGTGTATTTTTCCAGGTCCAATAGAGGCATGGAGGGTGATGATGGGACTGAAGTCTGGCTTGTTAGCCGAGAGCACCTGGGCTTTAGATACGCTTAACATTCTACTATATGATGATGCCACTGTACAGTACTTCAATCTAGCTCATCTGCCGGGAATGCTAGAAATTCTGTTAGAACACTTTAGGAAATCTCTGATCTCAATCTTTGGTGATATGTTTGAAGAAATGGAAAAAATGTCGGATGAAGCTGATGAAATTCCCAATAAAAGCATGCTCAATGTCGACATGGAGGAAAAAGTGACAGTCAAGGATGAGGACTTTACAAATTATACGTTGGTTTCTAGGAAAGGATTGGAAGTGAAAATGGAAGACACAAACAGCAAAGACATAAGTCCACTAGACAATAAAGAGTGGGACATCTACTCGGGATACAGCTATAAGTATGGGCATTGGCAATTAGGAGGAGGTGATCTAAGTTCACATATTGTGCCATGTTTTGGAAGTTCATATGAGAGTGAAGTGTTCAGGAAGATGTTTTTCAGACCACCAATGGAAGTGAAGGAAGAAATAAAAATTACAGAGGAGGAGAAAAATTCTATAAACGATGAAAAACCAAAAGACTCACAGCATGAGGAAGATGAGAAAGAACTCAATGATTTAAAGAAAGAATCAACTGACTCAATAAAAGTTAAAGAAGAAGAACCAATTAAGAACCATGTATTGAAAAAAGTGAAAATAAAAGAGGAACCAGTTGAAGAAGAAAAACAGGATATCAAAGAGGAAAAGGACAGTGATGATGAGAACAAAGAAAGTAATGGTTGTGATGAAAAAATGGATGATGCCATGGACGAAAAGGCTAATGTCAGTTTGGAAAGTGTGAAAACAGAACCCAGTTCTGATGAAAGTATGATCAAAGAAGAAAGTGACACTGATAAAAGTAACACAGAGAATGCCAGTATAAAACGCAAACGGGAACCGGAGCAGGAAGATGAAGCTTACCAAAAAGATGAGCCTCCACTTCGTCTCATCTCTGACATGCAGGAGGAACTGGGAAGAAGATGTGTATGTATATCCAACATTTTCAGAAGCTTGTCTTCAATTCCATCAAACCATTTAGAACTTTCCAAACATCCAGGACTGATGTATACACTAGGAAAATTACTTATGTTGAATCACCGACACCTACCTCGAAATACAACTCGTAAAAAGTTTGATCGTGATGACAGCGAGATGGAAGACATTACTGATAGTCATCTTCATCAGAACGATGAGGAGTGGTGGTGGGAATACTTCTCAATGCTGCGGGAAAACACACTTGTGATATTTGCAAATATTTGTGGACATTTGGAACTAAAGTACTATCCAGAAGAAATCTGTATGCCCATTTTGGATGGCTTATTACACTGGGCAGTTTGTCCGTCATCGTGTGCCACAGATCCTCTGCCATCTACAAGCACATCCGTCCTCTCTCCCCAGCGATTAGTTATGGAGGCACTCAGCAAGTTGTGCATTCATGAAACAAATGTTGACCTTCTACTGGCAACACCTCCATTTGATCGCATTGTGCAGTTATTTAGTATTCTGACCAAATTGTTAGCAAATAAGAGTGAACCTGTGACTTTAGAGTTTGCTCTTGTTCTTTTATCGTCTCTTGTACAAGGGGACACCAGCTCTGCACGAGCTGTAGCCATGCAGCATCCCTCCATCTCCTTACTTATAGACTTTCTAGAAACAGCAGAACACAAAGCAATGACTGTGGCCAATCACCACGGCATCAATGCTTTGAGGGATAACCCAGAAATCATGGGAACCAGTTTGGACATGCTCCGTCGAGCTGCAAACATACTTCTTCATCTGGCCTCGATTCCAGAAAACCGCCCTTTGTTCACTCAACATCAGCAAAGACTGCTTTCTCTTGTCATGTCTCAGATCCTGGATCAGTTTGTGGCACAAATTTTGTCTGATGTTCTATTTCAGTGCTTTCAAGGTGAATTACCTAGTAGCTAGTACATGTTTGTTATCCAAAATTGACTATGAAGTTACACAATAGGAGGAAACGTAAACGGTGATGTTTTTGTTTTGCCTTGTATACTCATTGTAAATTCATCATTGACCATTTTTCCATTCCTAAAGACTTGATTGTAATATATGTAATATATATATATATATATTCATGAATGTACACATGAGGTTTTCAATGAAATTCTCTTTTTCAAAACAAATTGAAGTACTGCCCACACATGATTGTTCAAGATTCATCCTAACATTGCATTTCTTCATCATTGAAACAATGTGATAAAATTTAGAGATTTTGAATGTTGTTTCTTCATTTTATTTTTGTATTGTTCATTTTATAAGTGCAACTGGAATTGTGAGTGTTAGAAACAAGCCCTTGATTCCACATGTTGTGTATAAGTTTGTTGTAGTGTGGCGAGATCATGTTTCAATTGGTCAACATATTTCTCCCAGAGATTTGAGACAAAAAAAAATTTGTTTATCAATTCATTATTTATATCTGAACTAAAGAAACGCATTTCAGATAGGTACAGTAAATAAGCTGGATTAAATGCGTTGCGTTGTAAATATCATGTCGATTGTTTGTAGTTTGTAATCATCTGTATCATTTTTGTGCAGAGGCTTTATACTGTACGTCAAAAGATCCAAATAAATGTAAATATTTTAAGTATATATGAATGTCTCTGTTTATTTTATTTTTTTTTTTAATTGGTTCTGGGTGTGAAATTTTTTTTCACAAGGATTCATGTTTTGAGTTTTACTGGGACAATCAATGAATCGCAGGTTCTGGACCAATCATGAAATACTGTATACAGCTTTGATTTCTGCTCCAAGTCATTTTCGCATTTGCTTAACAAATTAACCAAGTCTTAATTTCACCAGTTATATTTCACAGTTCAGCTACAGAAGTAGCAAAAGTTAAACTGCAGTAAATCTGAGGCTGTATACAGTATAATTTGTTCAACACATAAACATTTATAACACAATTGCAAGTCCATTACCAACTTAAAAGCTCTATGTATTCATATATCAAAATAGTGGATAGATTTTATGCAGAATAAGGAGGCATTGAAATATTCGTAGTACACTGGAGGAAATAGGAGCGCCTGTTCAAGTATTTGTTTAAGTAAAGATGGTCACTACATTCAGTAATCTGGCTGTGCTGAAAAAGTCCCGTCAGCATTTCAAATAGTGTGAAATCACTATTTTTTTTGTGTGTGTGGGGTTAATTTTCATTGTTTCCTTGGTTTGAAGTAACCCACAAATTCATGTCTTTCACAAATGTAAAATTTCAATTGTTTAACAACTCAACACTGTCAACCACAAAATCAAATCCCCAGGAACAGACATTTTTTCATCAAATCACGAAAAATGAACCCAACAAAAATGTGATTACAGTATGCCTAATCAAATTTTGATTGATAAGTTACTTTTGGTAACATGCACTGCTGGTAGCTCTTTCTAACTGTGAAAGCATTGCATACTAGATATGGAAGAAGGCGATTTTTAAATTTTGGGATAACTAGGTCAAAGTTCATAACATTGTCAAGTAACTTGAGGTCCAGGACGAGTCTGTATATTGTGAAATCGCAAATTTTCAAGGGGTGAAATTTTTGGTTAAATGAAAAAATATTGATTCATGGGTATTTGATTTCATGGTTGAAGTGTTGATATGTATTTGAAATTGTATATTTCATGGAGGACATAAATTTATTTCTTCATCCCACCAAAACATTGAAAATTAAACCCCACAAAAATTAGTGAATTCATACATTTTATCCCAGAGGGCACTTAATGGCTGGAGTAGTGGGATAAACCTTGTTCCAAAAATCAGAAGTCCATACTTCAGAGGCAAAATTTATTTTATTGTAAAAAATTCCCTGAGCTTTGTGTATAAACAAAATTCTCAAATTAAGCTACACAGATATGTGCAGTTTGCCACTTCATATATGTGTATACTATAACAAGTGACAATTCTAAAACATTTAAACTTGATAACAATCAAAAAAAACTTTTCCAAGTATTATAAATAATATGCTTCATATAAATTTCATGAATAATATTGCACAAATTTAGAGGGTTAAAGTGGAATAAAACTGATTGATGCAACACTTAAAAGAAATTTAAAAAAAAAAGGCTTGAAGGATGATTTCATTTTAAAACACTCCAGGCTCCGGGATCATGAAACTGTCTTAAATTTAAGTCAGACTTTTGACTTAAATTTAAGATTTAGACTTAGCTAAGATCGCTTACTTAAGTGGATCACAAAACGATCTTAGCAAAAACTTAGTTAAGATTTGTCTTAGTTAAAAAATCCTTTATTGTCATAGTAACCCACGCGGTGTTTAGAGCGTATACGGTAAATGTGGAACTCTCCAATGTTTTGGAGATACAATTTTCGTCTGCTTACATTAGTTACGCAATGGATGCAGAAACTCCCAAAAAACGATCAAGAAAAAGTAACTGGGACCCCAGGGACGAGATTACATTAGTGGAGGAGGTACAGAAGAGGGAGAAGGTACTCTTCGGAAAATTAGACGGGTCAGGGAGGACTTCTGTTGATAAGACAAAGGCCTGGAAAGAGGTCACTGACCTAGTCAATGCGTAAGTGTTGACATATCACATTTTCCCCAAATCATTATACATTGCCACAAAATAAAAAATTGATGAAAACTAATTGAAAAGAAAACCAATGATGTCTTAAAAATCTACTAGACTGTGGCAGTTTCAACGGTGTTCATACTATCAGTAATGCAGCTATATACTGATATATACATGTAGGCCAAGCTGTTATACGACAGCACAACCACTAACGAACTTAAAAACTCGGACTGTGCATTACAACAGCTGATTTTAAGCAGATAACTCATGCATATACAAGATACAATAGTCTCAAGATTTTAAAATACTGTATGCAATTTAGTAGAAAAGCAAAATACACAAAAGGGGAAACCCGAAAGCTATAAATAGATATTGCAAAGCATGTATGTATTCTTTATTATGGAAAATAAAATATTAAAAATTAACCACAATGTAAGAAACATTAAATTTCTATATATATAGTTTGTTAAATAGATTCATTTTTTTCGTAGTGGAAGTACATTTAGTTCGTGCAGAGATGTGAATGAAATAAAGAAGAAATACCAGAACATCAAACAGAAAGGTATGATGCTCTTCTGATAATCTATAAATACATAAAAAAATATTAGATGTACTTTGTTAAGATATTTAGGTTTATGAGTAATAATTAAAATAAAATATTGATTATATAACAGTGCATGCCCAAGGGATTTTAAGATTAAACAAATTTTCTTATCCCCCACACCAAAAAAAAAAAAAAAAAAAAAAGAATATATTATAATAAAAAAAAAAATAAATAAATAAACAAATTAAAGAAAATAAAAGCATGGGAATTTTTCAATATTTCTTTCAATTTAATGTCTGATTAGGAAATTCTAATTGTGTAAAATGTTAACATAGAATCTTAAAAATGTTTCCCAGAAACTTTAAATTAACAAAACCTCATATATTTCTAAAACATTACAAAAAAAATTTATTGAACTGAAAGTTGTACATTTTCCCATTTTTCATCAAAGTATGTGTCTTGGTCAAACATAATGTTGTTTATCTAAATAGATATCACTTCTTTAGTGATAGAGGCAACCTACTTAAGCAAATTAAGATACATGTATTTGAATTTTGGAAGGAAAAATTTTGTTTGTGTTATTTATCTTCAACGCTGTATTAATAAATGATGTCAATACTATAAATTTTAAAAATGGGATCAACATTTATTTTCACTACAAAATGTCTTGAATTTAAAACTGAGAAAATTGTCGTCATGCGCAAAATTCCCCATGGGAATTTTCAAAAGTTGGCATGTATGGATTGTCACCATTCAATTTAATATCTCTATTGTAGCAAAAGAAAAGAGAAGTGTGATTTTGAACCCTAAGACTGGGGGAGGGAAAAAACCATCATCCCCGAATGTTAGTGAACAGTTGTTGTTGGACAACTTGGAAGGCAGACCAAGTCTATGTGGCCTTCCGACTGGAATAGACACTGCAGCTGGTAATGAATAATAATAATAAATGAATAAGCTTTTAATGCACAATAACATTAATGATTAATTTCATTTAGTGTATGGTGAACTATTAAAGTATTAAAAAAAAGATGAATTTTACAGGGATAATTTTTGTTGATAGAGTCATCAATAAAAAAAAATATGAATGAAAAAAAATCAGATCAATCAATTATCAAAAATCTGAGATATGAATTTGAATGTATATTCAAAAAATTATGTAAAAATATTTATGCCCCACTGCAGGGGCATTATGACACAACAAGTTAAATTAAAAAAAAAATCATTCTTGCAGAATCAGTTGTGGATTTCTTGGATGACAACCATGCCTTGCATGAATTTGATTTGACTAGTGAGACCACTCAGCTTGAGCATTTGTTTCCACAAACACAGCCTCTGCCCTCCACATCTACCACTTCATCAACAGAGCTTCATTTGAAAGTTACACCAGAAATGCTTCTTCAAGAAGAACTAATCAACATCAAAGAAAGAAGAAAGCTTATAAAAGAACAACAACAGCTTGTCCATCTTCAGAAACAGCATGTAATGTTAAAAATTAAACAGAAAGATCCCTTTTTCAATTTCGAACACCTTATGAATGAAATGTAAATTTTTTTGAATACGTAGTAACAAATACACTGGTTTTTGCATGTGCGATGTGCCTGACATCACAACAGATGTATCAACATCCATGTATTACAAAGCTGCAATGCATGCCTTTAACTATTTGTATTACTGTAATGGGAGCAGTAATGCTTGGGTGTTGATACATTTGTTGTGACGTATAACATCATAGTTAATTCTTATGAGCTTTTCTGATCACAATTTGTCTGGCGTCAGTCTGTCTATATCTGTCTGTAAACTTTTAACTTTTATTTCGCCTTCTTCTTTCCTGTCCTCTGGCTGATAATTAAGTGTCTCTGTGGTCAAATTAAATTTATTAAGTATGTAAAATGTATTCTTTACACATTGAAAACATCCATCCAATTATTCTCATACTGTATGTGTATTTCCAAACATTATGACATCATTATGATATTTTGTATCTACGTACATGCTATAATTGGTTTCTCATAAGTATGTGCATTTGCTATAATAATTCACTGAATGTTTTATTCTTCTTTGTAGAATTTAGGATCTATGACTTTGCATTATTAAATTTGTTTAACACATTAATAGCAATCAATATATTGATAAAATTTTTGACAAGTGGCATTGTATTACTGTACTACTGTTATAACAACTGCAGTATAATCACTAGTACTGGTAAAAAAGGGTTTTCTTGTGGATATGTATAAAAGAGTATCTTCTGCATAAATAATGATCATGTCATTATTCTAGTTGTAGTTTTTGTTACAAAATTTATCAATACCTCATGTATTTTAACTCTACACTGCTTGCACGCTGTATTAATTTCATAATTCAGTGTGATTGTAAGAATAAAAGTATACCATAGAATCAGACCTCATTAGTATGCAGTTTATAGAGGTTCCTAATTTATGAATGATAGTGGCTGTATACTTGCATACATTTAAACTTTTCATGGCATTTTTCAAATATTTATGCCTTACCACCTGCAGTAAAAATTTCTAAAAAGTTAAAAGTAGAGAACTGCATGTATCTTTAGTTCTTTACCTTTCATCTTTATTATATGCATTTCTTCTCTCTCTGATGTTGCAATACTATAAATACTATATTTGTACTTTTTTTGGATTTACAGACAAATTGTATACATACTAAATCCATCATTTACTGCTTTGAAATATTGGTAATTCTTGTTGTTGATTCAGTCCACTCTTTTTGTTCAAATTACATTTTAGTATCTATGATATATATGTTTTTGTTTTTCTTGACAATTTTCTTTAAAATTTGCTTCTATCAAATGGAAAGAAAAACTGAGTCTTATACAATAAGCCATATGTTATATCAATTCAGCTTTTGATTCAAGTATCAAAGTTTAAAAAAAGCAATAAGACATATTCAGTGTTTTCTAAAATCCTTCATTGAGCATTGATATCACTGACAATCAACTAACATGATATATGTATAATAAAACTCACAATTTTCCAGTTTGTTTTTTTTTAATTTAACAGATGTTGTACATGTTTATAAATACAGTATAATTAATTCCCATCATTTTCTGTTCTTTGAAATTGTTAAATCTTTAGTGGTATATTTTCTAAAAGTTGTTATTTTAAGAAAAAATATACAAGTTATTATCACTGAGTACAATTCCATATACTGTACATATGTCAGAAACAAATGGGAATATTGAATAAGCTTTAATTTACTATTAATTGTTATCATTTATCTTGTAATTTTTTTATTTGAACATCTTTTATATAATTATTATTGTTTTGTTTGGATGACAATTTAACTTTAAAAAATGCCCATACACATTGATAGTCAAAACAATATGACAATGGTGATGCTTTAGGTTATGTAAAAAACATAATGTGCTTATTAATACATTGCAAAATATCCCATTTTAAAGTCAAGAGTTGTTTCCCTTTACGCAGTCATGCATAAGCATGCATGTGCTAAAAAAAAATTGCACTGCATTTAATTAGAATATTTCTCTTATTGAAATATAAAATAATTAAAGTACATTTAATGCATTTGAAATGTAAAATAAAGTACAATGCATTGGTGCATGTTAATTGTAAATTGAACTTCATCATGCATCCATTTAGAAACTGTTTAACTAAATTGTTATGAAATAGACACAACAATGAAGGATAAACTTTACAAACTAATATGCTGCATATACACGAATAATCAAATTGATTTGGGCCAATTTTTTTTTTCATAATTCAGTTCAAAATGCAAGATTATTAATTAACTTCATGAAAATAAAATTTTTTTACATTGTTAAGTTACACATTTTTTCCCTCATGTGTCATTTGTTGGTAGTTGATATTTTACTGCATTGTTAATGTTGAAGGAAAGTTAAGCAATCATATTATTATCATTGCTTTCATTGCAATAAATTTGTTTTATTTTCATTATAAGTATCTTGTGTCTCATAGAATGACTCGCAGAGTGTCACAAAAAAAAAAAAAGAAAAAGAAAAATACTACACTGCAAGACAATCCATATTGACACTTGCTGCTTTCAAGAAATATGAGATGAGATATAGAGAGGGAATAATTTTTATGCCCTATAATAAAATATTTAGGAGTATATAGAATATGTCTGACTGGCTGTGTCGCCAAAAATTTTAACTTCATAACTTATGAATGGAGGTGGTATGGTTTTCATATTTAAGATGAATATTCATTATAACAAGACCTTTCTTTCATGTATGACCTCATGACCTTGACCTTTAAGTGTGACCTATCTTTAATAAAAATAACCCACCTCGGCTATAACTTCTGAAGGCTGGTGATAGCTAGCTAGGGCTTTCATGATTCACACATGAATTATTTTTACAAAACCTTTCTTTGGGTATCAGCACTTTTGAATTCATGACCTTGACCTTTGAGTTTGACTTACTTTAACCTCAGCCTTAAGCTGCTTAAAGGGGGCTCCAGTTTTCATAAATCTTATATAATAGGAACCACAAATAAAGGGAAATTTCCTTATTATAACTACATGTAAATAACGGAATATAATATACTGGTAGAACTATTAAGGTAAATATATTTCATATACTGGTAGTTGTAATAATTGCTAAAACGAACACAGAATATTACTATTAATGATAATGATTTATCACACTGACAGATACATACTGAAATGTAATGGTATGTTTGTAACCTTACAACAATACCAATGATGTACTAGGTACAGAGAGTGATACAACAGTGCACTGTGTGATTTAACTGATATTGGGAGAAAACATTAAATAAACTGCAAGCAGTATAAATTTATAAATGACTTCTGCTTTGTGATTATGACTGTATATTATGTAAGAACTGAACAAGTTATAAATTATTATTCTTTCCTAGTTTCTCATGAATTAAGAAGAGAATGGCCTGAGATATTAATTAGTAATCAAAACATTGTCTGGCAATGAGTTCTCTGTATCCAAAACCATTGTTGTTACCGTGATTGATCTCATCCACATCTGGGCCGGCTATGATTAGGTCACGTGGAACAAGGGACACAATATCTTGCCTCAGGATCCCTATGTTATGCAGGACAACACAGGTTATCACATACTGACAGGCTCTTTCTGGGCTTGTTCTAAGGCCAATGGAAAGGCAAGGGAATCTTCTCTTTAGTATGCCGTATGTCTGCTCGATAAGGACTCGTGTTCTACACAGTGCACTGTTGTATCGCTCTCTGTACCTGACATCATTGGTATTGTTGTAAGGCGTCATTAGATATGTCCGACAAGGGTACCCGGAGTCCCCCAAAAGTATACCATTATGCTGACCTGAAAAATCATGAAATTAATATATTAAAAAAAAATAAATTCAGAATTACTAAAAGGTCTGGAAAGCAAAATGATGAAGATTTCAGTATGATTCAGCAGATGTTGAAAATATTTTAACTACATGTACATATACTAAAACTCAAATTGCGTTTATTGTCTGCCCTTTATGGGCCATATGACTTTATCATTTGAAAAAAAAAAAACCTTAAATCTACTTTATGTTAGTACATATAATTACTGATAAACATTACAGTTTTTTTCCTGTTCCTTATTTAGTTTTGTTTTATTTGCCATATTTTTCTTATACTTATTACATATATATCTTCAGGGAGGTATAGGAATATCACAGTTAAGTAATAATATTCCATCAAAATTCAGTTAAAATTAACTGCATGTGATATTATTTACCATTCTCAAACTGCTGACAGAGAACACTTTCTCGGAAAACCCTTGAATCATGACAAGATCCTGGCCACTTGGCAACACAGTTGGTCACCATAAAATTAGCATCACAGGTCATCTGAAATATGATCAAATTAAACATTTTTTTATTGTTAAACTTTGTAAATTTAATTTTCATAATACATGCATGTTATTTATCTTTAAAGTCAATGATTGTGATGGATTCACATATAAGCAGATTTATTGCCTACTTTATTTCTAAATTTAAATCATTGTAAGCTTATTTAGCTCTTTTAATGTTTTTTTTTTAATTTAAAATCATTTTGAATCAAAAAACAATTACCATGACATAGGGTTCCCTGGTGTCTTGGGATGTGTTGATGGTACTTTTATCCGCATCCAAACTCCTACTGAAAATGAGCCTGATTATGTGAATAGAAAAGGATATCATTCTTTAAATGTCATGGTAATTGTTTTTTGATTCAAAATGATTTTAAATTAAAAAAAAAACATTAAAATGTTTAATTTGATCATATTTCAGATGACCTGTGATGCTAATTTTATGGTGACCAACTGTGTTGCCAAGTGGCCAGGATCTTGTCATGATTCAAGGGTTTTCCGAGAAAGTGTTCTCTGTCAGCAGTTTGAGAATGGTAAATAATATCACATGCAGTTAATTTTAACTGAATTTTGATGGAATATTATTACTTAACTGTGATATTCCTATACCTCCCTGAAGATATATATGTAATAAGTATAAGAAAAATATGGCAAATAAAACAAAACTAAATAAGGAACAGGAAAAAAACTGTAATGTTTATCAGTAATTATATGTACTAACATAAAGTAGATTTAAGGTTTTTTTTTTTTCAAATGATAAAGTCATATGGCCCATAAAGGGCAGACAATAAACGCAATTTGAGTTTTAGTATATGTACATGTAGTTAAAATATTTTCAACATCTGCTGAATCATACTGAAATCTTCATCATTTTGCTTTCCAGACCTTTTAGTAATTCTGAATTTATTTTTTTTTAATATATTAATTTCATGATTTTTCAGGTCAGCATAATGGTATACTTTTGGGGGACTCCGGGTACCCTTGTCGGACATATCTAATGACGCCTTACAACAATACCAATGATGTCAGGTACAGAGAGCGATACAACAGTGCACTGTGTAGAACACGAGTCCTTATCGAGCAGACATACGGCATACTAAAGAGAAGATTCCCTTGCCTTTCCATTGGCCTTAGAACAAGCCCAGAAAGAGCCTGTCAGTATGTGATAACCTGTGTTGTCCTGCATAACATAGGGATCCTGAGGCAAGATATTGTGTCCCTTGACCCACGTGACCTAATCATAGCCGGCCCAGATGTGGATGAGATCAATCACGGTAACAACAATGGTTTTGGATACAGAGAACTCATTGCCAGACAATGTTTTGATTACTAATTAATATCTCAGGCCATTCTCTTCTTAATTCATGAGAAACTAGGAAAGAATAATAATTTATAACTTGTTCAGTTCTTACATAATATACAGTCATAATCACAAAGCAGAAGTCATTTATAAATTTATACTGCTTGCAGTTTATTTAATGTTTTCTCCCAATATCAGTTAAATCACACAGTGCACTGTTGTATCACTCTCTGTACCTAGTACATCATTGGTATTGTTGTAAGGTTACAAACATACCATTACATTTCAGTATGTATCTGTCAGTGTGATAAATCATTATCATTAATAGTAATATTCTGTGTTCGTTTTAGCAATTATTACAACTACCAGTATATGAAATATATTTACCTTAATAGTTCTACCAGTATATTATATTCCGTTATTTACATGTAGTTATAATAAGGAAATTTCCCTTTATTTGTGGTTCCTATTATATAAGATTTATGAAAACTGGAGCCCCCTTTAAGCAGCTTAAGGCTGAGGTTAAAGTAAGTCAAACTCAAAGGTCAAGGTCATGAATTCAAAAGTGCTGATACCCAAAGAAAGGTTTTGTAAAAATAATTCATGTGTGAATCATGAAAGCCCTAGCTAGCTATCACCAGCCTTCAGAAGTTATAGCCGAGGTGGGTTATTTTTATTAAAGATAGGTCACACTTAAAGGTCAAGGTCATGAGGTCATACATGAAAGAAAGGTCTTGTTATAATGAATATTCATCTTAAATATGAAAACCATACCACCTCCATTCATAAGTTATGAAGTTAAAATTTTTGGCGACACAGCCAGTCAGACATATTCTATATACTCCTAAATATTTTATTATAGGGCATAAAAATTATTCCCTCTCTATATCTCATCTCATATTTCTTGAAAGCAGCAAGTGTCAATATGGATTGTCTTGCAGTGTAGTATTTTTCTTTTTCTTTTTTTTTTTTTGTGACACTCTGTGAGTCATTCTATGAGACACAAGATACTTATAATGAAAATAAAACAAATTTATTGCAATGAAAGCAATGATAATAATATGATTGCTTAACTTTCCTTCAACATTAACAATGCAGTAAAATATCAACTACCAACAAATGACACATGAGGGAAAAAATGTGTAACTTAACAATGTAAAAAAATTTTATTTTCATGAAGTTAATTAATAATCTTGCATTTTGAACTGAATTATGAAAAAAAAAATTGGCCCAAATCAATTTGATTATTCGTGTATATGCAGCATATTAGTTTGTAAAGTTTATCCTTCATTGTTGTGTCTATTTCATAACAATTTAGTTAAACAGTTTCTAAATGGATGCATGATGAAGTTCAATTTACAATTAACATGCACCAATGCATTGTACTTTATTTTACATTTCAAATGCATTAAATGTACTTTAATTATTTTATATTTCAATAAGAGAAATATTCTAATTAAATGCAGTGCAATTTTTTTTTAGCACATGCATGCTTATGCATGACTGCGTAAAGGGAAACAACTCTTGACTTTAAAATGGGATATTTTGCAATGTATTAATAAGCACATTATGTTTTTTACATAACCTAAAGCATCACCATTGTCATATTGTTTTGACTATCAATGTGTATGGGCATTTTTTAAAGTTAAATTGTCATCCAAACAAAACAATAATAATTATATAAAAGATGTTCAAATAAAAAAATTACAAGATAAATGATAACAATTAATAGTAAATTAAAGCTTATTCAATATTCCCATTTGTTTCTGACATATGTACAGTATATGGAATTGTACTCAGTGATAATAACTTGTATATTTTTTCTTAAAATAACAACTTTTAGAAAATATACCACTAAAGATTTAACAATTTCAAAGAACAGAAAATGATGGGAATTAATTATACTGTATTTATAAACATGTACAACATCTGTTAAATTAAAAAAAAACAAACTGGAAAATTGTGAGTTTTATTATACATATATCATGTTAGTTGATTGTCAGTGATATCAATGCTCAATGAAGGATTTTAGAAAACACTGAATATGTCTTATTGCTTTTTTTAAACTTTGATACTTGAATCAAAAGCTGAATTGATATAACATATGGCTTATTGTATAAGACTCAGTTTTTCTTTCCATTTGATAGAAGCAAATTTTAAAGAAAATTGTCAAGAAAAACAAAAACATATATATCATAGATACTAAAATGTAATTTGAACAAAAAGAGTGGACTGAATCAACAACAAGAATTACCAATATTTCAAAGCAGTAAATGATGGATTTAGTATGTATACAATTTGTCTGTAAATCCAAAAAAAGTACAAATATAGTATTTATAGTATTGCAACATCAGAGAGAGAAGAAATGCATATAATAAAGATGAAAGGTAAAGAACTAAAGATACATGCAGTTCTCTACTTTTAACTTTTTAGAAATTTTTACTGCAGGTGGTAAGGCATAAATATTTGAAAAATGCCATGAAAAGTTTAAATGTATGCAAGTATACAGCCACTATCATTCATAAATTAGGAACCTCTATAAACTGCATACTAATGAGGTCTGATTCTATGGTATACTTTTATTCTTACAATCACACTGAATTATGAAATTAATACAGCGTGCAAGCAGTGTAGAGTTAAAATACATGAGGTATTGATAAATTTTGTAACAAAAACTACAACTAGAATAATGACATGATCATTATTTATGCAGAAGATACTCTTTTATACATATCCACAAGAAAACCCTTTTTTACCAGTACTAGTGATTATACTGCAGTTGTTATAACAGTAGTACAGTAATACAATGCCACTTGTCAAAAATTTTATCAATATATTGATTGCTATTAATGTGTTAAACAAATTTAATAATGCAAAGTCATAGATCCTAAATTCTACAAAGAAGAATAAAACATTCAGTGAATTATTATAGCAAATGCACATACTTATGAGAAACCAATTATAGCATGTACGTAGATACAAAATATCATAATGATGTCATAATGTTTGGAAATACACATACAGTATGAGAATAATTGGATGGATGTTTTCAATGTGTAAAGAATACATTTTACATACTTAATAAATTTAATTTGACCACAGAGACACTTAATTATCAGCCAGAGGACAGGAAAGAAGAAGGCGAAATAAAAGTTAAAAGTTTACAGACAGATATAGACAGACTGACGCCAGACAAATTGTGATCAGAAAAGCTCATAAGAATTAACTATGATGTTATACGTCACAACAAATGTATCAACACCCAAGCATTACTGCTCCCATTACAGTAATACAAATAGTTAAAGGCATGCATTGCAGCTTTGTAATACATGGATGTTGATACATCTGTTGTGATGTCAGGCACATCGCACATGCAAAAACCAGTGTATTTGTTACTACGTATTCAAAAAAATTTACATTTCATTCATAAGGTGTTCGAAATTGAAAAAGGGATCTTTCTGTTTAATTTTTAACATTACATGCTGTTTCTGAAGATGGACAAGCTGTTGTTGTTCTTTTATAAGCTTTCTTCTTTCTTTGATGTTGATTAGTTCTTCTTGAAGAAGCATTTCTGGTGTAACTTTCAAATGAAGCTCTGTTGATGAAGTGGTAGATGTGGAGGGCAGAGGCTGTGTTTGTGGAAACAAATGCTCAAGCTGAGTGGTCTCACTAGTCAAATCAAATTCATGCAAGGCATGGTTGTCATCCAAGAAATCCACAACTGATTCTGCAAGAATGATTTTTTTTTTAATTTAACTTGTTGTGTCATAATGCCCCTGCAGTGGGGCATAAATATTTTTACATAATTTTTTGAATATACATTCAAATTCATATCTCAGATTTTTGATAATTGATTGATCTGATTTTTTTTCATTCATATTTTTTTTTTATTGATGACTCTATCAACAAAAATTATCCCTGTAAAATTCATCTTTTTTTTAATACTTTAATAGTTCACCATACACTAAATGAAATTAATCATTAATGTTATTGTGCATTAAAAGCTTATTCATTTATTATTATTATTCATTACCAGCTGCAGTGTCTATTCCAGTCGGAAGGCCACATAGACTTGGTCTGCCTTCCAAGTTGTCCAACAACAACTGTTCACTAACATTCGGGGATGATGGTTTTTTCCCTCCCCCAGTCTTAGGGTTCAAAATCACACTTCTCTTTTCTTTTGCTACAATAGAGATATTAAATTGAATGGTGACAATCCATACATGCCAACTTTTGAAAATTCCCATGGGGAATTTTGCGCATGACGACAATTTTCTCAGTTTTAAATTCAAGACATTTTGTAGTGAAAATAAATGTTGATCCCATTTTTAAAATTTATAGTATTGACATCATTTATTAATACAGCGTTGAAGATAAATAACACAAACAAAATTTTTCCTTCCAAAATTCAAATACATGTATCTTAATTTGCTTAAGTAGGTTGCCTCTATCACTAAAGAAGTGATATCTATTTAGATAAACAACATTATGTTTGACCAAGACACATACTTTGATGAAAAATGGGAAAATGTACAACTTTCAGTTCAATAAATTTTTTTTGTAATGTTTTAGAAATATATGAGGTTTTGTTAATTTAAAGTTTCTGGGAAACATTTTTAAGATTCTATGTTAACATTTTACACAATTAGAATTTCCTAATCAGACATTAAATTGAAAGAAATATTGAAAAATTCCCATGCTTTTATTTTCTTTAATTTGTTTATTTATTTATTTTTTTTTTTATTATAATATATTCTTTTTTTTTTTTTTTTTTTTTGGTGTGGGGGATAAGAAAATTTGTTTAATCTTAAAATCCCTTGGGCATGCACTGTTATATAATCAATATTTTATTTTAATTATTACGCATAAACCTAAATATCTTAACAAAGTACATCTAATATTTTTTTATGTATTTATAGATTATCAGAAGAGCATCATACCTTTCTGTTTGATGTTCTGGTATTTCTTCTTTATTTCATTCACATCTCTGCACGAACTAAATGTACTTCCACTACGAAAAAAATGAATCTATTTAACAAACTATATATATAGAAATTTAATGTTTCTTACATTGTGGTTAATTTTTAATATTTTATTTTCCATAATAAAGAATACATACATGCTTTGCAATATCTATTTATAGCTTTCGGGTTTCCCCTTTTGTGTATTTTGCTTTTCTACTAAATTGCATACAGTATTTTAAAATCTTGAGACTATTGTATCTTGTATATGCATGAGTTATCTGCTTAAAATCAGCTGTTGTAATGCACAGTCCGAGTTTTTAAGTTCGTTAGTGGTTGTGCTGTCGTATAACAGCTTGGCCTACATGTATATATCAGTATATAGCTGCATTACTGATAGTATGAACACCGTTGAAACTGCCACAGTCTAGTAGATTTTTAAGACATCATTGGTTTTCTTTTCAATTAGTTTTCATCAATTTTTTATTTTGTGGCAATGTATAATGATTTGGGGAAAATGTGATATGTCAACACTTACGCATTGACTAGGTCAGTGACCTCTTTCCAGGCCTTTGTCTTATCAACAGAAGTCCTCCCTGACCCGTCTAATTTTCCGAAGAGTACCTTCTCCCTCTTCTGTACCTCCTCCACTAATGTAATCTCGTCCCTGGGGTCCCAGTTACTTTTTCTTGATCGTTTTTTGGGAGTTTCTGCATCCATTGCGTAACTAATGTAAGCAGACGAAAATTGTATCTCCAAAACATTGGAGAGTTCCACATTTACCGTATACGCTCTAAACACCGCGTGGGTTACTATGACAATAAAGGATTTTTTAACTAAGACAAATCTTAACTAAGTTTTTGCTAAGATCGTTTTGTGATCCACTTAAGTAAGCGATCTTAGCTAAGTCTAAATCTTAAATTTAAGTCAAAAGTCTGACTTAAATTTAAGACAGTTTCATGATCCCGGAGCCAGATGCTCAAAAACTACAGAAGTGAAGATGTATGTCTCACTGATAATTTAAACATAGTCCCACTACTTATCATCCAGTTTTGTATTTTACAACTTCTTAAAATGTCATGTACTGTTATGAGAGAAAGAAGGTGCATTATACATTATATGAATAAATAATTATCTTAACAACAATCACTTCAATACATATATAAATTATATATATTCAGAAAAACAAGACAAACAGGCAAACCTTGTTATCTCAAACTCAATGGGACCAAGAAAAAACTTCAAGATATCCAGGGTTGAGATATTGAGAGTAAATTTACACAAGGAAAATGTTGGGACATTCAACTCACTTAGACATATCCATAGCAAAGTTCAACTGTACATAGGAAATTTAAAAAAATAAAGCATAGGTATCACTGAATATGAGAAATGTATTTTCATTTCTGATTACCCCATTAAAATATTTCTGTTTTATGCCCATGTGTTATTACATAGTTTACATACAGTAAACATTCAGACATTCCCTCTGTATTTGGTCTGGTTTCTTCCCTGTTGGTTTGCTTTCCTCAGTGAAGTGGTCTATGACAGGAATTAGGATGATCAGTAGCCCGGCAAAGATGATAAAGGATCCGCCAATGTAGAATGCTACGTCTGGACTGCCTGTTACTTCATACACCCAACCTACAGACAAACCAAAAGGACATTATTATATCTCACCCTTGAACCCTCTAAACTTCCAAAGAATTATAGATGTATTATAGTAAACATACTGAGATTTCTTTAACATGTACAATCTACATACACTTGTATATATCCAAATTATTTTATATATGTGAATTTTCCTTCTTTGATAAATAATTTTATCAGTACCAAAGTTTTCTTTTTTTTTAATATCAAAAACTGATAGTTTTAAGAAGTATGATATCAGATGTGCCCATGAAAACAAATGGAAAAGTAATCTGACATCTATTTATTAATGTAAAAAGGAAATTCATTTCAACTGTACCGTAAATTTTTCATGGACACTACAATAATTATACATGTATTATGCCCAATATTTACATGTTAATAGGGTCAAATCCATTTTAGATGTTATGTGTATGTAGATTATTAATAAAAGAATGCTCTTGAATTGCATTCTTTTTTCCCATAATTCTGATTCTCACTCAATTGATATGATCATTTTTCATTCCTTCACCAATACATTTTTTTCTGATGAATATCGCCAAACCCCCTAACTCCGTCACTACCCTAACTCTGTCACTTTCGGGAAACTCTGCTCTGTTTGTAAACGAATACATGCTTATAATCTTCAATCAAATGCCGAGAAATTATTATAGTCAAGTTCAAGAATGCGTCAAAAATAAATAACAATTACACGTGATCTATTGCATCTATCCTATTTTATGTGAAATCAGTAAGTACTTTTTCCTTTATGCGCTATTCCATCAATACCTCCGACATGTGCGTCAATATGCTCATTTTTACATATCAGTCATATTTATGAAGGTATTTGCCAAAGGATTAATATGACATACCATACTGAATATGGCTAAAATATTTTATTTTTCATCTTAATTTGCCCTAAAAAGCTACACGTTGGAGATAACGTACCGTGATGTTATTACATATAAAATACGTTATAACGTTATTTTTTCTTTGATACTTTTCCTAAATACAATTTAATGCGATTTTAAATCCTCAAAACTTATTTTCTATGTTTACAAGTTTAAAATGAAGGGAGAAAAAAACTAAACTGGAAAAAAATTCCTAATTAATACGTTGACATATTGTAGAGGGCCCTGGTGACGGATTTAGGCCGGTTCACTGGACGTAATGTACACGGATGTGATACGCATTCTATTTATAGTAGTTTTGTATGAGCCCAATTACTGAATTTTTTTACATAGTTCTGAAAACAATGTTTAAGTTCATTACTAAGTGTATCAAACAAGAAACAAATCAAAAAAATAATTCAGAGAGTAACCTGACGTGTTTTTCGCTTATGGTGACGGAATTTGGGTAGTTGGGGATACATTCCCTAAGGGTCTTACCAATCAGTGGTGGTGCAGCTATACTGCCAATACCGTTAGCCAGCATGATGTAACCCATCCCTGTTCCTATGGCATCTGCTCCAACAATGGATGCCACAGCTACCACTAATAGCCCAGATATCATATTTGCCATCACTGAGAAAGCAACGTACAAGAAAACTAACCCTCCAAAGGAGTGGAACATTGGAACAGGCATGATTAGGCAAATTAACCCTGTTATCACAGTTATGATAACATATGCAATGTCCAGTCGTAAATTCTTGATGTTTCCTAAAAGTCCACCAAGAATGCTGCCAATAAATGCTCCGATGCCTCCAATGCTGAACACTAATGCTGAGGATTGCTCATCCAGTCCAACATAAAGAAGATACTGAGGGCCAAATAATAAGATAATCACAACTCCCATGTTCCAGAAGATGTTATTGGCAAAGAAGATTATAAAAGCATAGTCACACAGAATAGAACAGGTGCTTTTCTTGTTAAGGGCTAACTTTTCAACTTCATTTAGGCTGTTTCTTGGTAATTCATTGTTCTTGCAAAGAGCATCCTCCTCGTTTTCAGAACTCTCTTGCTTAATAAGTTTAGCTGGGCTGCCTATAGGAGAGGCCATTATGACCTCCTCAGTCTCTTTCTTACTCTCTGAATTTTGCATATCTGAGCCCTGATTTAATTTTTCCAGATTTGAGTCTTGCCTTGGGGTTTCCAAATTTGAGTCTTGTATTGAGGTTTCAAAATTTGTGTCCTCCTTTGAGGTTTCCAAGGTTGAGTCCTGCTTTGGAGTTCTTAGGCTTCCATCTTTCTTTGAGTTTTCCAAATTTGAGTCTTCCTTTGTTCTTTCCAAATTTGAGTCCTGTTTTAAGCTTTGCTGATCTGAGCCTTGCTTTAGTTTCTCTTGTAAGGACAAATCTATGTCATCTTCAGACAGAGGAACTTTTGAATCTTCTGTAAGCAATTGTTCATTATCCCCCTTTTCTTTCTCAGCTAAAGACTTTACTGAAAGAAGTTGCAGAGTAGAGGTAGAAATTTGTTTTTCTTGCTTTGATTTCACACTGTCAGTTACTGTGTCTTCTATATCACCAGGATCAGCCTCCCTCCTTTTTGCAGCATCTTTATATCTCCTCTTTAACTTTTCAGGGACTGGTCTAAGCAAACTGGCAAAAACAATGTTTTGCATGCTGATTCCACATACTATATAGAAAGACCCCCTCCAGCCAAAGGTATCTACCAGAAAGTTCACAAGCAAAGGAAAAATGATGGCACCCATACCAGAACCACTCGTGGCTAGTCCTGTTGCTAGACTTCTCTTTTCATCATAGTATAATCCAGAGAGTACATGGGATGGGACGTAGACCAAACAAAAACCAAGACCTGAAAAATGTTCACAAACAATGAATTATATAGTCCTATCCCTGGTCCAACTATTTTACAAACCAGGGTTATAGTGCTGATATATATCAAACAGTGCATTGACTAGGGCTGGGTATTGGCTAGAAATTTTGTATTGTGATATATTGCGATATTTTTTTTACTGTATTGTGATATGTATTGCAATATTTTCAACAAAAATTTAATTGGAATTTTCTTGTTGTATTAACTTTTTTTTACATGTAGAATGTACATAACTATGATAAATAACCAATAAAAGATATCCTGTTGATTGAATTACAGTTATGCAACTTAATACACCCCATACAACAGCTTTTGTCTTACTGTTTGGCATGATCACAAAACTTTATGACAACTTTTCGTTATATTTTATATGTTAGAATTCATGAGTCCAAACATTTTGCTAGTATATCGGTATTACAAAAACGTATTGCAATATGATATTTTTTGTCAACATACCACAATATACCAGAATATCAGTATTATTGGCCAGTCCTAGTAGTATACAAATATTCTCAGTTTTTGAAACTTTACCCGACAACACTCCATAGAATCCATACATATAAACCAGATTTGGGGCAAAAGGCATCGCTATCAGTCCAGCAGAACTAAGGATGGCTCCAAGCAGTGCTACTTTACGATGACTCATGTGGTTCATAAGAAATGTAGCAATGGGGCCTGAAATATACATAAAGATGATTATTTTCAATCTTTGTTATGTGTAATCCTTCTTCCATTATGGAGTTGAACTCATTGTTGAGTGTTGATAAATTTGATGCAATATAAATACAGTATCTCAAACATCAATATGAATGTGTCCAAGAGAGATGCAAGTCCTAATCTCTTTTTAACCTCATAATCTAGAGGTGCTGTATATATTCCAAAGAGGGGGATAAGTAACAAGAAGTCTGTGAGCCATTGCTCATTAGTATTACCCCCACTCTGATATGAATATATGCTCTCATGAATCCCACCATATTGCATGCCTAAACAAAGAGTGTGCTAAAATTTCAAACATCTGCCTTGAGTAGTTGCTGAAAAAACTGTGGTGGAAATTTGGTAAGGACAGATGCATGGAAAACTGGAAGTTGACATTGGATTTGTACAAAAATGAATCCCATCATATGGCATATGCCTAGACAAAGAGTGTGATAAAATTTCAAGCATCTGCGTTGAGCAGCATGAGTAGTTGCTGAGAAGAAAACTGCAACAAAAATTTGTTATGGACAGACAGTAACACAAGGGTAAAACAGTAAACCCCCTCTCCTTGGGAGCGGGGGTATAATAAAACAGTATCCTTGAGAGCGGGGGTATAATAAAAGTTAACAGTATACCCCCCTCTCCTTTGGAGCAGGGGTATAAATATACTCAATAGGAGGGGAGGTAGTTATATAACCAATATGTTTTGGGGTTTGGTTGTTGGGCTGTAGCTCTATACTCACCTGAGCCCAGGAACACGCCAACATTGATTGAACCAATCAGAGCCACAGCAGCAGGACTGACATCTTTAAAGTACCTCAGCAAGTACATGTTGTAGATACCAAAACTCTGGGCAGTCCCAAAGGAGGGTATCTGGATCATAAAGGCTGCAAAGATAACTACCACCCCCCAGAATCCACCCTCCTTCTTCTCCAGCCAGGAATACAGGCCCATATTGTCTCTGAAGGTTATAAATAGCATATTAAAATACCTTATTATGTTTTTACTCAAAGTAATATTTATTACTCATACATCGATGGAGTTAACAAGAAGTCTGTGAGCCAATGCTCACTAATAATACCCCCGCTCTGATTTGAATACACAACTTCAGTTACGGACAAACACAGTGATAATCAAGAAATTGACATCGGATTTGTAAGAAATGAATCCCATAATATGGCATGCCTAAACAAATATTCTGCTAAAATTTCAAGCATCTGTGATGAGTAGTTGCTGAGAAAACTACAACCAAAATTTGTTATGTCTGGTACGGACAGATGCATGGATAAACAGGAAGTTGATATCAGATTCATACAAAAATGAATCCCACCATATGGCATGCCTAAACAAAGATTGTGCTAAAATTTCAAGCATCCGCGATGAGTAGTTGCTAAGAAAATTACGACCAAAATTTGTTATGTATGGTACAGACAGACACATGAATAAACAGGAAGTTGACATTGAATTTGTACAAAAATGTTGAATCCCGACCTATGGCATGCCTAAACAAAGAGTGTGTTAAAATTTCAAGCACCTGGGATGAGTAGTTGCTAAGAAAACTACAACCAAAATTTGTTATGTATGGTATGGACAGACACACGGATAAACAGGAAGTTGACATCAGATTCGTACAAAAATATTTCCCACCATATGGCATGCCTAAACAAAGATTGTGCTAAAATTTCAAGCATCTGCGATGAGTAGTTGCTGAGAAAACTACAACCAAAATTTGTTATGTATGGTACGGACAGACGCATGGATAAACAGGAAGTTGACATCGAATTCCTACAAAAATGAATCCCACCATATGACATGCCTAACCAAAGAGTGTGTTAAAATTTCAAGCATCTGCAATGAGTAGTTGCTGAGAAAACTGTGACCAAAGTTTGTTATGTATGGCACTGACAGATGCACGGATAAACAGGAAGTTGACATCGAATTCGTACAATAATGAATCCCACCATATGGCATGCCTAAACAAAGATTGTGCTAAATTTTCAAGCATCTGCGATGAGTAGTTGCTGAGAAAAGTGCAACCAAAATTTGTTACAGACAGACAGACAGACACACAAGGGTAAAACAGTATGCCCCCCTCTCCTTCGGAGCGGGGGTATAAAAACTGTAATGGGAATGCAAAAGCAATGGAATGCAAAGATCAAGATAATAGATAATTGATTCATCAATATCCTTCAGTTAAATATTTTAGGTTTATATTTACAGTATCTTCTTTTGACTGAATTGTAATTTTTTGGACAATTAAAGATAATAGTTATGTTCTTGTATTTTAAAATAATAGTAAAGCTGTATAATTTAAAATTCAGTTTCAAGTGCTCTAATTTTGGACATACCTGTACAATTGATTAATTGGAGTTGTCTCCCACAAAATCACAACAAAACTGAACCATCTCCCTCCATGCTCTACATTTTATCCAAGATTACATTCTATCAATAAAGTAAAACTATAACCTCAATAGTGAGTTGTAACATACAAAGAAGTTGCACTCAAAATGCACTCACATACAGTTACAAAGCACACATGCAATTTAACATGATTACATATGTAGGTTACAATTTAATACATCCATGCAAACTTCCATATATAAATCAGTGATTTTGCCAATATTTTAACCAAGTACAAAAATATCTTACCTATAATTAACTGTACACTAAAAGCTGCTCCTGTATGTCAGGAGTAATATAACAATTAATCAACACAAGCTAGTGGCTTAAAGAGGTCAGATGTCATTGACCACTACAGCTTAATCCAAAAGTCTATACACAGTAGGCTGAGAATTGACAATTTACATGTGCTGTACATATATGTATATAAAACGGCTGTATAAAATTGAGATTTAAATGGGAGCAACGCATTGCCTGCCCCAAATATTTTTGCCAGTTTAAATGTTATTTGCTTCATTTCGAATTTATGAAACAACATCACCTTTTTAACACTGGTATAGAAAATGAATGTTCCCTTGTCAAAATATTTAGGTATGTGTGACTAGCTCATCTCATGTCTTGCTGTGCCCAAAGGTTTCTCTCTTATACAGCAATGGAACATGCGGGCACAAATTATGTACTTCTTCTGTGACATATAAATGATCTTGGGTAAAGGCAATGGTAGGTCATAAGCAATCTATATATACCAAGTATGAGCTTCTAATGTTTCTCCATTACAAACTTATGCTGAGAACAGGAATTTATGTGTCTTTTTTTCAGAATGTGACCTTGAACTTGCATAAATAACCTTAAATCAAGGTCATTGCCCACCCTCTGGTCATACATAATTTTTCCAATGTTTTATCCATTAAAAAGTTATGGACCTACGTTTTGTCTTCCAGTGACCTTGAATTTGCCTAAATGATTGTGTCAATGTCATGACACATCCACAGGTTAGCAATCTGTGCTAATTACGAACTTCCAATTTTTTTCATAACAATGTGGCCAGCACAGGAATTATGCTTTTTTTTTTTTTTGGCAATTAATCTCCAACTTGTACAAGTGATCTTGAATCAAGGTCATGTCATACCATTAGGATATGTAATTTTTATGTGAAGTATGAATTTCCAATATTTATCCATTAAAAAGCTGTTGACCAGAAATGAATTATACATTTTTTTTTTTACCAGTAATCTTAAACTTGCTGAAATGACTCTAGATCAAGGTCATGATACATTCTTAAGTCACATGCAATCTTTGTGTCAAGAATGGGCTTCCAATATTTATCCATTAAAAAGTTATGGACTGATTACAGAACATGAATTAACATATACACTTTTTCTACCAGTGACTTTAAATATGCTCAAATGTCCCTAGGTCTATGACATAACCTCATGTCAAAGGCAATCTTCGTTTTTCCCCATCATCTCCAATCAAGCAGTTAGATGTCTTCGTCAAGGCTTCATCAATTGGTTATCAATCATTTTTGCACAGCCATAAAAAGGCTTTATTACTATTAAACTATTTATTCTTTCTTCCAAAATTATGATCTTCTGTGATGTACAAAAAGCAATGAATACAAATTCAGGAACACATTATATGTAAAGTTCAGAATAAACTGTATATCCTCAAACAAACTGAACTTTAACAATATTAACAAATATTTTGCAATTTTTGAACACATACTGAACACGTCAAATGGCTATTTGATATCACTCAATGATCATATATTAAAAATTACCAACACATTAAAATTCTCTACTGAACACATACAGTAAACACACTTGTAACAAAATGCCAGGGATGCATGAATTTGCTTCATTATGAATGTAATTTCTTATCTCCTTTAAATTCACAATATATTTTAAAGCCACAAGAAATGAAAATCACTTTACTGTAAGCATCAATTCATTAAATATGTTCTTTGCTACAAGCATGTTTTACTGTATTGAGAAGATTTGTAATTTATAAATTTATAATGGAGAATTTTTTTTTCAAACTACATTGTACAAAACTTGTAGAAGTATCTTGCATAGGTAGATTTAAAAAAAAATCTAATTCATTGTTCACATATCATATATACATTTACATGGCATACCTTAACTATTTTATCCATCTAAAACTACCACATATATTTTTTCTCTATCTTTTGTAATGTTGACAAAACAATACATGTACTGTAAAAACCTAATTTTCAAGGCAATTCTACTCTTATTTTCTTCACAACAGGACAAAACTGTTTATAATATCAATAAAGAGTATTAACAATATACACTGAATATTCAACAGAGGAAATAGAAAAATTGCAAATTCAATATATATCATAGATTAAAAGCATCTATTACATAACAAATACTGGGATGCATTCCTGCCCAATTCATGCCCTTAAGGTATAACAACCCTCTGATAAGAGAGATAACTTCAAAAGAATATCATACAAAAATTTGACCCCAAAACAGCTGCACTCTTCTTTTCTTAACTTTTACTACATTAGAATATATATATTCATCATTTTAAATAAAATGTGAAAACTTGAATAATTTACCAAGTACCATAAATAGTATTGTTATTGCTATTTTATATTTTTATTTACATTAAGAATAATTTAAGAAAGGTAACTCTTGCTGATTGACTCTTTTTTTACACATATAAAATACAATGTAATATTCCAACTTAAAAAGCATCGATTCGTTATTTTTTCTAATATTATATAATTATTTTATGTATAATTTTTGCTGTGACAACAAAATATTGCCTTTTCTTTTCACTGTGTCTCATTTTCTCCGTATCACAATTTAAGACATAAATTAATTTCTGAGAAAGTAGGCCTCACTTTATACTTTAACTTTTTTTTCTATTGGAACCTACAGCTTTTGTTGATGATGAAAATCAATATTTTTTGGTTGAATTTTAGAACAGAGGAATAAAAAGCCTTAAAACACATTGACTTATAATGAGACTCCAGAAGTGATGATTTATGACATCCATAGTATGAAATAATCTCATGCTGGTAATAAAACATGTCAAAAATTCAGTAACATGTTTAGCAAATAATTTTTGCGTATAAACTAAATAAAATATATCATAATTACTGCTTCCTTGTCAATCTAGAACATATCTAATCATCAATCTTGTGACATACTCAAATTGTCAAGTTTTCTGCGCATGGGAGAGGAGAGATTTTGCAGTTGATCCATCTTAATTTTCTTTGGAGTAACCTGTCCCCTTGGGGATTCTCCACTGAATCTTTTAGTGGGGCTTGGTGAGGGTGATAGAATGCTGGGCGAGGATGTACCATCATCAGAATCCTCTAACAAATCCCTTCCCTGCTCCTCAGTCCCAGATCTGTATAAACTAAAGCTGTTGTGGCTTCCTTCTTCAGAATTTTTTAACATCTTCTTTTTTGATTTGTAAGGAGGTGGAGACAACAGACTTGGGGATGATCTGTCACTGTCAGAATCACCATTAGACCTGGTACATGTATTACCATTCTCTCTTTGGTCATCTTCAAAGCTTCTCTCTGCTACTTCACACAGTCTTGTCAATTCCTCATCCTCTGCATCATCAAAATCATCTTCCATGTCATCCATTACTGCAACCTTGCTTTGCAAGAGACTCTGTGATTCTTCATCATTATCAGATTCATTTGTTTTCTTGGAAAAATCTTGTAGTCTGTTTTGCTCTTTTATTCTTGTAAATCCATTTTTCTTGACATCCAGACTGAAGTTCTCTTCTTCCATTTCATCATTTTCATCTGGACTTTGAGTGGCATCCGATTTACATTCATCATTTTTCCAATCTGCCTCCTCCCTTTTGTCATTTTCAACACCAGATTTAACGTCAGGCAGAGGACCACAGTTCTCAAACAAAGCCTCATTTCTAAGTTGTTCCTCAGAGAAAAGCAGCAAGCTTTCATCAACTTCTGACCACTGACTTTCATTTGAGCTTTTATTCACATTTGGTGAATCTTGCTTTTGAACAGGACTGACATTACTGAAGTTACTCAATGTCTGTCGGATTGATGGAGTTGACGTAGCTTGCTGACACAAAGGCTTGGGACTCTGAACATTGAGTCTGGATGCCATGGGTGATATTGAATGAGAAGAAAAGTTCAGAGGTCTAGGCTGATAACAGGTTGAGGCTCGGGTGGGTGGTGGCTTGGAAAGTCCTGCCCTGGGGCTCTGAGGGTGTGGTTTGTAGGGGGACAGTTTTATTCTGGTAAACGTCTCTTCCTCTGGTTTGTCCATACAGAAACTGTTTGTCTGCGTGTATGGAAGAGAGTTGTTACAGACAGAATCCTCTGTATCTTCAGTTAAAGCCCGTAATGACTGATTCAATTTCTCTCGATTCTGAAACAAAAATCAGATCATATTTTTCGAAATTTAAAAGATCCATAGCACTCACAACTTGAAATATTACATGTACAATCCAGTCAATTTAGAATTATTTAAATTATAGGCCCAATGTCATACTAATTGCAGAAATTATTTTGTGATAAATGAAATCTAATATGAACAAAAAAAAAAAATCTAAGAAAATCTGATGAAGGGAAAGCATAATTTTCATTGATTAATAACCTATGGGAATTACTATGGAAAAGGGGCATAACTCTGTAAAGATATCCAATATTTCACTGTAGTATTCAAAATGTCTTGTTTTCCATGAAAGCATAATCTTTATTTAATTTTTTTTGAGACAATTTAACTGATCATTATTTCACATAGATGATATACCTTTGAAATGGATACTTTGAACTTAATTTTGTACTTTTTTTGTAATCTGGAAATATTGGCATATTTTAATAGATATTGATTAAATGAAAATACAGAAATTTCCCTTGCTAGATTGAGATTCAGAATACATTGATCATTTCATTTCATACATTAATACTAAATATATTGAAAAAAAAATCCCTCAAGATTTAGAGACAAAATTTAACCTATGTTTTGATAATCTCTTAATACCCAAAATTTTATTGATACGAGGCAAGGGCACTCTGAAGTAAGCCTAAACTTCTGCAATATGTTTTTTTGTTGGGTATAAAGTTTTACTGCATTTATCAATGTCATTATACACAGTTTAATTTACTTCCTCTTTATTTTGGGTAGAAAAATGTACCAAAATTTACGAAAATGGCAAAAGTTATGCCCTTTCCATAGTATTTCTAAACCCCATATAATGCTTTCCCCTTGTCTGATTTTGTTTGAGTTTTTATTACATTTATTTTGTGCATTCTAAGAGTTTATTTGTAACAAAAAAATTCTGTTACAATTACCAGTAGTTTGATGTTTTGACAGGACTAATAAATAAATACAAAAAGTTGCTTAATTTAGCACATTGATAAAATCAGATGCTTTTGTTTATTTCTACATAAACCAAGACTTACAGGTAAAATTTTATTAAGTTGGTACTGGAGACTTGTGCACCTGACATTTGGTCTATTAGAGATGGCTTTACTCAGGACCATGTCTGATCCTACGATGTACACCTCTTTTTTCCCGCGAGTGACTGCTGTGTAAACGTGCTGCCAATTCTGCCATGATACAGAACTTCCTAGATAGTACACCACTGTGCTGGTCTCAGATCCCTGGAAAAGAGAAGACAGTATGTAGCTGGATATCTAACCCTGATTTAATTTCAACTTGATTCTCAGACTTGATTTAAACAAAATTTGCAAACTTAAGAAAAATTTACATTGAAAACATTTAAAACACAAGTTTATAACAGAGTAAATAATTTATTCATTCAAGTGGGAAAAAAAATTATCATGATTTTTAACTTCTTCGCATTACATCCTTGATAATTGATGAGATTCATTTAACAATGTTTATCATGCCTTAAAAAAATACACGTGTAATAGTACAAATGACCTTTTGGCATATTTCACCTGAAATGTATGGATTGTTGTTGCCCATGCTTGTATGATATAACACACCCACCTGGAATGTACGGATTGTCGTTTACCATGCTTGTAAGATTTAAGAAACCTACCTGAAATGTATGAATTGTCCTTGCCCAGGCATGTATGATTTTACACTTGTTCCGGAGTTCTCTGAATTCACACCACAACTCCCTTGCATCATCTGGGTCTTCATTTGACAGATACAGGTAGCGCTCAATTTTTCCACTATTATCTATGATGGTTTTGTCCTAAAAGATTCAGTAGAGGAAATATTTAAAAAAAAAGAAAGAACCTAAGTATGTAATAAGACTGTAGGTTTACTCCTAATTTATTTAGTATTAGAGAAAAGTTGCTCTTGAAAATATTTCTTTTTGTGAAATTAACATTTACAGAACTTATAAAGTTTTCTAAATTTGTTTCAAGTTTCATGAAAATCAGATTAATGAAGAGAAGATTTTGAAAGAATTTAGCAGACTATAAAAAACGATGGATTCCTGATGTGGCAAAATTTAAATCAAAGTGACAAGACTGTAATAAACAACATAAGGGGAGGTATTCCAAAACATTTGGTTGTTACAATGTGATTTAAAGTTATGTTAAATAAAAGATTACATTGACTTCAAAATATTTTTACCATCTTTGATTAAAATTGCTTCCATAAAAAACTAAAGTTTTTGGTTTTAACAAATTGAAAGTGTTACAAACTCATTTTCTGTCTATATAATATATATGGTCAAATTATATATTATTAAAATGTGTTATAATTAAACATTATGTACATGTACTACATATTACCATGCCACATATCCAGTTTTATATGCTTGTTAAATTGAATTAATGCTATAAGATGTATGTCTTGGGAAATAAAGATTACTTATAAGTCAGACTTACATCTTTAATGAAAAAGATCTCGCCATTGCAAAGTCTAATTCTCACTGGTTCTTTCTTTTCGTTTTCTTCCTGGGTTAATCGAAATGCACCATTATCCTGAGTTTCATTTCCTTGTCCCACTCCTGAAATTTCTAGATCCTCAGAAAAGTTTTCCTCTTTCTCTGGTTCCAGTAATTTTGGTTTCATAACAGCACCATCTTCTTCATACATAGAAACCTGGCCATTTTTGGTCATGCAGATTTTGTCCCCCACTTGAAATATGAGTTTCTTTTTGTTGTCTTTCTGTGGGTGATTGTTGTAGAATTTTAAGCAGACTTCATTTACCTTTTTGATATCCTCCCTGAAATTTCAAACATGACAAAATCACAGATTGCTATATTAAATCATTGAGTATTATGCATGTAATGTTTCAGAAAGTACCAAGTGCATTGAAATTTAGATATTCAATAGATCAGAAAAATATGCATTTGTTTTGTTCTGAAACTTTTTTCATTGATTTTTCAATATAATGGAATTTTTGTTGTGTTCTGTAACCATTGGTAACATTGTGATGTTGTCTGATGCATATGTGACTTAGTTATTAGTCTTTTTGCAAGGTCAAGTGAAAACAGTATATGGAATTTAATATTTGGTCAGCAGGTCACAGAGGGGGTATCGATTTGATATTTGGTCAGTAGGCAATATGATATAGCTTTATATGGTACATGTATTCTTCTCGACCAATGATATTTCAAGATTTTAATCAGTGGCAATATAAGTAGAACTGGATGGTTAGGAATTTTTTTTCCCCACTTTTTAAAATCAGGATAATTTTTGGACACCTGACCCCAGGATCATGAAACAGACTTGGATAAAAATTTCGATTATCAACAAAATGTTCATTACTTGTAAACTGAAAGTCTTAATTTACATACAACATTATGTCTATTAATGCAAATTTAAAAGCATCTTCATTTTGGACTGCTTTATTTCTAAATAATGTCAGCGCATTAATATACATTTTTTGACTTAAGCTTAAGATGTTTCCTGATCCTAGGGCCTGTACCTTAGTTGTTACTGTAAATGTTCAACTCTGGATTTTTTGGAATCATTATTGTTTAAGGGGAACCAATTTCAAGGATCACCCTTCACTCTTACCCATGAATAAACATCCCCATGAACAATAACTTTTAACACATCAGTTCATCGAATCTTCTGTAAAAATGAGTTACCCACAACATTAATCCATACAAACTATTAAAATACTGGTTGCCCTCAAACACTGACTCTCACACATTTAAATGTTTCCAATGTACATTAAAATACAATTGTGTCCCATTTCAAAGTATCCAAAACAATTTCCGACTACAAATTGTGCATCTTTTTTGTTTTTTTTAAAACATTTCTATGCACAAAACAATTTCCCAACTACAAATTGTGCATCCTTTTTTTTTAAAAACAATTCTATGCAGCACATTTGATTTTTTTTTTTTTTGAGAACTTACTTTTTAAATGAAACAAACTGTGAAGTTTTATCATTCCGCAGGGATTTCTCTTTCCTTAGTACCTCAAGCACCACTGAAAAATACCAATAAAAGAATAACAATTTGGAAAAGATGAAAACTTTGAGAGAATACTGCTTTAATGGTCGCAAAATTCAAAACTGTGGAAAAAGATGCTCTGTAAAGCCACTGAAATTTTTAAAAGAACCAGCTTTTTGTTTCAATGGAGAGGCTTCCATCTGAAAGATCTTATCACAATTAACTTACCTTGATTGATATAGTCATTGTCCTTGTCTGCGATCACTCTATAAAGCTTGAAGTTTCTCTCCGGGTCAAAGACCGGGGTTCTCTGCTCAGAAATCCTTGTCGCGTTATCAATGATCAGCTGAGATTCAGATCTGTGATTGGTCCTTAGTTCTACTGCACACCATAGATTCTGCAGGCCAGCAAACATGTCCGAGAGAAAGTTACCAGGCTCAATAGACGGCAGTTGTCTAACGTCTCCTAGCAACACGATTCTTCTGAGATTAGCCTCCTTTACTAACATTTTGAATAAGCTATGGAAAGTTGTTATGGCAACCAATGAGCATTCATCCACGACAAGTGTGTTCACATTCTTAAACCTCCACTCCAGATATGGCTTCTCCTTTCTCTCCTGACAATATCTCATAAAGCTGTAGGTGACTTGATGGAGAGTGTAGCCTGTTTCACCTGCTCTCTTGCCCAGTAAATTGGCAGCTTTGCCTGTAGGAGCTGTGTAGAGTATCCTTGGTAATTGAGGTAACTCTTGACTTTCGGGTGGGACACAGTTTTCTTCTTTTTCAACATCTTCTTCGCCTTCCATATGTGGTGAACTAAGAAAATTTAAAAAAAAAAACATGGAAAGCTCAAAACATTACATATCAAAATTAATATCAAACAAGTCTTCTATGAAAAAGAAATTGCTTGCTTGCAAGAAAATGCCACTAACTGACAAAACTAATCACTTCATGTGTGCACTACTACATTAATAGGCAGAAAGCTTTACCTTATTGCATGAAAATTAATAAACTCAAAACCAAACATCCTATATATTATACTGTAAAAATATTACATCTGGTCATGAATTCTTTTTAACACTTTAGGCAGCATCAGCTAAATCAAGTACCTAGCTAAATGTCTTTATACATGTATATAGATACAGTCAAATCTCGTTATCTTGAACTCCAAGGGACCGAGAAAATACTTTGAGATAACCGAGGATTCGAGATATCCAGGACAAAATACTTAATAAGTAGTTGGGACTTCAAAATGACTTCGACATATCCATGGTATTTGAGATATACGTCTTTGAGATACCGAAGTTCAACTGTATATTAATATCTAGCAAATTCAGAAATGTGCTGAATGAAATCTAAATTCACTTGTTAAAAAATCAATTTCTGTCAAATATTATACATGCTACATATAATACATTTACAGCTACTTTGATATATTGCAGCAGAAGAATGCCTTCAATGAAAAACATACCTAATTCTTTGCTGGCATGATGACATCACCTTTGTAACCACAGTTGTTTTACCACACCCACCCTTCCCAGAAATCACTACTACAGGAAGCTGGGTCAGTAATTTAGCAGCATTCAGTTGGTCAGGATCACTCCGAATACCAGCAAATTTTTCACTGAAAGTAATGTTTAAAAAAAAATTTCCTTTTGAATATCAAACGGTGTTCGATCATCAGATTTTATAAATAGTAATTTGCTTAATACATGTACTGTAGATCATCAAATTTTCACAACCTTTTATTTTCATGAGAAAGTTTGGTAATGTATTCATAAGTGAGAAATATATATATATCCTTTGATAACACAAAAACATGTCAGAATGAAATTGGTCTCATGTACGTACACAAAAAGAAAGTTCTTGTAATACCGATAAAAAGTGATTTTCAGTACCAAGATATTAAAGTCAAATCGATTCCCATTTAAAGAGAGTCTATAATTCAACTCTTTTGCATTCAGGTATCATAATTATAGAAAGAGATTTTTAACCATTTCAGACTACAAATGGCAATTCAAAACTAATCTCTCAAGATCCAATTTCTTGAGGCTTATTTGACCACATCTGAACACATGTCTGGTAACCTTTGTGACACTGTGTGGCTATATATAGAACTAACCTCCAGATCCATATTGATCATTAGGGCAGGTATGTTGACCTTTTATGACACTCAGTGGCTATATATAGAACTAACCTCTCCAGATCAACATCTAGAATCCACTGCTCCTCCATCTGCTCCTGGAAGAGACGTGTCACCCCCTGTGCGATGTACTCCTCTGCTTTATACAGACTATACAGGAATATCCAGACCACCCCCTTTATGGTCTCCTCCTTCACCACTTTATTCCTCTTAAGGAAACTGATTGCCTCCTTGTAATTCAACATATAAGTTTGCATTTCTTCTTGAATTTTTCGACTTTTGAGTCCTGTGTGGCCCTCTTTCGTCTGGACTTTAAGATAATCGTAGATCAGTAATCCATCTCTGTAGGGCTGTTGTAGGTGCTGTGCAAGACCTGCTTTCTCGTAATAATTCCACTGAGCTTCACATCCAATGATGTGGTGGTCCTTACTTAAAATCTAGTATATCAAAATAATTTGGATATTTTGTTAACTATTTCAATTGAGTAAAGAAAACTTCATCACTGTTATGTTTTTTTGTTTTGTTTTTTTTTAAACTGCTTTAATCAACCTTAAAAAGTTGTGATATAGAACTCACTTTTTTCAAAACACTCACCTGTTTAAAGCCAAACACCCATGGTCTCTCATTTAAATCTTTTTCCATGGCTGCCAGATCCTGTGTGTCCATACAGATGATATCTAGGAACTGCATTGGTAGAAGCTGAGGCAACAAACTAAACATCAGAGGAAATTCTGAAGCTTTATAAACCAGCTGGGCCTCTGTAACACAAACATTTCTCAACACTAGATCACACTGCACATCAACTTTACACTTTTATACAATCCTGCTGATTCTCATACTAGCCCTTTATTTGTAACTCGTAGTTTTGGGAGTAATTAACTATGTGATCACCTTCTGGATTTTACATGAATCATTCTTTAATTATAATGTTTATAAACATGCTGAGACATGAACCATATATGTATCGCCCCCCCCCCTCCCCTCCCCCCACCCCGATGCCATTGCAACATTCCCTAGTATGAATCTTCTATCTAGATGAAGGCAGACTTTTGTCATGGACAACAACTTAAGCAGGTTGGTTGTGAATATATGCATTTTTCCCAATTGTTTACATACAGAATAAATTTGCTTAACCAATACCACACTGTTTGTAATTACGCAGTTTTACACCAAGGACAGAATTACCTTCACTATCTACAGCATTCCTTAACTTTCTAGCCTTTACTTTCTCATCTTCAGGAAGGTAGTTCTCAAACTTGTCCAAAAGTTCATAGACATCCTCAAAGGTCAACTTGTGCCGCTCCCCTAATGTGTTACTACAACCACAAAATAACATACTGCTAAACAGCCAAACAAAAATACTTCATGTTTATGATTATTAAATATGTGTGCATTCTTTTGTAATACTGTATACAGGGTTATTTTTGCCCTTTTATACTTGCAAACAATTTTGCCCCATTTTAAATTTGCCTAGTCACAGTTTTAAGAAATTATACTGTGTTCTTTGAATTTGCCCCATTCTAAATTTGTCCACCTGAGAGTAGGGCGAAAGGGGCGAAAATAAAACCATGGCGAAAATTTCCCTGTATAAAATGTTCTTTAAATCTACAGTTTTCCATTTCTTTTTTTTCCTTTATTTTCCTATACAATTGATGTTTCTTTTTTTAAATGGAATGTAAAATTTCTAAAAATAATTCAAATAATTCTTTCACATAGATCTTTACCAAACAAACTTGTCGAAGTCCTCCACATCTGGATCTGTGCTGTAATCATGAATTCTATGATGACGCTGACCTCTCCTCTCTATGTCTTCCTGCTTTTTATTCACCTGTGACGTGAACTTGTTAAGGAATTGGAACAAGACTCCATTCTTTAGCACCCACTCCTTTTCCAGGAGCTGGTAAGACATGGCACACATGTCAGACTGATGAGATAAGCCATCAAACTTTCTATCTGTTCTCAAAATTTGGATCCGCCACCAGGGATCAATGAGATGAAATCCAGCGTTAACGTCCACTCGGCATCTTTTTCTCTGGTCAACCAATGTCCCTACGACATATTTTACAAAATACAGACTGACTCACCATGCTCACAAATGACATATAGTGAAATACAGTCAAACCTTGTTATCTCGAACTCGATGGGACTGAGAAAAACTTCGAGATATCGAGGGAAAATACTTAAGAAATACGTGGCAAGGACTTCCCAGTCACTTCAACATATCCATGGTTTTCGAGATACCGAAGTTCAACTGCATACTTTCCCTTCAATTTCCTTGGTTAATGGAGTAATAACCAACTGTTCAATGGTGGTGGGGGGTTAAAAGCGTGTACAGCTGAGATCATACATTTAAAATCTGCATGAAGACTAATGACATCATGTTTGACATTCTAAATTTATGATAAAATATCTATCTTGATGTCTAAAAAATGTACCACCAAGTCATTGCAGGTTAAAAAAATGAATCAAAGACATACCAGTACTTTCAACTTTACATTTATTTACAGTATATTTCTGTTTATCATATAACAGGTGAAAAAAAAAATATTTAAAACTCATTCTTAGGAATAGTGTGTCTTGTAATGCAAAATTCCCAGAACTAAACTGTTCAATTCCAAAAACTGCACTATAACACATAAGCATGGTTTTTGCAGGATTAAAATGGATATTTTTTTTTTCATTTTGTGATCAAATCCCCCGTATACATAGATACCTTTAATTCCTCTTTGTTTCGTCCTCTTGAGGAATGTTTTTCCTCCACTAAATGAGGACTTGATTTCTTTAAAACTGAGGAACTGTACTTCTTCCTCCTCTTCCTCACTGTCATCATCATCATCTGAATCATGGTGGTCAAACGGTCTGAACACTCCACATACAGGGTTTTGGGTTTGAACTTTTTTTCTTCTGTTCCATTCTCTTGTGTATCTCTTCATCTCACTGTGGCACAAATAAAAATCATGTATATCAATATAATGGTCACCCCTAAAATTCTTTTGCTTTTACCATTTACTATGAATACATGCATTTACATAAACATTTTTTTTTAGTTTTAATTGTCTATCAATGGCTATTTAGCTGTTGCGTAATCAGAATTGTTTAATTTTTTTTCCATTGGAATACATGCTTCAATGTACCAGGTAATCAATGTGCAAATTAAGATTTTTTTTTGGCACAAATCTTTCATATTTAGGCACTTTGGCTCAGTGGTTATCAGTGGGAGTATATAAGAGCATGCTCTGAGTATGATCAATTTCTAGCTGTGGCAGGCTACTGACAAATAAGTTGCAACTGTTGCCATTACAGAACTTTCTACAAGCTTTTTTAAAGTCAGGATTTTGCAAATTCTATGTCCTTGTTTGCAAATTATAATTCTTTGTTTTCAAATACAACCTATCCCTGAGTTGTATTCAGGGTTGTCCCCAAGACCTGGGGGCCGGGGAATTTCCCCACTTATAATGATGTAGTCCCCTGGTTACTCTGGTGTTCTCCCTCATCACCCTGTTAATGGAGGAACCCCAGACCCCCTTCTACTTTTTAAATGTCCCCCTGCTATTTTAATTCTTAGGGACAACCCTGTGTATTTCATACTAATTGTTAGGTTTTTATTTGACTATGGATTACATTTTACCCCACCTCTGTTGATTTTTCGATGAAATCCTGGCTTACGATTGGTTGAAGTCTGTCACGTGAAGGGGGTGTATTACTTATACCTAGTCGCTTGAAAATCAATACATGGTCGATACGGAGTTATCGCTCTTTTGTAACGTTCGAACAACTCGAGTTCACGCGATTTGCAGAGTGTCTGTTGACAATGTTACAGTTAACTAATGTAAGTAACGAAGATGGAACCTTTTTCTCCCTTTACTGAAAGTCTTCAAAACTGTCAGTACGTTATTACAGCACGAAACACTCGCAAAACAACATTACGTCACACAACGTGACGTCATAATAGGCCTAGTGAGAAAAACAATTTTACAAACCACAGACAATGCATAAATATTTTATCGGTGGGGTAAATTCGTTACATAGTTTTTTAGTGACAGGGTACGGGATGATACCTAGTTAGTAAATTCCACACCTGGCTCGGCTTCGCCTCGCCAGGTATGAAATCTACTAACCAGGTATCATCCCGTACCCTGTCACTAAAAAACTATGTAACTAATAGTACTCTGTTTACCTGACCAATACAGAGGACTCACAACTGGTGTGGTCGGTTGAGAGGGGATTCTTTAGTACAGCTAGGCACCTGGGGCCCCGTTTTACAAAAGAACTTACGACGAAAACCAAAAACTTAAAATGATTGTAAAATTTTTCAAAATTAATGATTCTTTTTAAAATTGCTAGCATAAAAATATCTTTCTACGTTCCTTTTAAAAAGATTAAAACCATTTTTAATTTAATGTAAATTAGAAAGTTATAAGCAGATATAAATTTTGGTCTTAGTTGTAAGTTCTTTTGTAAAACGGGCCCCTGATCCCACCTCTGGCATTTCTAGAGGTCAGTGTTTATGCCCTTTCAAGTTTTGTATTGTTGTGATTTATGAGATTTATCACAGATTCTTATCTTCACCTTTCTAATTGATATCTCCTTAATATATTCTATATATGCAACAAACTATTCAATTTTTTCCCTTGAAGACCCCCCCCCCTCCCCCCAATAAGTTATGCTGTAATTTTTTGTGTGCTCAAGAACTGCAAATAATTTACACCTCTTCACATCACAATATTTAAATTTAATTTTCATGTGAAATGAATTGGACAGTGGATATCGGCCTAGGTAGGTCAGTTGGTTGAGCACATGACTAGTCAGTAGTGTCAGTTGGTTGAGCACATGACTAATCAGTAGTGATGCTGGGGTCTGGAGTTCTATTTCTAGTTCAGCCATACATTTTTTCCTGTTACATAATTTGATGCCATTGACCTCCCCTGAACATGCAGGTGAAAGTCTTGCCAGGGGCAAATAAGAACTTGGGTTGTGTCTTCAAGGGTGAAGACTGTGACAATTTAAGGAGGGAGGAATGTAATGGTTTGGGCCATGGATATCTGCCGGAGTAGCTCAGTTGGTAAAGCACTTGACTAGAGATCAGGGATCCCGGATTCGATTGCAGGTCCAGTCATACATTTTCTCCTTTCCTGATTTACATAAATTTAATATATACTAATAATTACTAATAGTATGTGGGCCCCTGCTAAAGCATAACAAATGGAAACGATTACAAGCTCAATAAATGTAGGAATGACAAGCTAGTACTTTTGATAAGGTATTATTAGTTACATAGTTTTTTAGTGACAGGGTACGGGATGATACCTGGTTAGTAAATTTCATACCTGGCGAGGCAAAGCCGAGCCAGGTATGGAATTTACTAACCAGGTATCATCCCGTACCCTGTACTTCAAAACTATGTAATGAATTTACCCCACCGATAAAATATTTATACATTGTCTGTGGTTTATAAAATTGTTTTTCTCACTATATGTATGTTTCATCACTCATACAATGCCTATTATGACGTCACGTTGTGTGACGTAATGTTGTTTTGCGAGTGTTTCGTGCTATAGGCTAATAATTTAATTTTGTTTGTATTCTAGCCTCTGATTGGTTAATATCCAAAAAGGAACACAAATTATTTCTGTATAACCTGGTTTGGTATGGGGACACACCCCCCTGACAACCAGCTGAATCGTCTGTATCCATGCAATCCTCTCATTTCCAGTCCTCGGGATTCATGGAAAATTCCAGATTTAATAAATGTATCTTTAACTTCAAACAGTAACTTGCATCTTACCAAATGTAAACAAAACAACATGGCTGCTAGGACTATGTATCAGTTTTTACCTCCCCTCACTTCCCATCACTTCCGTTACTAGGGTTGTATTATTGAGCGGCAAATTTGAACTAATAAAAAGCAACGAAATTTTACACCCACAGTTGTTTAATGATTTTAGAATTAAATTATAAGGAATGACTCTAATTCTTGGCCAAATTATTCGAGTATAACCTGGTTTGGGTCAGTTTACGCTGTTTTATAATCCGCTTCGCGGATTATAAAGCGTAAACTGACCCAAACCAGGTTATACTCGAATACTTTGGCCAAGAATTAGAGTCATTCCTAAAATAACGTACTGACAGTTTTGAAGACTTTCAGTAAAGGGAGAAAAAGGTTCCATCTTCGTTACTTACATTAGTTAACTGTAACATTGTCTACAGACACTCAGCAAATCGTGTGAACTCGAGTTGTTCGAACGTTACAAATGAACAATAAACGTATCGACCATGTATTGATTTTCAAGCGACTAGGTATAAGTAATACACCCCCTTCACGTGACAGACTTCAACCAATCGTAAGCCAGGATTTCATCAAAAAATCAACAGAGGTGGGGTAATGTGTTTTATCGAGGGACTTTCCTGATAAACAGACTGTTCTTCAAATATACCAATTCCTGTCATCAGTTTAACTGAACTCACTGCTGAACCCAAAATATGAACAGTTGAACTTCTGTTTAACTGTTTAAAGTGTACATAAACTTGATAGAGTGTAAACATGGTAAACAGCTGGTAAAGTGTTTAAAGTGTATAAAGAATATCTAATGTAAAGAGTACGTCTCACCAACTTTTCCATCAGCTCAATGCTCTGTTTTATTCGCAGAAATAATGCTCTTGTGTCAGAAATGAATTTTGTTTAGTTAGCAAACAAATTTCGATCCAACTTTTGTTTTCATTTCTATTAAATTTTATTTGTGTGATTTCCGATCCCGATTTCAATAGATCGGTAAATCTCCAGATTAGTAAACAAAAAAAAAAAAAAAACACCAAACATTAGTAGTCATATATATTTTTTCCTTTTTTGGGGGTGTGTGTTTGTGTGAATATTCAATATGTTAAGGGGGCGGGGGCAATCTATCTAGTTTACAATAGAGGAGGACCCCCCCCCCCCAATGTAATACATCACATTTGTATAGTTATCTACTTACAAATTCGCAATTATAATAGGCCAGTAGATACATCCTTTTTTCTATTACAATTCTCTTTAAAGATTTTTTTTCTATAAAGCAAACAATTATAAAAAATAAAACTACCTTGCGTTTGAACTTTTCCTTGGTTATTGGTAAGTGTAGTGACAGCAATACCTATAATATCTTACACATTAGAACATGCCAGATTACACCACCATTGCGGGATATTATGTCAATATAATCCCCGTGGGGGTGTCGCATAATTTACGTTCCGGATACTTCGCGTTCCGGCCGGAACCTTAAAATCATAATATTGGTTCCGGATTTTACTGTAAGTTTGGTTCCGGCCATGGCTGCAATCTTCGAATCGCGGTATCTCTCAATTATTATCTGCCACATGTGCCAGTTTTCATTCAACACTGAACCATAGAAGTAGTTTTTACCTTGAGGATTAAGCATGGCGTAGCGGTATGCCATTTTCATGTGGCGCAATGTTCTTTTTATAAGGCGTCATGCCCTTTTTGTACAGCCATTTTTAAAAATAAATGAACAACTGATGAATAAATAGCCCAAGTAAAGATCGTAAAATATGCTTTCTGATACATATACACCGAATAAAATTTGGTCGCATGAAAGGCTTTGTTTATCTAATGCATGCAAATTAAGTCCCTTTGTTTATTAAGTGCATGTCAGGTGTGAATTTCTCGATAAATAAACGCAGACCCGGGTAAAGAGGATAGAAGATAAACTAGACTGAGATTACAAAAGCCTAAAAAGAAGCACAATGTCAAAGATAAATTTGATCAGTAGATTTTAATTTTATAATCTGATAAAGTAAAGAATTAAATACAAAATGGTATAATTGTATACGACTGAGAGATGCATTCTCTGTTTAAATGATATTACAAGTGTTGCAAATTCCACAATGTTGAGCCTCGAATACATGGCTTCCATTCCTCATAGATATTATCACTTGGCATGAAAATATGATTTATATTCCATTAGAAATAAACAAACATAAAAAATATAATTCACTGATGAAGATAGTTATATAGTTTTTGTGATAAATTAACAATGGATATTTCATGAATATGTGGTTTATTCTGCAATGAAACAAACATGAAAACATACCGATATGGTTTATTCCCTTAGAATAAACAAACACAAGTAATTAATGAAAATTATGTTGTTGCTGTTTTTAAAGACCGTAGGAAGAAAAAAAAAACAAGGTTGAAATATGAAAAGTAAAGACCAGCAATGTTGATTGTGAAAAAAGCAGTGCGGTAAACTGAATTAGCTCTTGACAAATATTTTAGTTAAATCGAGGTTTTAGAAAATTTTAAATGATTTTTTTTTTATGTTTTAAAGGCCTTGAAATGCACTTTTTGGTAACTTCGATGCAAGTCCTACCCACGGAGAGTATTTTCAAACATATTTGTTACATGTACTAGGTTGTTTCTTTTCCACTTTATTACGCATACGAAGGAAAATTAATTAATTTAATACGAATAAAAATTAGATAACGTTTCGGGTTACAATTGCTGTGTATTTTCAAACATCTTTTGTTACTAGGCTGTTTCTTTTTCACTTTATTACAAAGATAAAGTAGCCCGGAACTAAAATTATGGTCATAATTAACGTTCCGGGTTACAATTGCTGAGAGTATTTTCAAATATCATTGTTACTAGGTTGTTTCTTTTCCACTTTATTACGAAGTTAAAGTAGTCCGGAACCAAAATTATGGTCCTAATTAACGTTCCGGGTTACAATTGCTGAGAGTATTTTCAAATATTTTTGTTACTAAGTTGTTTCTTTTCCACTTTATTACAAATAAAAGATAAAGTAGCCCGGAACCAAAATTATGGTCATAATTAACGTTCCAGTTTACAATTGCTGTGTATTTTCAAACATCTTTTGTTACTAGGCTGTTTTTTTTTTTTTAACTTTATTACGAAGATAAAGTAGCCCGGAACCAAAATTCAAAGGCACTTGGAGTATGGACTCCCCCCCCCCCCCCTTTTCCATTTTTTTTCTTTTTAAATCTGGGGTCGTTTTCGACGGATACATATTTTTATGTATCAGTCGAAAACGGTATATTTAAAAACAGCATATAGAGACAAACGAGTTACATTATTGATAACATATAGTGCATATTAGAATACAAAAATAGGTAAAAGGTGACTCGACCCCAGATTTAAAAAGAAAAAAAAAATGGAAAAAGGGGGTTCATACCCCAAGTGCCTGTGCCAAAATTATAGTCATAATTAACGTTCTGGGTTACAATTGCTGAGAGTATTTTCAAATAGTTTTGTTACTAGATTGTTTCTTTTCCACTTTATTACGAAGATAAAGTAGCCCGGAACTAAAATTATGGTCATAATTAACGTTCCGGGTTACAATTGCTGAGAGTATTTTCAAATAGTTTTGTTACTAGGTTGTTTCTTTTCCACTTTATTACGAAGATAAAGTAGCCCGGAACCAAAATTATGGTCATAATTAACGTTCCGGGTTACAATTGCTGAGAGTATTTTCAAATATTTTTGTTACTAGGTTGTTTCTTTTCCACTTTATTACGAAGATAAAGTAGCCCGGAACCAAAATTATGGTCATAATTAACGTTCCGGGTTACAATTGCTGAGAGTATTTTCAAATATTTTTGTTACTAGGTTGTTTCTTTTCCACTTTATTACAAAGATAAAGTAGCCCGGAACTAAAATTATGGTCATAATTAACGTTCCGGGTTACAATTGCTGAGAGTATTTTCAAATATTTTTGTTACTAAGCTGTTTCTTTTCCACTTTATTACAAAGATAAAGTAGCCCGGAACCAAAATTATGGTCATAATTAACGTTCCGGGTTACAATTGCTGAGAGTATTTTCAGATATTTTTGTTACTAGGTTGTTTCTTTTCCACTTTATTACGAAGATAAAGTAGCCCGGAACCAAAATTATGGTCATAATTAACGTTCCGGGTTACAATTGCTGAGAGTATTTTCAGATATTTTTGTTACTAGGTTGTTTCTTTTCCACTTTATTACGAAGATAAAGTAGCCCGGAACCAAAATTATGGTCATAATTAACGTTCCGGGTTACAATTGCTGAGAGTATTTTCAGATATTTTTGTTACTAGGTTGTTTCTTTTCCACTTTATTACGAAGATAAAGTAGCCCGGAACCAAAATTATGGTCATAATTAACGTTCCGGGTTACAATTGCTGAGAGTATTTTCAAATATTTTTGTTACTAGGTTGTTTCTTTTCCATTTTATTACGAAGATAAAGTAGCCCGGAACCAAAATTATGGTCATAATTAACGTTCCGGGTTACAATTGCTGAGAGTATTTTCAAATATTTTTGTTACTAGGTTGTTTCTTTTCCACTTTATTACGAAGATAAAGTAGCCCGGAACCATAAATAATGTTCCCGGTTACAATTTCTGATATTATACTTTCATGTAAATTAGTTGAAATTGATTCGTCTAGAAACATTTGTTAAAAAAACACGATTACCCGCTGAAGGTGTATTCCTTGTGAAGTGACAAGACTTTCTCTAGAATACCAACAATTTTGACCTTCACCTTGGGGTTGAACTATTGAAAAAAATTAACTTTAACCTTGGCCATAACTTTTGACATTTGATGCTAGGGTTTTTATATTTCACATGTATATTTCATGTGACGGGTCCTTTCCCTGGGTATCATTGATTTTGATCTGTATCTGTACCCGGCCTTTGAGTTTGACCCACTTTTTAAAAACTCTAACCTTAGCCATATATGACTTTTGAACGGTTGGTTTTGGGGCTTTCATATTTCACAGGTATTTTCATTGATACAAGTCCTTTTTTGGAAACCAACATTTTGATCTCTTGACCTTGACCTTAGAGTTTAACTTGCACTTTAGAAACTTTACTCTTCACAAAAGACTGCCGTACGGGAGCATCGGTGTTTCACAAACGCATTTTGTTTTTTATTACTTCTCACTTTACCTAATGTGTTTACGTTAAAGCGTTTTTTTTAACTATTAATCTAAAACAATTCCAGTATTTAATGTGAGCATGTAACCCTGTCTTTGACACATAATCTTTCAATTTTAAGTCTTTTAAAAAGTTTATTATTATTTATTAATTGCTTTAGACATATATCTTATCGCATTTCAATAATAACAAACAATACCAAATACATGTAATACATTATGGCATTGTATGGTAGTTTTTATAGATTACACAATCGTCATATACATTGTATCATGATTTCATGGAGAATTACCATATCATATACGAAAAAACTTTCTCTCAACTTAAAAGCATAATGGATATATGTCCCAAAGTTACAGAGATCATGGACGTTGTGAGCACTTAATAATTGTACAAATTTGTATTAAACGACTTCTGTCAGTAATACTTCTTGACATATTTTTAAAGAAGCTTTTCAAAATGCAGGTCGTCAACCCCCCCCCCCCCCCCTTTTGAAATATTTCTAGATCCACGCATGTTCACTTTAACACATTCTACACATTCCACTCTCCCTAAGTATTTTATTATGTCGTCCTGTCTCATAATCAAGATTATAAGATGAAAGCCTTATTCGACTAACTTGAAATGGAGCTGTGCAGTTTTAAACTGACGAAAACTACGCGCCACATTTTTCGTTTCACGGGGGGAGGGGGATATTTTCCATTTTCCACTGCATTCTATAGCGGAAAACATGTTTTAACAGAATTACATAGTCTCTTTTTTTCCAAATAATTATTGTTTTGAAACTTCGTTTATTTATATATATCATTCAGATATGCCTTTTGAAAATTGAGGTAGGTGACAAAACAGTTCTGAATACATGGTATATAAATCTCGGCGTTTGACATTTTAGCGGGGGAAAATGGACGTTTTATAGTGAAAAATGTGACATTTAAGCGGAAATTAAAATACATATGGATATATACATACACTGGATATTATATCTATGCCTCTTCCGTTAGCCAGTCGGGCTAAGTTTTCTGCCCCCTGCGGGGGGAGGGGGTAGGATTTTGCGCAGACTTAACAATACTATTCATTTCTCAGGATTGTAAAATACAAATCTGTATCTGTATTACATTTCCTCTTCAGGGTTATTATTACCAATGCTGATACCTGCGCTTACCTGTATAAATAAAAATGAGTTGAGTTTTATTCAATAGTTTTTGCTGTGTCGTCGAAACCTTTGCTAGAGTCGGGAACTTAGAAATTTTAAAGTTCGTCATATTTTGCTGGCATTACATTGATTGTTTAAAAAAATAAATTTTAACCGAGAAAAAAAAATCCACAATTTTTTTTTATTGAATTATAACAGGAATTTGTTTTTCTTCACATTAAATGCTTTATAATTTTTCCGCTGAAATTAATGTCTATTCACACTTTTGCAGGTCCTTCGCCCACACATCTCCTATTATGTTCATTCATGTATTGTGATTTAATTATATACTTGGCTTTACAAAAACGCAATGGGTGTTTGAAAAAATATATATAAAGATATTAAAATATTATCCAATAATTTTTTTAATCGTAAATATAATTCATCTATTAGCATTACCAACTGATCAGGCTGCCCGTTGCCGAAAACTCATTTAAAATTTCGGAAATGACACAGCGATTCGCATGACCTCATATTGTATGGAGGAAGGGTGTCATAAAACAACATGATTGGGTAGGTCAATGTAAACAAGTTTCACACCTTCGCGTTCTTTTGTTTACAAAGAAACAACATAATTACATATAATTCCATGGAATGGATTATAGTATTGGTACATGTACATGTATTAAGACCCTATATTCGGGCTTCTTCTAAAGCGATATACGTTTAAAATCCTGCTGCATCGTACAACCCGTTAAAAGAAAGAAAAAAAACCCAAATTATTTGTAAATATTAATTATATATAAAGTTTTTAAAAGGGTGCTTGGATGCCCGGAACGTTTATTATGGCCGGAACCAAACTTACGCGGGCCGGAACGTTTATTATAGCCCGGAACCAATATTATAGGTATTTAGCGTTCCGGCCGGAACGCTAAGTTACCCGGAACGTAAATTATGCGACAGGGGTCCAAATTAATCCTCAATTACTGAAATGTCACAATATTGTTCCTATAGTTGTGCAAAATATCCTTCCTTCGAGGAATCTTAAATCTCTATACAAAGGAGCAATTTCAACGCTAAATAATGACCAAAACAAATCAATTTCTATATAAATGTATTCAATCTACATTTGACCAGCAATTCGTTGAAATGCAGTCTTTCCAAATTAAAAGGATGAAAAGCAGTTTCCAGAAAAAAGTGCAGACGTAATATTTGATATTCAATATTCCAGACCTGTTTACCCAAATTGTTGTCTCTCAGTATTTTTCATTAGATTTGTCAGTGAGATTTGGCATTTGCCCGTAAGATTTCACTTTTCATCGACTGTACATATATTACTAGAAAACAACTACATTTCTGATTACCAAAACATGGTTTAATAACCAAGTAAAACATCATGCACTGCTCTCTTTTGAGTGATTTCTGTCATTTTTTAAACCACCGCGTTTTGGCAACTTATATGTTTGAAAATTTTCTCTTCTTGAGCGATTAAAAAGCGTCAAACTGAGACAGATAACAAAAACTAATTGCTAAAATCCATATGAACGGACTTCCGAATTTTCGTTATAGCAAAACGTAAGACGTATTTTAGACTGAAAATCCGTACAAAATACGGCGAAATCGTAAGAGTAAACAGGTCTGATATTCTCTCTCTCTCTCATCTCACAGGAGGTTCCCGTGTTTCCTTGGATTTTTTTTCATCATAACATTTCGTCACAAAGGAGAAAAAGATAAAGAATAGATATTTGAAGGGGTTCAGCAAGAATTATGGCATTCGATTTTTATCGAGCCCCTTGAATGAAATATCGATTCTTTCTCGCATCCATTTGTTGGTGCAGAATTTGTCAAATGGTGTTTGGGTGCATGAAAAAAGTAAACCCCCTTCCCCCCAAAAATCACGTTTTACATCCCCTCCCGTATTACTTAAAATTTGCTTTTTATTGACTAAATTGAACTTCTACATAAACCATTAGATTGCATCTTGAACTTTCAGCTGTACATAACTCTGCAGCAATCCCTAATCATAGGAGCTATAAGCCTCGCAACACAGTCCTTTTCCTCCCACTAAAAATTGCAAAACACCATGTTGAACAAAATATTTCCATTTTTCCTTTCACATCGTTCTGGATCTGCAATGATGATTCTTTTTTTCTGTCATAAGCCTGCAGCTCAAGCGAGGAAATACAACCAAGATAATCAAAGTAATTTTATTACTGTCAATTGCAGGTAAAATAAGGAACCAAGCAGATACAAATAGGTTATTACAATACATATGTACATATACCTGCGACATACAGTGCGATCTGTTAATTGAACGTTGCATGTATATTAACATTCTGAATTAACATTTTCTAAGCACTAGCTATATAAACAATTAATACAAAAATGTTTCAAAATGAAAATGATAACTATAGTATTCTACTACATATATTTACAATAAAAAACAGTTGGGAAATATTATGCATGCGATCTAAATATAGATAACAAATATTAACTTGGTACATTTTTTTCACCATATGCATTCAACATAATCTTCTGGTCAACATAGAAGCACGTTTTCAGTCGTTTCTTTCACATCCACATACAGGGATACTCACATTGACATAAGCTAGGTTAACAAAAATGTTCAATTTGGTTATATTTCTATAACGAAGCACCTACCCAGCTGTCGAGGGCACATTACTTCTCAGCTTTAGGGGCCATGACCGCCACTCGTCCTTTGGGGTCCCGGACACACTTGATTTGCTTATAGTCCACGCCCTGTGGCACGATAAACTCACGCCTGTAAGACCGGGATATTTTCATCCCATTTTCCTCGCTCTGGTGATCTGCGGAGACTGACACGATGTTTCCACGTCGTTTGACCTTGACATCTGCGGGGTCAAACATTGACAAGTCCAGTTTGGTTTCAAACGGTTTCTTATTGCTCTCGACTAACTGCATGTCTTTTTCCTTACCATCTGTAATGGCTGGAACACTCTCTACTTTAAGTTCCACTTCCTCAGCTTCATTACGCAAGAGTGGCGCTTCAACAACGTACGTTCGGTCATTCATCATCCTTCCTTGAACTTTGGTCTGGTCAACGCCGTCTGGAATTTTGATGCACCGTTTCACCTCCCGCATCTCCCCGTTTTCGTCGTCTCCGCGGACGTGGCGAGCGTGAACTTTAACGTTGCCGTCCTCTACGCTCATTTTTACGTCTTCCGGTCTGAAGTTATCCAAGTAAAAAGCATGGCTCCATTTAGCCGGTACATCTCTGACGGTGCCAAGTAGCTCATCGTTCAGCACGCTAGAGATCAGGCTCCTGAAAGGTGTAGCAGGGGCATAGACAGACGGGTAAAATGGATTGAAGTCATACGTAATAGGTATCAAAGCCATTGCGCCCCTTCGTAATTTATTTCTGCTCTATAGCGTATTTTCTTTGTCTGGGTTGTTTGTAATATTGATTTGATACAGTGGTCGGCGCATTTATATATAAAACAGCGCAACATAGTTCTAGAAAAACCTGGAATTTGTCGTATATACGCCGCGCAATTTTGATACTAGTATTTTGTTTACTTATTACGTAACATGAAAGGTTCGATAAAGTTCTAGAATCAGCCTGATTGGTAAAAATACATTTACCCAAAAAATTACAGATCGGTAAAAAAAAATAATTGTTTTGGCTTTTGAATCATTGTAGCCTATATACTAAAACTATTCATATAAATATTTTTTAGATTGATTACAAATTATATTGTTTACATACGGTGGCTGATACGGGACATATTTTTTTGAATGCAAAAGGTTATAAAGAAAAAAGCAAATCTATTCAATTCACCTGGGCAAAACGGGGAGAAAAGTTCAATTTTTTGTCAAGTCCTATTTATATGAACTGCTAAACATTGCTTGTTAATCAGAAAATTCTTATTTTACAATCTAATCATAATTTGATCTTTGATCCGCTTATGCAAGGTGTAGCGATCTAGTTGGAGCGGATCAAAGATCTAATTTTAATTAGATTGCTTATTTGATGAATTTTCCATTTAAAAGGGTTTAAAATGCGATACCTAATACATTTTTATACCCCCTCCTCTGCTTGAAAAAGGGGGTTATAGTGTCATTAGTGATGGATGCATGTACGTCCGTCCGTACATCCGTCCGTTACACTTGAGGGTAGCCTTCCCTTATCCGCAACTCCTCCTATACCACTGAATAAAATTTATTGAAAACTTTCACTGAACCTTGATTATATGTATAGTTTGGGTTGCGGCCTGAGTAGGTCAGTTGGAAGAGCACCTGATAAGTGATGCAGGGGCCCGGTCCAGCCATACATTTTCTCCTTTCCTGTTACATACCTTTCGGTGGGACACATAATAGCAAAGCATGGACTTTGCCATTCTTTTTATAATATTGCAGTACCCATCTCTTATTCGCACTCCTCCTATACCACTGATTACAGTGCCATTGTGACCTATTTTACTTTTCGGTTGGAATATATTTGGTGGTTTCCCCTAGCAAAACATTGACTTTGTTATTATACTTGATAAAGGAGTGCATTTTGTTAATGCAACTGAGTCCTCCTTAACCCCAGAATGAAATTCAAAGGGACTTTGAAAGAATTTCATTTATGTACTGCTATAAGAAATGCACGTTGCCACGTTGCCATTACAAGGTATACTCATGCATATGGGAGCTGGGGAAGTGTAACATTTTGTGAGCTCAGTGATCACACTTGAAGGTACGTGTCTGCAATAGGTTTCACTGAAACAATTTGACTTTATGGAGAAAAAAGGACACAACCATTCCCTAAAAAATTAGGGCTGGGACGATACAACATTTTTATATCGATACGTATCACGATATTTGAGCCACGATACGATATGTATCACGATATGTTGAATTAGTTATAAAATGTTTTTTTTTTTGGTATTGAAATGAACAAAACGTTTCTTCACAAATAAGAATAATTAATTTAAAAAAGTTGTATATCTGTTGTAAAACAAAATCATTTTTCACAAGTGGTGTTTATTATTATGTATTTCATATTCATACTTATATTTTGCATATTTATTTTATATATTTACATGTAACCCAAAATGTTAAGTAAACAAAGAAAAATAAACAAGTCAGAAATTTTTTTGCGATATTTCGATATTTCTTCATACATATCGATATGCGTATCATCCTCACATTGAATCGATATTATCGATATCTCGATATATCGTCCCAGCCCTAAAATAATCTATATGACTGAACACCATAATTTTCATAAATATATACATGTACAATAAATATCATGTCCGAAAGAACCACAGGTACTTGGGTCTTGGTTTATATCAATAAGGTACATACATATTTATAAACCAAGACCCAAGTACCTGTGGAAAGAACCAGGATGCTGGGGGTAGGGGGGGGGGCAATAATTTTGCTAATACATGTGTATACTTTACAATATAAAAAAGGTTATTTTCAGCTGCGTCCCTCAATAATTTTGCCAGTATATACCATATACAATATAAAACAAGTTTAGAATGATGCAAAGCATAAAATCGACCGAAAAAATATTTAAGCATTGCTACAACGCAAAATAACGACTCATAAAAAAAGTAACTGAGATTATTATATTTTGCGTTACTACATTTTGCGTCAAGAATAACGAATGATATACACTATTTTTTAGGTCTTGATATCTAGGGCCTGGGCCTTTCCAAATGGGAAAAATAGCTTCATTTTCTTGATATTGGAAAAAAACATTTCATACAAGAAAAATAGGGGGGGGGGGGGCATTAAAGTATAATTGGACTCCTTCTAGTTTCAATTTGGCCAAGGCTTATCTTATCTAAATAAGCAGAGGCAAAAAGTTTACTTAACAAATTTAGGATAAGATTGGAATCTGTGGGACATTTGGGGGGGGGGGATTTATGAACAATAAGGCTATCCTGCTTTGATTTTTTTCATTGTTAGGGAATTTTAAAGCAAAAACTGGGAGACATACTAGTACCTGCTTATTAGCATTGGTGACTCATTTCGCTCCTCCCTACAGACCTTAAAAACTTTTAAGATTATTATGTTTTGTATCATCACATTTTGCCTCGAGAATAACTTAGAATGTAATAACGCAAAATGTAATGATACACTTTTTGGATACATGTAATTACATTTTTAGTTACTATTACTACATTTTGCGTTGGAATTAACGCAGAATACAAAACTGATAAAAGGTTATAATCCCTTTAAGTTTTTATGTCCACAAATAATGCATTTTTCATAGATAGTGAGAATATATATTGCTGCATGTCAGTAAAGTTTTCTTAATGCAAAAATTACTCCCCTATCCAAAATATTCATACATTTCCTGTCGATATAAATTTTGCATTGATCTCGAAGCAAAGTTAATTTTAACAAAATGTCATATAAAATCCTTGTAAGTTTCCTTAAAATAATGATAACCATATTTTCTCACTTCTGAAAGTTTCTTGTTTTGAATCATTGTTCTTATATCTCAATTTTAATTTTTTTTTATTTATTTATTTAATTTATTTATTTATTTTTTTTTTTTACAGAAATCGAATAAAGTATTATTTTATCTTCAACTTATTTGTTTAAGCATTTCTGTTATATTTTATTGTAAATTCTTTAAATTGTTGCTCTGGGGAATTGGTTTCTTCCTGAATTTTGAGGGGTAAATTTTTACATCTAATTATACAAATGACTATTTCAATTGGTGTTAGTACAATCTGTGTAAATTGTACACAGACTGTCAGGAAGACAAATGTGAATATATTTATAGTATTTGACAGTATTCTGTTATAATTATTCTTTAAAGAGCATCACATGGCACGTTAAGCTCATGAAATGATACATTATTCCCTCACTTTTAACCCAGAATTCTACAGTGATGGATTTTTTTACTAGTGGTAAAGTTGTAGTGAACTTTAATAATGATAAAAAACAGCCTTGAAAAAGAAAGTGACGAGTGGAGATCTCCTGAAAAAAGAATCAGTCTGAAGAATTTCTTGGATTCAACAAGTGAAAAACAAGAAAATTTCTAAAGGAATATTCATTTTATTAGGGTTTTGAGATTAAATGCAAATTTCTCAACACTAATCTATCCATTTCTCGCATCAATTTTCTTTTACATCTTCTGAAGAAATGTCATTCATAAATTCACAGAAGTCCCCGTCTGCGTTTATGTTTCTTATCTGTCAGTCAAGATCACAGGTTCCCGAGTAACACGACTATACATGCATAATTTCGCGTTATAAAGCGAAAGTTTCGCGTTCATTCGCGGAAGTTACGCGTTATAACGCGAAGTTACGTGTTTATTTGCGAAAGTTTCGCGTTATAACTCGAAAAAAAATTTTCCGTACGAAAATGAGCTCAATGGATTTTCGTACTTCTGTGTTCCTGGAGGAAAAAAAAATATTTTACAAAACAAAAAACGGAGCATTTTTTCCCCAAATGTATCCTGAAAAAAAAAATCATCGAAACTTCCCAATCTGATTAAAATCAGATCCTTTGATCCGCTCACATAGATCGCTACTTGTGTAGCGATCTATGTGAGCGGATCAAAGGATCTGATTTTAATCAGATTGAGAAACTTCCAATCAAGTAACTGACATCTCATAAATTTGGTCATTCTTGAATAATGAGTGCATTCAAGAATATTATTTCAAGATATTTTCAGTCTATACCACGGAAATCAAGCGTCTTCGAAGATGTAAGCTGTCTAACGTAATTTAGGTATAACAGTTAAAAATAACCTTCATATGTATCAAATGCAAATTAATTAACTGCATGTCCCATATTTAGTACCTTTTCTGGACAGTTACACCATTATTACAATATTACATGCATTGTGACCTTTTAAAGTATCTTTTTATGTTCCTATTGAAAAGGGGGCATACATTGCTTTGCACCAATATACCAAGTGTTGTCTGATCATTATCTTGAAAACCCTTTGCCAGACAGACATCAAACTTAGTACACTGGTACTCTCTGAAGAGATGTTCCTTCTTGGTTTTGAAGTCACAAGGTCAAAGGAAAAGGGTCAAAACACTCCAGATGTAGAAAGATTTTGTCCATTCTTTCTTGAGAACCATTCACTTGACTGACATCAAACTTTATTAGTTTCCCTCAAGAAGTAAATGGCCCCTATTGATTTTGAAGCCACAAGGTCCGAGTCAAACTGACATGGGATTTTTAAATTGAGAACCGTTTGCTCAACAGACATCAAACATGGTACACTTGTTCCCACGTCAGAGGAGTAAATGATCACAGTAGATTTCGAGGTCAAGAGGTCAAAATTCACACTACTGGTTCGGTCTCAAGGGGTGTTTTCAATGCAACTAGGTCTCACCTTGTAAACAGGTTCTGCCAGGAGTCCACGTTCATGTGACCCTAGTGTAATGCTTTGGAAACTGAGTGACAGTGGTGAAAGGCAAGACTCCGGCGCTTAAATAAGTGGAATCTGTGACTAGGGGAAGGAAAACCCCAACAGAAAACCACTGATTCTCCGAGTCCAGTGGGGGGGGGGGGTCTGCATGGCTAATCACCAGGGCAGAGTATGGAAACCCAGAAAACACTGGGGGCCTTATGTGCCGGCGGGCACAAAGAGAATAGGTGAAGTGTGGTCAAGAGACGAATTTGCTTGATATCGTACTGGTCTTGGTACACTGTATCCCCTGAAGGAGACTGATGACCTGTATTTGCATGGTTTTGAAGTCACAAGATAAAAGGTCAAGGGCCAAATTGGACATAGCAAGTTACTGAACATTCAATATTCTGATGAGAACCCTTTTCTTGACATGAAAGTTAGTGTACCCCTTACCCCCTTTTTTTAGACTGAAGTACATGACCACTGTAGATTTTGAGGTCACGGGATCAAACTACTCCAGACACATACATAGGAGATTGTTTGTTCAATGTCTTGAGAACCATTTGCTTGACAGACGTCTTAGTACATTGAATTCTTCTTAAGGCATTGACAAATTGACAATTTATAAAAATTATACTTTGTTAAAACAAATGTGAATAATTTGTTAAAACAAATTAATAATTTATTATAAATTATTCATTTGTTTTAACAAAGTATTCATTTGTTCAATTGATAATTTGTTGCAACAGATTGATAATTTGTTTTAACAAATTGATGATTGATTGCAACAAATTGACAATTTGTTACAACAAATTAGTAATTAGTACAAGATACTGCTTCAGTCCCAATACACTTTCGTAGATACTTAAGAACCTTTTGGTTGACAGACATCACACTTCTAAGAATATAAATAGAAGTTTTATCCCCCCCCCCCCGATAATTTTCAAATTTAAAGCTGGGGGTTGGACAGTGTACATCCTGCATCTGCAATATAAAAAAAAATACCTAAACCAAATGCAAGATGTCCCATTTTCATTACATTATTAGTCATTTCATTTCTTCTCGTATTACCAAATAATTTAATTTTGTTTGTATTCTAGCCTTTGATTGGTTAATATCCAAAAAGGAACACAAATTATTTCTGTATAACCTGGTTTGGTATGGGGACACACCCCCCTGACAACCAGCTGAATCGTCTGTATCCATGCAATCCTCTCATCTCCAGTCCTCGGGATTCATGGAAAATTCCAGATTTAATAAATTTACCTTTAGCTTCAAACAGTAACTCGGATCTTACCACATGTAAACAAAAAACATGGCTGCTAGGACCATGTATCAGTTTTTACCTCCCCTTGCTTCCCATCACTTCCGTTACTAGGGTTGTATTATTGAGCAGCAAATTTGAACTAATAAAAAGCAACGAAATTTTACACCCACAGTTGTTTAATGATTTTAGAATTAAATTATAAGGAACGACTCTAATTCTTGGCCAAATTATTCGAGTATAACCTGGTTTGGGTCAGTTTACGCTGTTTTATAATCCGCTTCGCCGATTATAAAGCGTAAACTGACCCAAACCAGGTTATACTCGAATAATTTGGCCAAGAATTAGAGTCATTCCTAAAACAATTCAATTACCAAACACTACTTTTTTTCAATTCGGGGATTTTACCATATCAATTCAATCTGCCTGCCTAAACTTTTAAAATACAAGGCATTTCTTGGTTTCACATATTTATTATAACAAGGAAAAAAAGAAATACAAAACAGTTATCTGTACAAAATGGCACAAATTGGGACCAGATGACATCTATCTGATGAACATTTATATGATTATCATTATGCAGATTCGTAATGGAACGACATATCATTTATAAAGTCAATATCTAACGTTCACAAACGTTTGCACAGTCCACACAAACGCACTCACTTTTTGTCAGCTCTGGGGGCCAGAACAGCCAAATGGCCCTTGGGATCTCGGACACACTTGATATGTTTGTAGTCCACGCCCTCTGGTACGGTGAACTCGCGTCGGAATGAACGAGACACTTTCATGCCGTCCTCCTCACGTTGATGGTCAGCGGCGACGGAAACAACGTTCCCACGTCGTTTGACGGTGATGTGGTCAGGCTCAAACACGGACAGATCTACTTTGGTCTCGAATGGTTTCTTATTGCTCTCGACTAACTGCATATCTTTTTCCTTACCGTCTGTAATGGCTGGAACATTCTCGACCTCAACTTCCATTTCCTCCTCGTCGTCATTAGCTAGAATGGGCGCCTCCACGCAGTAAGTATTATCATTCATCATTTTGCAGTGAACTTTGCTCTGGTCAACTCCATCCGGAATTTTAATGCATCTTTTTGTTTCACGTACCTCGCCGTTTTGGTCATCCCCACGGACGTGTCGTGCATGGACTCTTACAAATCCGTCCTCGACGTTCACTTTCACTTCCTCGGGGCTAAAGTTGTCCAAGTGGAAAGTTTGCCTCCATGTTGACGGCACATTTCTCCTGCGGGGTGCTAGCTGACCCTGAGGTGGCATCAAACCCAATTCATCATTTAGCATGCTAGACAGCAAGCTTCGGATTGGCGTTGCTGATGCATAGTATGGTGTGAATGGGCTGTAGTCGTAGTATACAGGTAACAGTGACATCGTTCCTCTTTCTCTTCTGAAATTCTTTGTACTTCTCTTCTCTCTCGAGCTGGACTAGTATGCTCATTATGCATGCCGACAAGCTTATATATGGAGAGCAAGGTGCTTCCAGAAAAATCTGGAAAAATCCGTGTAGCACACATCACAATCCGAAGTGGAGAATATTCGACAACTTTCTGGAACCACACCGATTGGTCGATAGGTTGTTCGAGAAAAAAGAAATTCGTAATTTAGCTTTAAACTATTATTTATCGAATATATCAAGAAAATGAAAACAAATAGCCACATAAGTAATTTTTCCACGATATTCTGTGTATATTTTATCCACATGACAACCAATAAACATTCTATGCGGTATTGAATTGTTTATCAATTATACTTCCGGTGTTAAAGCACTTGTTTCGATTTGTTTGCTTTAGTTTTAGGCTTAGTTTGAGTCTTTGGAGAAAAACTAAAGTAAGTTTAGCTGTTTCATTGAATTTTAGATTAGAGAGTATTTCCTCAATCAATTAGGCCCTAATTGTAAGTTGTTTTTTTAAAACTAGGAATATTTTTAACAAATGTATCGATAGATTTTTATATTTAAAAAATCTATGATATCATTACCAGTACTAGAGTACAGTTGACTCTCTTTTATTAGCCATACATTCACCTCTGTATAGAATTTGTTCCGTGTCCCGGAAATGTAGAAAAATAGACAGGGGTGTATAATCATGGTAATTCTACTAAATCTATATCATATGCATATATTACTATGAACAGTATTCAGATCGAGAGTTAATATTCAGAATATGAACATGCATGGGGTGTGAATTTGGAATGTCAGACATTTTGGCCCAACGACACTCGTGGGTTTGGTTGAGTTTTCTGTCTACCAAAAACATGCTAAATTTGAAATTGTGAAAAAAAAATGTGTTGATTTTTTCTATTATATGGATTTTTGAACAAAAACTCAAAAAGATTTGTTCTGCCCCCTCCCCTCCCCCCCCCCCGGCACTTGTTTTGTATACGGGACACCCTACTTATTTTTACCACAAGGTACCTAACTCAATTTCAGGCACCCCTGCTTCAAGCTCGTATTTTGTTAATATATCGATTATTAACCTACTTTAACCTACTTAATTGTAGGATAAAACCAGAGACCTTGAAATGGAATACTAGGAAGTCTCTGGTTTTATCCTACATTTATAATCCCAACCGGAAGCTTTTGTATCCCATTCAAAGTCTTATTTTGTATCGAAGTAATTTTCAAGGAATAAATGAGTGGTTTACAATAAAGAGGCTTGACAAGAGATGTCTGAAACAATTTAATTGACAAGAAAAAAGTCTCGAGAAGTGAACGATGTCATTTTAAAGAAGGTTAATAATTGATATATTAACAAAATACGAGCTTGTAGCAGGGGTGCCTGATATTGAGTTAGGTACCTTGTGGTAAAAATAAGTAGGGGTGTCCCATATATATGAAACAAGTGCCTGTGGCCCCCACTTTATTCCAAACATAACTTTTTAATATTGAAAATGTTCTTTGAAAGGCTGGTTCCCCCCCCTTTTTGTTGCAGTATCGTCAAATAAGGGTAATTTAGTAGTGTATGAATAAAATTTGGTACTGAAAGAAGTTGGAACCTCCCCTTTCCCACATCTGATATAGGGTTTTTGAATTTGACAATTTTCCCCTTTTTTTTTGCTTGTCAAGTCTTTTCAGGTAAGTTGAAATCTTTTTCCCCTGGCTCTGCCCCCCCCCCCCCCAACTTTCAAAAATGATGCTACATCCCTGGGTGGTTATTTTCAGTACATCTTTTTCTTTTATGTTTTTCAGAATTGTGCAAGAATGTAACATTATCTGGTCTGCCTCATTTTACTCCTTTTACTGTGGTGCGGACCTGTCTGAGGGCACAGCTAGATAATTCTAATGAGTGTGACTGTTGCTAAAGCGAATAATTTAAAATATATTTTCAGAGTTCAAGGATTAAAAAGTGACAGAAGATGGTGAAGTTACATATCAAGAAAGGTGACGAGAGCCAGTTTTTGTATGATACAACAGTAGAACAACCCATTGATGAGCTCTTGAAAGACATCGTCGCTATCCACAATGGACGACTCAAAGTACAGAGAATTTGTGCTGGTAATATTTTTGCAATCTCATATACATACAGTAAAACATGCTTAAAGAAAAATGCCAGGGAAGAACAATTTGTTATATTAAAAAGTAACTGGTAAGATAAGTTGAATTTACATTATGTACATGTATTAAAACTACAGGGAATAAATTTTTAACTGTTTGCTCTAACCATGTTTTACTGTAAAAATATTGCAGGAAGGGTATTTCATCATAGATTTGTTACTGTAAAAAAAGTCACCTTCCTAAGGGATTGTATGGGTAACAGAATTTACATTTATTTACTGACATGGACACAATTACAGTAATTGGCAAAGGCCCAGCATAAAAGAATACGTTTTTATTATTGTCATATCTGCAATCCAATTTCAAGAACTGAAGAATTTGAAAACTATAAAGTATTGTGCTCATTTCAAATTTCCTAAGCATACTTTTGACAGAAACAGTCAAAAAGCCCTCGTAGTTTAAATTAATATGACAAGGTATCCATGGCCATCCCCAGGTTTTTGGAAGGGAAGAGGTAAGAAAGGTACCCTTTCCTTATGCCATATTTTTAAAAATAAAAATGGGTAAACCGTTCTATTTTGGTGGGTTTTGTGCACTTAAAGTCAATTTTTTTAACCATTGATTAAACAAATTTAAATGGATGAATAGTAAAATTTATTTCATTTCAAAAATGACATTTTTCAATTTTTTTTTATTTAAAGGATTGGTGTTATTGCACCCAACACATCCCCCTCCTCCTTCCTCTTGCTTTGGTAGCTGTAATCTCAAAATATTGCAAGTTTCTTATTGAGTAAAACTACATAAAAGAATAGAAAACAACTTTCTTTATTTCAAATGTTGCTAGAGGGTTGATGACCAAAAAAGGGGGGAAAATGAAGATGCTTGTTAAAAAAATCAATTTGAAATCAAATCAGGTCCGAACATCTCCCTCCTTTCATTAGCACTTTGCCTCCCCAATGTTCAATACCTTCCGATGCCCTTGAATGACTTTTAAAAACTGTAGTCTGTTATTGATATTCCTTCAAAATCCTTACAATAAGATGCGTAGATGTGACATGTTTCTTCTAGGTATAAGGGGAGCTGCCTAACCACATGTGTATAAGGCTTATCCAAATCATTTATTCTAAAATTCCTTAAGTTCATAGTCTTTATGACTGTTTCACATTAACAGTGACCACTCTTGGAGCATTTTTGCTTATGAAACATTTTTTGGATGGGTTTTTACTAATAATAATTACTAATAATTAAATTTGTAATATCATAATCATTATACTTTTTGTTGTAATATATTGTGATGCCTGTGCATCATATTGCACTCTTTGGTATATAGAGCACAATACGGATAAAAAAAAGAAGGGGAATGAGGAAACTGAGAATCTTAAATCAAACGAGAAAAAAATATATTAGAGGGAGCTATTTATCGTGATAGGATTATGTTGCAAATGTTCACTTTTGTTCTGCAGAAATGGAAGAGCTGGCTAACCATGGAATTACACTGCCACCAAACATGCAGGGTCTTACAGAAGAACAAGTGGAAGAATTGAAACTGAAAGATGAGTGGGCAGAGAAATGTGTTCCTCAGGGTGGGGTCAGGGAAAACAAGGATCCCATTGGAAGACGCAATGGTCAAGGTGAGTTATGTTTGTGTGTGAGTCGGAGAGAACAAATTTCCCATCAGAAGATGCAGTTGTCAAGGTGAGTTATATGTTTGTGTGTTAGTCTGGAAAAACAAAGATCCCATCGGAAGATGCAATGGTCAAGTTGAGTTGTATATTTGTGTGTTAGTCAGGAAAAAATATCCCATCAAGCAGCACAATGGTCAAGATGAGATGGAAAACAAACCATCGGTTGATACAGCATGTTCTAGGTGAGCTGTTTGTTTATGTATTTTAGGGAAAAATCAAAGATTCCAATTGGCAATGCAATGGTCAAGATTTGTATGTATGTATGTTGGACAGGGAAAACAAAGATCCCATTGATTGAGGCAGTGGTCAAAGTGAGTTGTTTTTTTGTGAGTTAGTCAGGGAGAACAAAAATCCCCTCAGGTGATGCAGTTATTGACGAGAGTTATTTGTTTGTGTTAGTCAAAGAAAACAAATATCTCATTGGATCTCAATGGTTGAGTCATATGTTTATCTACTAAAGAAATGTAATAATGAGCATTAAAAATATGTTAAACTTGAAAATCTAGAGCTTTCTTATTTGAAATGTATATGCTTTTTGATAAACATTTTATAGTTATAATTTGAGATTATGTTTTATTGCTTTAATAGCTCCAAATGAGAAAATGGCTGAGATGATGAAGAAAACAGCAAAAGAAGCAAAAGATATGATTTCAAAGGTGAGGTAAAACGTAGAACAAATTTAGTTCATGGATTCATAGTAATGTTGATTGACCTTAGGTCATCACAGACATAAAACTGTCATGCATAATGTTTGATAAAGTTCGCTGTGGTATACTGCAAATTAAAGTTTACCCATGCCGAAATTCAAGGAAGAATAAATTTCCTTTTGTATTGTGAGTCAAAATACAAACCAATTTCTTAAACACTTCAGAACATTAGTGAATTGCCCTGGTGATGGATTTGAAGATTTTGAACAACATTCTACATTTTTTCTTTAAATAAAGTAACATAGTTAATGAGTTCAAAATCTTAGTAGTGTAAACCAACTTTTATTCACATGCAAGAAATACCACAAGTTTTGCAACCTGCTTAAACTCGCGAATAATAATCGCCACAAACCATTTAATATTTTGCTTTGTATTTGTAGAGAATGATTCCTCAATCGCGAAAATTAATCGTTGCAGATTGATTTCAAACTGACGAATCGCGAATAAAAGATGACATGAATAATAGTTGGTTTACAGTAATTTGTTTGTTTTGTATCAATGTGACCAGTGTGTGTATTTGCTACTTAAATTTTTCCTCCCTAGAAAAAAGTAGAAGCCAATGTTTATGTAACACAAGCCACGGTGAAGGAGGCCCTGGACATTCTGCAAGGTGCCGTCATGATTGTTTACCCCATGAACTTACCCCCACATGAAAATGTGAGACTGGAACTGGAAAACAATGAAGATCTGACTGGTACTCAGGTAGGTTAACACTGTGAGACTGGAACTAGAAAACAATGAAGATTTGACTGGTACTCAGGTAGGTTAACACTGTGAGACTGGAACTAGAAAACAATGAAGATTTGACTGGTACTCAGGTAGGTTAACACTGTGAGACTGGAACTAGAAAACAATGAAGATTTGACTGGTACTCAGGTAGGTTAACACTGTGAGACTGGAACTAGAAAACAATGAAGATTTGACTGGTACTCAGGTAGGTTAACACTCTGAGATTGGAACTAGAAAACAATGAAGATTTGACTGGTACTCAGGTAGGTTAACACTCTGAGATTGGAACTAAAAAATAAGGAAAATTTAACTGGGATTTGGATTGGTTAACACACTGAGATTGGAACTAGAAAATAAAGAAAATGTGACCACTTTAAGGTAATTTAACATACCAATGCTAAGGTAATTGAATTAAAACTCAATTTTCCTCTTTATATATTTTGGACAGAATCTTTTCAGAACTTTCAAATTTGCTAAATGCGGTTAGACTTCAGAATGTTAGACAGTAAAATGCTTAATGCCAGGGACATGTTGTAGTTAGTCTTCAGTCTCAACTAAATTAGGAATTCCAGTCTCAGTCTTTAAACCATGTGATATCTCAAATTCTCCCACAGAGTATGATATGCAGAAGTTTTATATACTAATATACTGGGTATGTGTATTTTAATTGGAAATGGTAAATTACACTTTGAAAAAGCAGCAAATTTTGTTATGAGAACATAATTACATCACATGGAACATTGTCGTAGGTATACCTTTGTTACTTATCACAACTTTTACTTTGTAGGCTTCCAATGAAGTTTTAGAGGAAGAGAATACATCAATATGGTTTTCAGGAAAAGAAATGTTAAGAGGAAAACAGTTGAAAGATTTCATTGGTAAAAACGAGAAGACAAAAATAGTTGCCAAAATTCAGAAAGTAAGTGTATTAGTAATTACTACAAATGGAAACAAGCAAATGTTTTCTTTATTGTCAGATCAAACTAAGAAGATAACAGTATTAATAATGAATAAAGGAATTTTATTTATTTTTTTTTAACCTCTGAGAGATATTATTGTAACATAAATTGATTTGTTGACACATTCTCTGCAGAACTTTTTAACACAATCTGGGTCAATCAGATGTTTTCATCAGTAAAAAAAAATTAAGTTTAGGATTCAGGTCTAAATTCAATTAATGTTTCTTTTCTCTTGGTGACTTGCCATTCTGATCTAAAAACAGAGTGCTGGAAAATGTTTATCTGCTGATAGTATACACTTATTTAGAAAAGAAAATCTTGTGCATTAATAAGTTCTCTGTTATCATCTGTTTTGCTGTCCCTGTCCAAATTCTGAAATCAGTGTTCCAAATGCTACTTCATCAGTAGTATTTGGCTTTTATAGTCTGTCCCACCAAGCTATTGTCACCACATTTTGCAACTTATCTCAAAATATATAAATACCTTGGCCTTCAACTTAGGTTCGATAGATAGATCATTTTTTTTCCAATTTCCCTGCATTTATCCGAACCCTCGAGTTCAACCGGTGTATTGACACGGCGGCAAATTCAAAGTCTACGGGGATTTAACATGGTAAACTCGTCCATTAGCGTCAAGATCACGGGGCAGGAAACCAGTTTATCGAGGGAGTAGTAGTTCTTTCCAAATTAAAAATGCAAAAAATCTTAAAAATTCAACGAAAGCAATTCAGTGTGTTTTGGTAAAAAATATAAGTAATGTTTTGCATTCAAATATATTTTGACGAGTTTTCTCATAAACTGAGAGAAAATAATCCGAATCCAATGCAGTACAAGTTGTGGATAACGCACTGCTCTAGAAACGGGATGTTGACATATGTGTAATAATTTACAGCTTCCTTCGATGAAAACGTAAGTTGGTTTTTTGTTTTTTTTTTCCTTTTACTTCTGAAAGTACACCCACAAAAGAAGTGTTTTCAAGTGCTAATGATTTGTCAAAAGCAAGCATTATTCGGCGAAAGCGTCCAATGCATATCTGCACAGTAGTGGGGGAAAACGGATAATTGTATTATTATGAACCAATTTCAAATCATAAATAATATAGCGAATCGAAAGAGTTTTAAAAACAAAAACTTTCAGTAGATCTATAATGGTGATGACTTTTTTTGTAAGAAGCTTAAGATTTTTAATACAGTCACAGGGAATATATCTAAAACGCAACAGCTGGTCCACAGAATTTATTATAACTGTAAACAATCCTTTCACCTTCTGAATAAAATGTCAAATTCCCCCTTTTAGTTACAGAAAGTTTCCTGATTAAATATACATTAAGTTGAGGATAAAGTAAGCATACTGCATTTTATTATAACATAAATGTACTTAGATTAGCTCTCAGAATGCAAATTATTACATTAATCCTAAAATTTCCAGGGGAGGGGGCATGCCCCAAATACTCCCATTTTGAAATATTCACACTTCCAGTACTAACATTGCAGTTACATTTCATCCCTTCATGTGAAAGGCAGTGTGATTTTTTTGGGTTGTTCCGCAGCCCCCCTCCCCCCCCCCCCTTTCACTAAAAATCTTTTGTTAAGTTGGAATTCATAATATGGTAATGCTGTAAGTTTCCCTGATATACAACCCTTGATATTTCTTTTTTATTTCACCAGTATTGTAAAAAAAAAAAAATCTTTATTTTTTTTTTGGAGGGCGGTGATATTTCTTTAAAGTTCATAATCTGAAATTCATTGACTTACATCTACCCCATAGTTAACCCATTTTGTTCAAACAGTAAAGAAAGAGAGCATACAGGACAATCCCCTGCTGTGAGATATCTTATATATATATTACAATTTTCAAAGTTCAAGGAAGAGTTACATTTAAAAAAGTTGTTAGTAATGTCAATGGCAAACTTAAATTTTCACTACCTCAGGATGCTTCAATATCAATATTACTAATCATGGCTTTGCTGTTCTTTAACAGAAGAATTTTAAAGATTCCTCCCCCCCAATGTTTTCCTATGTAAAACGCTCATCGCTCATTGTGCCCCCCCCCCCCCCCCCCACCCATCCTAAAATTGAACAAATTTGAATCTACACTACCTGAGGATGCTTCTATAATAATATGATTAATCATGGCTTTGCTGTTCTTGAAAAGATTTTTTTCAAGATGATTCCTATATATTCTTATGCGAAACTTTGACCCTCTGTTGTGTCCCCACACCCATAATTTGAACAAACTTGAATCTACACTACCTGAGGATAAATTGATTCTACATTACCTAAGGTTGCTTCTGAATTAATATGACTAATACTAGTAGTGGCAAAGCTGTTCTCGAGAAGAAGATTTTTAAAGACAGTTCCCATATATTCCTACATAAAACTGTGGCCCCCCTAACCCCCCCCCCCTCCTCCGGGGTTATGATATGAATAAACTTGAATGTACATGTATGTAATGTAATTTGTAATGAAGCTTTTACATAACTTTCATCTTTTCTAGCCCAGCTAGTGGTTCTTGAGAAGAAGATTTTTAAAGATGCTACTAAATTTTCATGAACACTTAATTATCTCTCCTTGAAAGAAGGCATGGCACTCCTGTAAAAAAACTTATAATAAAATCCCCTTCACCCAAGGATGCTGTGTCACATTTGCAAGTTTGTTTTAAATTGGCCCAGTGGTTCTTGAGAAGAAGTCGAAAAAGTTTACAGATGGCAGACACCCTTTGATCAGAAAAGCTCACTTGAGCCTTTGGCTCTTTTTTTTTCTTTCCACATACATAATTGAAAATAAAAAATACATATCAATAAGTTATTCAATTAAATAAAAGAAGCAAATGTGTAAAAGATGATATTGACAATACAATTTTTGTGAAATATAACATCATGAACCTAAGAATTAAGAAATGTCTTTTCTCAGAGTGGGGGATTGTCCTCGTCTTGTACGCCTCCATTCTTTATGTCCAAAAGAAAAATTTAGCAAAACATTCATTTGTAAAATTAAAGTTATGTACAGTATTCTAGCATACATGTACTAAATAAAAGGCCAGAAAACTGAGATCATGCATATTGTATACAGTGTATGAGCACATTGTAATAAAGAAGTAAAGTATACTTGATTATGCCTTTATTTATTTACATTTTTTTTTTGGAAAGGTTAAAAAAATTAGAGTACATTGTTATGATGACCAGACTTGAAGGCATTCATGTAATTGGGTGAATCACAGAGTTTCAGGAATCTTCTGGACTAGTAAGTTATACATGTATATATAAAATATTAAATGTCTTTACTCTGTCTAAATTGCATACTTCAGGCTGGAATCTGAAAATAAAAATTGTATTTTCCATATGTATATAATTCATACTATCTTGGTACATGTAGAATTGAAATTCATTCCTTAATTTCACTCCGATTACTTAACCATAAATTGTCATTCTCAAGAATTTTAATAACATTTAACATTCAAGTGTATTACCATCTATTTCAGACCAAAAGTGATGGCTCAAACAAATATTAACTGGTACTCTACTTAGTGATCTGGACACTGGATAAGCCAGAAACCATTTTCAACAGAACTGTTAAGAGTATAAATGAAAAAAAAACAAGATAGTGATATATACCCACTCTCCAACTCATTCATAGCTTCATTCTTGGCTTCAGTGTGTCGATTATGAGTCAAGACTTTTCTATTGTACCAAGGCTGAAGGGACTTTCAAATCAAACCATAAACAACAGCACCACAGAGCAGTTGACTTTCATTTCTTCTACTGAATTTGTATGTCATATCCTTAATTATTACAGTGTGAATTTACTTTGCACAGAAGATGTAAATTATCATAACTTCAACAATAACTTCAACAAGTATTTACTTTGTCTGTTTCAGACACATAACTTAATTATTTGGTATTTAAAAAAAAGTAATTGGCAGCATTTACTGTGGAATCATCATTGTTCTTGGGGGAGGATAGGTGGGTCAAACATATCCACTAATTTATATTCCCACAAATACTAATTTTTTCAACTTGTCAATTCATTGAATCTTTAACTTAATGTATTTTAAAGTTAACCTTATGAATTATGTCTCCACAAACCAGTTGAATTAAATGCCTGTCCACTAACAGCTGATCAATGCCCCCCCCCCCCCCTAAAATATAGAAGGCCATATACATGTACATGTATCTGCAGGTACTTTGGGTGGTTTAATCATCTTTGCTTGTGCTGGTCTGTCTGATGTCTTCATCAGCTAACTATTCTGTATCCTACAATTAAATTCTTGTTTCCAAATAAAACAGCTGTATAATGCTTTGTATTATTTATGCTTATTTAATTTTGTCTATAGTTTTTAATTTTTTTTTTTACTTAATGTTTGGAAAAATAATATGAGAGGGATTTGACAAGAAGTTATATTTCCTGCAAATATACATTTTTTTAAAGTGTGTGTTATATCAGGGACCTATATACTTTAATAGTTAGTATATAGGTCCCTGGTTATATTTTAAAAGTTCATATTCATACAAAATCTTACAGACATAATTAAAAAAATATATAAAATGTATTCCATGAGTACATGTTTGAGTGTGTCCTTGATATTTGGTATTCTGGCATTTATTAATGGAAAGACTTGATATAAAATGTTTAAAATCGCAGGGCCCGAATTTACCTAATGCCGATACAGGAAGTTTTCGAAGGGCAAGGTCAAAATCCACTGGTGACGTAGTTTGATGCAGACTACAAGTCTTGTTTTGCACATAGATTCAAAAAGTATTACATGTAACAAAGGTGGATATATGGTGTGATAAGTGTTATAAGTAAAACGAATCCAGGAAGTGCATTTACGGGACATGTATAGAAGTGACAAGATGTTTAATCGTGTTTACATTGAACTATATATATATTGTGTTTGGGATTTACTCATTGCAAGGTAAAGTTGTAGAATTTGTTAACATTTACACTATAGAACGTATTCGCTTACATGTTTTGGAAAAGCAGTCATGGCACTCTTGCTTGGTTGATATTTTGCAGCCTCCAATGTTTTTAACATTCAAACTTACGAATCCTTGAGTATATATGAATTCAAATGGGTCGCAGTGTTTAGCTCTTCTGTCAATTGATATGCAATGTATGCTGAAAACTCCGTATTTTATCACTAATTTTAAAATACACATGCCATTGTGTATTAGGTGCTTGGTAAGTCTCGGGCGGTATGCTTTTCCGGACGTCCGGAAGTACAGAGCATTTCCGAAAGTGTGTTACGTCATTACGTCAATGACGGTAAAGTACGGAAATTCACGAATAATGATGGATCCCCTTCCGAAGTGACGGCCATTTTGGCAATGTTAAATCCCCGTAGACTTTGAATTTGCCGCCGTGTTAATACACCGGTTGAACTCGAGGGTTCGGATAAATGCAGGGAAATTGGAAAAAAAATGATCTATCTATCGAACCTAAGTTGAAGGCCAAGGTATTTATATATTTTGAGATAAGTTGCAAAAAGTGGTGACAATAGCTTGGTGGGACAGACTATAATAGTTTTTGACTTATTTCATTGAAACTTGGAGCAAATCTAGAATACATATTTTTTTTGTTGTTGTCCCAACTGAAACGAAGAAATGTTGTTCATAAAAAATCAGAAAAGAAGTGTGGAAGTCCAAGCAGACTAATTCCAAACCAGTAGAGCTACAAACATTCTCCTTTGAGATTTTTGATTTAGTTTCATTTAATTTTTTAAAGGAATTATTTTGTTCTGAAAATAAGTAATGGAGTCTTTTGAATCAGGGTTATTTGTTACGGCTTTTAGAAGTACAGCTAAACAAGCTACTAGCACATAGCTGCCATGTTTTACATTGGTTGTGAAAGGGAAACATCTTGCATTGTGTTGTAATACCACAGTTCATTGTTTATTTCTTTTTGATCTTTGTAGAGAGGACTAGGAGCACCTGGGAGGGAACCTGTTGTGTCTGAAGATGAACAGAAAAAGATGATGGCCTATTACTACAAGAAACAGGAAGAGTTCAAGGTGAATAAGAACTTTTTATCAAGACTTTTTAGTTCACCTAAGGTGAACGCTTTTACTTTTTGGATCAAGGTTTGCCCCTTGTCTGGTTGTCTTTCATCTATCTTTCAATTTCTTACATTTTCTCCAGAACCACTGGACCAGTTCAAACGAACTTAAAAATCTTCTTTTCAAGAAGATAGGGCTGGGACGATACAACTTTTTCTATATCGATACGTATCCCGATATTTGAGCCACGATACGATATGTATCACGATATGTTTAATTGGTTATAAATTCTTTTTTTATATTGAAATGAACAAAACATTTCTTCACAAATAAGAATAATTTATTCAAAGAAGTTGCATATCTGTTGTAAAACTTAATTATTTTGCACAAGTGGTCTTAATTATTATGTATTTCATATTTATATTTATATTAAGCATATTTATTTTATATATTAAACCCAAAATGTTAAGTAAACAAAGAAACACATAAGTCAGAATTTTTTGGGCGATATGTCGATATTTCTTCATACGTATCGATATGCGTATCATCCTCACATTGAATCGATATTATCGATATCTCGATATATCGTCCCAGCCCTACAAGAAGAGCAAAGTCCTGATTAGTCATATGAATATGGAAGCATTCTTAGATAATGTAGATTCAAGTTCATTCAAATCATGACCCCCTGGGGTAGGGTGGGGTCACAATAGGCGATCAAAGGTTTACATAGAAATACATGTTAAACAATCTTTCAAATCCTTCTCAAGAACAGCAAAGCCATGATTATTAGTCAAATTAATATGGAGTATCCTCAGGTAATGAAGATTCAAGTTCATTTACCAGTAAATTATGCCCCCCTTGGGTAGGATTGGGCCATAATAGGATATTGAAAACTAACATAGGAATATATCAAAGAAAAAAATCTGCTGATGAAGAGCAGCAGGACCATAGTGACTTAGGTGAGCATTGTGGCCCATGTGCCTCTTGTTTGCATTTTTAATTTGTTGAAATGATATAAGATTTATCTGCCAAAAGAGGGAACGTCACTAATAAATTTTCTTTCAGAAACTGGAGGCAGAGTCAGAGGACGCTTACTTAGATTCACCATGGGCAGACTCAAACCAGCTGAAACGTCAATTTCACGGAATGAACAACATCAAATGGGGGCCGCGGTAACCCCTAGCTATTATATAGAGACAGATTAATTTATAACAATCCTGACATTATAATCACAAAGTGTCCGTCCCAGCATTTGATGAGCATTTTCAGACAGATCCAAGCGAAAACACAAAGTGTTCTTCATTTTGTTTGACTTCATTGAAATCATACAAAGATATATTAAGTCATGTGCTAAATAGGTTATGTAAAAAAAAAAAAACCTCTTTCTTGCAGGACTAAGAGCTTAAAGTTTGGAAAATGTCAATTAGCCATGCATTTTTGGAAATCATTTTCATTATTTGTTCTATATCATAGAGATATTTGTACTTGTTCTGTTTCACTGATATTTACAGACAAACAAAAATGTGTGATGCATTAAAAATAAAATGTGATTAAAATGCTAAAGACTTGATGTGATTTTCATGTTGAGACTAACATCAAAGTTTGTATTTTTAGGTCACCTGAGCCACTCAGGTGACCTATTGCTATCCGTTTTTGTCTGTCGTCGTGCGATGTGTGTCGTCCGTAAACTTTTGAACATTTTCAACTTCTCTGCAACCGCTGAACCAATTTTAACCAATTTTGACATATAGCATCTATGGTGAAGAGGAACAAAAATTGTGAATTTTGATGTTCCCTGCCCCCCTGGGGCCTGAGGGGTGGGGCTAAAACCACCAAAATTAATGCAATCTTTAAAAATCTTCTTTACTCCTAGACATCAAGCAGTCAAACTGTTGGCATGATTGTAATAAGCATTGAGTCCTCTACCAAAATTTTGAAATTTATGGCCCCAGGGTAGGGCTTCTGGTGAAAGGGGGAGGGGCTCTATTGATTATTTAGTGAAAAAGCATAATTTCTTTGAAAATATTCTTTTCTGCTCCTGGATATTAAACAAACTAACTAGATACATAGTTATGATGAACAAAGGTGCCTCTTCCAAAATTGTGAATTTCATGACCCTTGGGTGAGGGGTTATGGTGTTAGACTAGATTAATTTTTTTTATCAAGGAAAGTTTCTCTTCTTTCCATTTGCCTTTACAATAAAATTAAAATAAAACGTAAAAATAAGATATATATTTTATTTGCCAATTTTACAATATATAGAAGTACACATTTGTGTCTACTGACATATTCTTCGTTTAGTACTCCATCACTCCCACACACAATAATTTACAATAACCTGCAATCTTCCACTCTTTGCCAGGACTTGGCTAATAATCAACATTTTACCAGTTGCAATCCAAAAGAGATCGAGCTTTATTTTAACAGTTGTTACAATAATATTAAAATCAATATTTTTTTAAAATCATCGGTTGAAAATTATACCCATTAACCCAGAAAGGTTGTATTTGAATATCATGACAACATGTTCTATGATCTGAATTTATTTTGTATACATACAAGGTTGTGTTTGACAAACAAGTCAGGACTTTGTGATATTAGAGCACTCAAAATTAAGAGATGTTATTTTAGTAGTTAATTGTCATTTCCATGAAATGAACTGATCCTTGTATGGGTCCATCAAAACTGAAATGTATACTTACACAGATATGGGACAACTTTTTAAATTTTTCAATTCAAAAAAATTTGCTGTAATTTCTGTAGGTTGGAACTTTGGAATTTGAATATCATCATAGAATAATGTAATGTAATGAAGCATTCAAGATTTAAGCCTTCGCTTTTTGTTATTCTAATCCATCACAGGAAGAAATGGGAATGCATTTATTTACTCAATTACGTGTAAAATTTTCCAGAAACATTGCAAAAATCTTAAATTCATAAAGATAACCTGGAAGATAATATTAAACTTAAACTGGGCACAACCAAAATTACTGCAATTGCTAAAGTTACTCTTTTAAACATGATACAGATGCTGCCAAGGAAACTAGTCATGTGACATACAAGATGTGATGGTCATGTGACTATTATTAAAATGAATGACATGATACCCGTGAATCCGTAGAACACAGAAAGTTTCTAGTCACACAAAAGGAGAATAAAACATGATTAAGTTAAAGCTTGATTATTTGAGTATGCATGGTTTGCCATTCAGTGTTGCCATTGATGGGAATTACCCCAGCATATGTAGGTCAAGGTCATTATTCTTGGGAGCCTAATGCATCAATATTTGCACTTACACAAAACAATATTAAGGATGAAAATAAAATTACAATTGCAAATCATTTTTTGCAACTGAATTAGGGATTTAATATTTGAATTCAAATTTAACAGATTATTGTTATCTTATGTAATTAATGAAAACAATAATTTGAAATAAATGCATGTAGATATGGGAAGTTGAAGATATTAAACCTTCAGCATTGATTGTACATGAAATGTAAAATGCTATGATTTATGAGAAGCTTTGTATAACATTATGAGCAAATGGATATCTACTCAAATATCCAGCTGTATTTCCCATTCAACATGAACGATATTCTAGTTATATTGTAATGATGAAAATTGGGATATAAATGAAATTGATTAAAAAATACATAAAAATGCAGGATATTTGGCGATAAAAATATACGATCAAAATGTTCTGAATAAGCACAATAGATACACATACTTGTTAAAATGTGTTTACAAAACAGAAAAAAAAATACAATGTTTATTGCAACTGACAGGTTATAAATAATGTATAATACACAATATATGTACATATGTAACCTGACCATGTATTTACAGAAATTAAAGCTCACCCCTTAATCTTCACAATGACTAGAAATGGATCATGATCTATATAAAATTCAATAGAAAATTTCCAATGGTAAACAGAATTATTTTTTTATAAATCCCACACAGTAATTTTATCCTAGTTATTGTGTATCACAGCATTTTATTCAGATCTGGAAGAGATTCATTTGTATCTTGAACATGCATTTTCATCATTTAATCAAATTAAACCTTCTTTGCCGTAAAACTCTTGTGTCAATAAAATTTTGATTATTTTTAGCAACATAAAAATTAATTTCTTCCTTTACAGGTTTTTCAAACTAAAGAAAAAGCATTAAATGTCAAATTTCCCAAGAGGAAATTTTGCCCTAGCTGTTATAAATTTGTAAAAATCTCACTTCATGCCCTATATGAGTGTGGAAAAGAAGTGTTTGCCATAATCTTGCATAAAAAAGTAACCACTAGTGAACACTAATTTCAAACAATTAAAAAAAAAAAGATATGTGATATGCATGACTTATAGTGAGTTTAAGAAATCTGTAGTTTTTATCTTACCTATGGGTATGCTTTTAACATTATTTGGTTTTAGCACTATTGATAAATCTTTAATTAGTGGACATTGGACATTCATTTCAAGCTTTCTACTTTTTTTTATCTACATTCAAATAAATGCCATATTAACAAATTCAAAATGACCTAAAATAAATTTGTAACTTAATTGTATATTTTGGGTAAAACTGTGTGTTATTTATGACTTATTCTTGCAGTTTATCCATGTTCCACATTAAATTACAGTGGAGCCTAGTTAATCTGGGTGCTTTGTTAATCCAGACGATTTACCCAGAAATAATTAGTTCAGATTAATAAAACTTGACTGTATTTCAAGATCAACAAGGAATCAGATTATATAAAAAATATCAACAGAGTAAAAAATTCAGCAGCTAAAAGATACAAAACAACATATAGCACCTTGTAGTATTAACAATGTTAAAAAAATTCATTCTAAAAAAAAAAAAAAACCTATTGCGTATCAAAGAATTGTCATCCATAATAATGATTTAACGTTCTGTCTCCATTGTCAATTAAACTCGCTCGAGCTATTGTCCTTCGAGGCTCGAACCTCACAACCTCGATTCTGTCCATTGAATCATGTCTCGAAAGCATGGGTGTCTCTACATTGCTTTCAAGAGGCGGGGGTTGTGTGTTACTGTGAGCTGGGTCTGTCACATCCAAAGTAGCCCGCCTCTTTTGTTTATTAATTATCACAAGTTTGATCACTATCACGAGTAGGAATATAATGACACCGACACAGATGCCTAATATCAGGTATAACAAGGCTTTTTCTCTGTTCTCTGAAAAAAAACATGGCCATACATTTTTAATACATATACAATGTATATAAGTATATTCTTCATTTGAGCTTGACTTTTTTAAATACTTCAATAAGAAGAAATGACTTCAACAACTTAAAAAAAAAATCATTTTTCGTCCAGGGGCTTGTCACTGAATACCATCAAATTTTTTATTTCTGTTTGATTTTTGCATTAAAAGGGCTCTGCATGAACTAAATTCCTTTCAATTACTGACAGCTTTTACTTAAAGCTTACTTTCAAAGAAGTTAAAGGTGTTCAGCCAATCCACAACCAGGCCTGTCGCTGAGCCTTTCCTGCTGGTAGATGGCACCACTGGTTCTGGTGGTGCTAGAGTATAGTTTACGCAATGTGTTGTGTCATTTCCCTCCATCTTGGAGTCTTGATCCCCATTACTGCTATCAGTATTATCCTTATTTCTCTCTTGGTCTAGGGACAGTAAAAAGAAAACACAAAATAATTTAATAGGCAATGTTCAGTATAAAATATGGCCTAGGACAGCTCCTGTCAAACATTAATATACAGGCTTTCCGTGAAATCACTTTTCCTCAGCTATCATAACTCATTTCAGAAATGATAATATGAAATTAAGGAAATACAAACTTTTTAAACATGCAGTCAAGGAAGTCGATAAAATTCCTATCAAAATCCAGACACCAAACACTTGGTGTGCATGTACTCAGTATGCGTCTTGGTTTTCACACCTGTGCCCTTTAGTATTGATAAATATGTTGTATATCAGGTAATACAATATCTGATATACATGCAGATTTCTTGTTGTGGTAAAATGTGATCAATAAATGTTATGTTAAATTTATTATCTTTCACAGTGTAGTTATCTCCTTGATTTAATTACATATACCTGAAAATGTTGTACAACAGTTTTTTATGTCCCTGTATCGAAGATTCGAGGGTATATAGTTTTTGTCCTGTCAATCCATTTGTTTGTCTGTTTGTCCGCTAAAACTTTAACATTGCCCAAAACTTTTGATTGGTTGGAGCTCTAACTTTCATATTTCACATGTGTATTCCTTGTGACAAGACCTTTCTTTAGGTACCATCATATTTTAACTTTAACCTTGGCCATAACTTTTGAAGGGTTGGTGCTAGAGCTTTCATACTTCACAAATGTAACCCTTGTGACAAATCCTTCCTTTGGATCCCAACAACTTTGACCCTTTGACCTGGACCTTGGAGTTTGACCTACTTTTGGAAAACTTTAACCTTGACCACAACTTTTGAACAGTTGGTGCTAGGGCTTTCATACTTAACATATGTAATCCTTGTGACAAGACCTTCGTTTGGATACCAACAACTTTGACCCTTTGACCATGACCTATTTTTGAAAAAACTTTAACCTTGACCATAACTTTTGAATGATTAGTGCTATAGCTTTCATATTTCACATGTGTATTTCTTGTGAGAAGGCCTTTCCTTGGGCACCATTAATTTTGACCATTTGACCTTGACCTTGATGTTTGACTTACTTTTGAAAAACTTTAACCTTTTCCATATCTATTCAATGGTTGCTGCTAGGGCTTTCATATTTCAGAGGTATATTCATAGAGACAAGACCTTACTTTGGGTACCAACTTATTTGATTTGCATATGAGAAAGTTTAACCTTTGCTATAAGTTGCCTCACAGGGGCTTCAGTATTTCAAAACACATCTTGTTTTTTTTTATAATTTCAAATGTATTAAAAATACTATATGGAGAATATTGGTTGCCCTTCCATTATCAAAGTTGCTACATAAATGTGCAGCAGTCAGAGGAAAATTTTTTCAGTTTTAGGGTCGAAAGGTCATTGGTCATACTGAAAGGACAAATGCTGCAGACACCATATCACTATAAGGTCAAAACTGTGTTATTAAAAATGAAAGTTCTCTAGGTAAAATTTATATTAAATCAGGACATCATAAGATTCAGATAGATAAGGTGATAGTGGACTTTTGGGGCATTCCTTTTATATCTGATGTTTATTATATACAGTTAGTTCTGCATCAATAAAACAAAAGAAAAACAAATTATGGATGTAACTGGAGGTCCATTTTAACTGTTACCCTGAATTTGGAAATAAAGTAATGGAGGTCCATAATAAGTTTGTTTAACTGTACTTAGTAATAGTGGTTGATTATAACACTTACTATTTTTCTGTGTACTGTTAATGGAGATCCATTATTAAATAATTGAACTTGGTAATGGAGGTCCATTATAACTATGTTTCACTGTACTTATTATTGGAGGTCCATTATAACAACATTTCACTGTACTTATTATTGGGGGCCCATTATAACTATATTTCATTGTACTTATTACTGGAGGTCCATTAAAACTATGTTTCACTGTACTTGGTGATGGAGGTCCATTATAACTATGTTTCATTGTACTTATCATTGGAGGTCCATTATAACTATGTTTCACTGTACTTATTATTGGAGGTTCATTATAACTATGTTTCACAGTACTTATTATTGGAGGTCCATTATAACTATGTTTCACTGTACTTATTATTGGAGGTCCATTATAACTATGTTTCACTGTACTTATTATTGGAGGCTTATTATAACTTTGTTTCACTGTACCTATTATTGGAGGTCCATTATAACTATATTAATGTAAATGTCTGGTTATAATATGTCTATAATCATGAGTGGAAGATTTAATGTAGGGGGCACATCCCCCTTAAAATATTCAAATTTGAGATAAATCATAATGCTACCTAAAAGACATTCTCTCCCTACAAAATCTCTAGAATCCAGGACCTTCTGGGTACTTCACCTCCTGGGCTCCCACCTGGGTTTTGTCCTGCACCCACTTGGGGACTCAAAGACAGCCCTCAGATGCCCTGGCTAATCAGCCCCCTTCCCCAACTTCAAATCCTGTTTCTGCCCTGATCATTCAAGTCAGAGTCTGGTTCAGACTTGTGATACCATGGAATCACCAAAATTTGTGGGTACCAATTTTTGTGGATTGCTTAAATTTTACAGGTTTGTTGGGAAATAATTTCATGTATTCACTCATATCTCCAAAAGGAAATATGACTTGAACCCATATTGATTTGTGGAGGATGTATATTCATGAACGATACCAAACATTCCATGAATATTCAGCCACCAGAAAATCTAATGATTCCACAGTACACTTACAATATTCTGGTAGTAATACCAAGATATATGTTTAAAATTTTTTGTGGTTATTACCTAAGTGATATATGTCGAAGTCTGGTTTAGATGTGGTTTAAAATTTCTGGTTATTACTTTGGGATACATGTTACAGTCTGGTTTAGATGTGGTTTAAATTGTCTGGTTATAATACCTTTGTTATTTTGTGCTAGCTGTGGATATTACCTTTGGGATACATATTAGAGTCTGGTTTGGCTGTGGTGAGCTTTGGAAGTTTATATCTGTGTTATTTGTGCTAGCTGTGGATATTACCTTTGGGATACATATTAGAGTCTGGTTTGGCTGTGGTGAGCTTTGGAAGTTTATATCTGTGTTATTTGTGCTAGCTGTGGATATTACCTTTGGGATACATATTAGAGTCTGGTTTGGCTGTGGTGAGCTTTGGAAGTTTATATCTGTGTTATTTGTGCTAGCTGTGGATATTACCTTTGGGATACATATTAGAGTCTGGTTTGGCTGTGGTGAGCTTTGGAAGTTTATATCTGTGTTATTTGTGCTAGCTGTGGATATTACCTTTGGGATACATATTAGAGTCTGATTTAGCTTTGGTGAGCTTTGGAAGTTTATATCTGTGTTATTTGTGCTAGCTGTGGATATTACCTTAGGGATACATATTAGAGTCTGGTTTAGATGTGGTGAGCTTTGGAGTGTTTATATCCGTGTTATTTGTGCTAGCTGTGGATATTACCTTTGGGATACATATTAGAGTCTGGTTTAGCGGTGGTGAGCTTTGGAATGTTTATATCTGTGTTAGCTGTGGATATTACCTTTGGGATACATATTAGAGTCTGGTTTAGATGTGGTGAGCTTTGGAATGTTGATATCTGTATTATTCACACTAGTTGCTGTGGTTCGCTCCTTTTTCTTGCGGTTCTTTCTATGCCGTATGTTGTGCTTCAGTATTTTTTTCGGTACTGCAAAAGCAACACAAAGAACATGTCACGTACAAAAAAAGTTGATAGAAATATCAGTACAAGTACATGAACTATTGCAACTGAATCATAATATGGGGTCAGCAATTGATTTCAGTAAAAATAATATTAAAATATCACACTTACTAAATAATTACTTTAACCACTTCATTCTGCTAACTGTTCTAGTAAAAATTTAATGATTGTCTCCCTTTGTTAGTATATTACCAATTTTGCTTTTATTTTTGACAGTATTTACTCTCCTCAAAACAGCTAGTAAATAAACTATGGATAAACAGTATATAACATTTATAATTAGTGCAATCATGAATTAATGAAATGCATCCTGAAGCAACTCTAAGGCTCCAGAAAAACATAATTAAGGAGTTACTAAGTTTTGTTGTCCCCAAGAGTTTTCAATAATGAGATTTGACTGTAGATATATTTTTTTCTGAATTGAAATGAATTTGAGAATGTGAATATAAATGGATTTTATGTTTCCTTCATATGATACATGTATATTGACTTGTATTAAATTAAAACTTTAGAAACATGAATCATTATAGCTACAAGTTCTGTCATTTATCAGGTGGCGTGACTCCACAAGTCACCTAGCAATCAGTTTTATTCTCAAACAGTTTACAAAAGAGCAATTTTAATGAACCTTAAACCAATACAAAATTCCTAATATTATATAATTCTAGCTTACAATTTCCTTCCACCCCCCAGTAAATCATACACTTCCACACAATGTTTGCCTTTCTCTAACACCCACCTGTTAGCTAGTGAGAGATTTGTTATGATTCTATAGATATGCAGTTCTTCCTGCACGATCTGTGTTTGTTTTAGTTTGATTAAGTTGTTGGGTATTATAGAATGCTTTTAAACCAACTCCTACTTGTGATATCTCCAAAGTTGTGTTACATCATAATGCTATGCAAACAAAAATCACAATTAATTCCAATATATAAGCCCACTTAGAAAGATAGTGACACCTTTGAAGAAGAAGATTAATATGAATTATCAAAAAATTCATAAGATTCTGCCAGGAATTCAATCAGAAATATTAATATCTGAAGGAATTCCGTAACATGTACCTAATGTTGAATTCAAAACACATTCAAACATTCTTCATTTGTCATGCATCTTTCAAAGTAACAATGTTAGGAGCTCAAGAATTTATTTCCTTTCATTTGTGAATCAAAGGCACTTTTTATTGGACGTCCAATGGAATTTTGCCCATAAAAGGGTTGTTTGAGTTAAACACCATGATCCATTAATGTGTTTTAAGTCCAATACAATTTGTCTGTGTTGAAGTGTTATTTTTCCATTTTGGATGCTGCATTACAGCGAATACATTTCATTCATGAAATCTGATGCTTGACTGCATATTAATAGCCGGGCTAAATTTGGACTGTTTACTTAACTCTTAAAATGCTTGGGGTCAAATTTTAGTGACATTGTTATATACCTTAAGAATCATTTTACATCCTCAGCTTGATAGGGCATGGTTATTTATGCTGCCACAAATTTAATCATTTCAAAACTTAATTAAATTTAAAAATCTATTTCTAAAATATATGTGATCTACTAGCAAAGGAATATAAGCCACAAAGTATTGTGAAGGGACACATTATATATAAATAATTTATTGAAAGGATGGAAGATAATACTTATGAATTTTCAAGGCCACACAGACCACTAATGAAAGTGAAATACTACTAGCTGCTTTGGAAAAATTAATCATTCAGATTTTCTAACAAAGGACACTTCCTAGTTGAAAAAATGAGTGAGATAAAAAATGAACAGGGAAACTAGTCAAACCTTCTGATCTTAAACTCAACAAACTGAGAAAAAAAAAAGAGATATCTAAAAATTAAAGATATCAAAGTTGAACACATAAAAACTAGAGGCCCACAGGCCACAATGCTTACCTGAGTAACTAATTGCCATTCTTGATTTTCATCAGCAAATTCTTTTTTTCCTATATATTCCTAGTATGTAAAACTTAGATCACCTATTGAAGTCCCATTCTACCCTGAGTGTCACGATTTGAACAAACTTGAATCTACACTACCTGATGATGCTTTCATATAAATATGACTAATCATGGCTTTCCTGCTCTTGAGAAGAATTTTTAAAAGAATTTTTCTATGTCTTCCTATGTAAAACTTTGATCCCCATTGTGACCCCATCCTACCCCTGAGGGTCATGATTTGAACAAACTTGAGCATACACTACCTGTGGATGATTCCATGTAAATATGAAAATGGCTTTGCTGTTCTTGAGAAAAAGATTTTCCTATGCTCTTACGTTTTCCTATGTAAAACTCTGATTGCCCATTGTGGCATCCACCCTCCCACAGGGATCATGATTTGAACAAACTTGAATATATACTACCTGTGCATGCTTCCATATAAATATGACTGATCATGATTTTGCTGTTCTTCAGGAGAAGATTTTTCCTATATATACATGTACCCATGTAAAACTTTGATTGCCCCATTGTAGCCCCACCCTACCCCCTATGGTTATAATTTGAACAAACTTGAATCTACACTATGTCAGGAAGTTTCACATAAGTTCTGGCTTAGTGGTTCTTGAGAAGATGATTTTTTAATGACCCCACCCAATTTTTACTTTTTCTTAATTATCTCCCCTTGGAAGAGGGTGTGGCTCTTCTTTTGAACAAATTTAAATTCCCTTCACCCAAGGATAGTCTCAGCCAAGTTTGGTTGAAATTGGCCCAGTGGTTTTGGAGAAGAGGATGAAATTGTAAAAAGTTAGCAACAACAACAGCGACAACAACAACAGATATAGGAAAAAGCTCATTTGAGCCTTTGGTTCAGGTGAGCTAAAAAGGTGCTTGGGACTTCCAACTCACTTTGTGAGATATCGAAGTTCAACTGTATAATCATTAGCAAAACAGGAAGTTGAGGTGAAATGACCCATCTTTATACAGCAAAATTCTATTTCAGTGGGGAGAGGGTCATTCTCTTTAATTCAAATCCAAGTGAGATGAACATAAGACATCTAAACAGATATGGTCTCATTAAATATTACGTAGAGTATATAAAGTATTTCAATATATCAAAAGGTGTTTCCATTGACTCAAATCTGACATCATCCCTTATTGCCTTGATTATGTTATATATGCAAGTTTTATGACCATTCTAACAACTTAGCATGCCAACACTAGCCAGTGAGACACTTTATCTGTGATGTAATGCATGGCCCCATACATCGTGTAAAATCCACTTCCTTTACACAAAGGTCAAATGAAAGAGGGACCCCTTTTCTCGAGTTTTCAATAGAACTGCATACATTATGCCACTAAAACCAGAGTTTGGGGGTAATATCTTATAAGAAAATGCTGATCTGTACTCTGAATCATTTCATTGTTGATAAATAATTCAGAACAGATATATGATGAATTTGAAGTGATAAGAAATATCAGTACCCCCATATCTAGTAATTATATATATACACTGCTCTACTTTATAGCTGAAATGTATATAAATCTACATTTCCAGAAGTATCTCTACAGAATTATTAGTATCAAAACATAAGATTACATAAAAAGTATACATAAAAGCATAAAAAAAACTTTAACTACATGCATCAAATGTGAAGTGCATGTATGAAAGAGGAGGATTATGGTAGCTGTCATGAAAACTTTTCAGCTTATCATGTGACTAAAGAACTTTGAGGTATTAAGAAAAATCCTAGGTCCTTTGTGGACTTTGTATATAATGTCTTTGAGGTACCAGTATTAAGGAATTTCTCAGGCTAATTCTCATGGACTTTACACTTACCACATGTATAAATGACTTTGAGGTATTTAGGAATTTCTGGGGGGCAGGGATTGCCGAACACATACTCCTCCACATCTATGGCACAGCGATTGCGGCCATGACACTTCTTCATTACTTTCTCCACAGCAGTATTGGACCGGCAGTCTGAAAATCATTAATATTGATATTTTACCATTCAGCATAGCAAATATTCCATGAGCACTAGTTTTTTTTTTTTTTTTTTTTTTTAAAGACATTTCAAAATTTGAAGAATCTGTTATGGAAACTTTTATCAACAGGTGGCTGCCAACATACTTCCTGTTTTCTTTGAAGAAATGTATACTCAGGATGTAAATATATCTACAACACAAACCTAGCTATGTTTCTAGAGGATCAAGAATTTATTTCTGTTAAATGAATCTGTTTAGATTTTCTTTATGTTTTCACTTTGACCCCACTTGGTTCCCATTCTTTCTCTAGAGGCCATAGTTTAATACTTTTCACAGTGGTCATGATCGAATTTATGCACTATCCTAGCTTGTGAGAATGCCACAGAAATATAAATCCTGCTAAAATATTACATATCTGAATGTAAGCACCATGATATTAGTACATACTGAATTTGTATCATGAGAACTAGAAGGTCTTTCTAAATGAAATACACCCCCATGAATGTCGACTTTCATTCAGGTGAGCAGCAAAGCTAATATTGTACTTTGATGTAAATCTACTTTAAGTTATCAATTATTAAAAATGGAATTTTGATGCCAGTATCAAAGAGACTAAACACCTATATAGTAAATGGTTGAGTTTTATTATTGTTTTCCACTTTCTTAAACACTTGTTAAACTGTTGAAATACAATCATCATTTGTTGTTACACAACATATAGTAGTGCTAGTGTTTAAATTTGTTGGAGACAAGAACTATAATGTGGAAAATGATGTAAAATTTAATAAAACGATTATTGACTTTTAAATTTGGTCTACTTGTGACTATACAGACCTGGTCATATATTTGTTAACCTCAGCCTTTAGCCTCGGTCAACCAATACCTGACCAGGTCCATATAGGCACAAGTAGACCAATCAAAAGTCAATAACTGTATAATAAATTGCATCAATTTTACATATTTCTAGGACACATATGGCCCAGCTATGTTAGTAGCCCTAGCACCAAGCAAGTACCTGCTGGGATGTTACCAGAACACAGAGATGTGTCCTGTGGTAATCTTCCATATATGGCATCACTGATGACGATTTTCAGCGGCTTTTGGCACCTTATAATCATCTGCTTCCCATCACAGACAGTCATGTTAGAAAAGTCGCCTACAAAGGAAAAGAAAACCATTAAGAGCCTTCAATCAGGGGAGGACTTATGACCATCCTATAGAGATTAGGCTGGTGATATATGTGATGTCTAGACCCTTGGTGAATTATTACTGCATATGCTAGAGACGTGATTTGGTCTGCTGGATGGATAATGAGATTTTGAATGTTTTTCTTTAATTCCTGTTTTTTTTTTATTTTGGTCATCCATGACATGTACAAACAGAATTTCCTCTCCCCTTCCTTGTAAAACGTAAAGAGAGAAATGACTTTTACATGTGAAATATCCCTTTACATTGTTATCAGATTTGTACAAGGGGCAAACAATGAGCATGTGACATGTGTAAAAATATGCTTACAATTATGTTTGATGCCTAAAAACCAGAATTATAGCTTAGTTATCTTGACATGAACACAGTTCCATGCATGTATATATATTGTACTGACATACTGTTAATCGAAGTACTATAGCAATTGTATTTTAATTCCAATGTTAAGAGAAAAAGAGATTCCATGCAGCTACAAACTTTTAAATAAATTCCTTCATAAAGAACCACCTTGGATGATAACAAGGGAGTAATTATCTGAGTAATTAATTCTATAAGATAAAGAGAGAAGGGAAGAATAACTCTGGTAGCCTCCCTATAGTTCGGGGTCCTCTATCATAGCATGCCCCCACTATCTACGTATAACTCACACCGACAGATTACAAACTACAGGCTTCTGGGAAGATACCCTAAGAATTATCGTATCTGTGTTTTACTTTTTTTTTACAATGTTGACTTGGTGCAGATCACACTTGTGAATGAAAGAGTTGGCACTGTCTCAGTTCCATGAACATATCCAAGATGTAAATTGAGAACAAATTAATCTAACTTTTTTTTTTTATTATTTTATTTTGCTGATGACAAATCATTTCAAGGAAATGCTTTATCTTGAACATGAATGTATGTGTAAACAAGATAATGTTCATTAATCAGTGGTTTTTCCCCCCAAATTTCAAACCTTTTAGATCATCCATAAATAAATTGGATGTTATGATAATGTTACTAAATAGCTGTTTAGTGAGACTGTCTGAGTTTCTGATTCCTGGTTTATCTTATAGATGATTAAGTGAAATGTACCGTCTATTGGTGTGTTTTTAAGTTTATTTTGACTTTTGATTACATTAGGGTAAGATCCATGTCTGGTAAATATGCAGATAAACTATCTTTTTTAGCTCTCATGTTAAGATTTTTTGTACAATGGCATGCAGCAATCGAACATCACAATTTTGAGAAATTCATTTAAAATAGTTATGATCTAAAATCTCTATCAAAATGCTGTTCCTTAAATCCTTCAAAGTAAAGCTCTTAGAATTTTTTAAATAAAACTTTTATAATGATTAAGTTATGAAATTAACTTCCAATTCCCCACTTTTCAAGGTCACAGAAACTATGATCTGCACTTGTCCAAATCACAAGGTAAAAACAGGAAACAAGACTAAGATTACACAGCATAGGGAAGATTCATTTCTCTTCCTACATTAAGCTGGTAATACCCTCTCTCTCCTCAGACAATCTATCTTAAGGATGAGTTTTACATCTGCAGCATTCTAAATGGGCAGTGTTAACATACACTGAGAGGAGAAGATCTTAAATTCAAATGTACTGCCAAACGCACTGAAAAGAACCCCTTGTAATGAAATCAGGAATGCATTAAACTCTTACAAATACATTTCATTCCCAGTTTATGCATCTTCCATGCTTACACTTTTGTCAGATATATCCTCCTCCCTATTTTATGGCTACACCTCTGTTCGGCTGAGGAAAATTAAATAACAGTTAATAGGTGTATTTAGTACAAAGCTTGAATTGATGGAAGGGTCTTTTTCTAGGAATCTTATTTTTGATTACCCTACCATAGCCAAAGGAAAGTTGATGTAATCTCTCTTTGGAGTTTGGTATCTTAATATTAAATTGGGTGGCCATCTAATTTTTATCTTGTGAAATAAAGGGAGAAGTTATCGACATTTAGTAACATAACATACAGAGAAATGGGTCTGCATCTGTATTGTTAAAACCAAGGTTCCCAAAAAGACCCACATAGTTTATATCTGTAGGAGGCCTGGAGTATCAGGAAGTTGGCTATAGGACTGACTTATTTGGGTTATATCTGTTGGAAGTTTGGAGATACCTGGATGTTGAGTAAAGGGACTGACTTATTTGGGTTATATCTTTTGAAGGCTAAAGATATCAGGATAGTCTATGACAGGGAGTCAAGTATAAGGACTGACTTATTTGGGTTATATCTGTAGGAGGCTAAAGATATCAGGATAGTCCATGACAGGGAGTCAAGTATAAGGACTGACTTATTTGGGTTATATCTGTAGGAGGCTAAAGATATCAGGATAGTCTATGACAGGGAGTCAAGTATAAGGACTGACTTATTTGGGTTATATCTGTAGGAGGCTAAAGATATCAGGATAGTCCATGACAGGGAGTCAAGTATAAGGACTGACTTATTTGGGTTATATCTGTAGGAGGCTAAAGATATCAGGATAGTCTATGACAGGGACTCAAGGACTGACTTATTTGGGTTATATCTGTAGGAGGCTAAAGATATCAGGATAGTCCATGACAGGGAGTCAAGTATAAGGACTGACTTATTTGGGTTATATCTGTAGGAGGCTAAAGATATCAGGATAGTTCATGACAGGGAGTCAAGTATAAGGACTGACTTATTTGGGTTATATCTGTAGGAGGCTAAAGATATCAGGATAGTCCATGACAGGGAGTCAAGTATAAGGACTGACTTATTTGGGTTATATCTGTAGAAGGCTTGGAGATATCAGGATGTGACTAGGACATGGACTGACTTATTTGGGTTACATCTGTGGGCATGTTGGCTAGCCAAGTGTTTCTGATATGCTTCTCTTCTGTGGGAGACTGAGAGATATCATGTCTAAGACAGATATACTTAGGCTGCATAAATATGAGTCTGAAAGATATTGTCTAAGAACATGAGTCTAACTGACTTGGGTTACATTTGTAGGAACCAATGAGATATCTGAATGTCTAAAGAAATGGATCTGCCTTATCTGTATAATGTAGGACAAGTATCTAGATACTTAACTTGGGACATGGGTCTAACTTACCGGTACTTGGGTTATATTTTTAGGATACTTTGATATATTTGGATGTCTTGGGTCATAGATCTGACTTACTTGGGTAACATTTGTCGGAAACTTTCAATTATTTGGATGTCTTATTTTAAAAAATCTGACTTACTTGGATTACATTTGTAGGAAACTTTGAGATATTTGGATGTTTTGGGACATGGGTCTTGTCTGAATGTGTAGGTGCTGGCAGTGACTTTGCATTGTCGTCTGTTTTGGCAGCTATCAAACAAAACCTGATTCAGAAATGAAATAAAAAGTACATTAATATAATTGTGTACTAAAAATAATAAATTCAGTAATCTCAGAAGGTGAAATAATTATGAGTATGTTGAAAATTAAGAGGAAATCCAATAAATCTTATTAACCACTTAAAATCAAGAGAAAAACAAATTAAATTTCTTAGCTTCTTGTGCAGAAAAAAAAGCAAAAGAGCAAAAACCCCACCTTTCATGGACAATTCATTAATGTCAATTCAAAATGCAAGACCTTTTGAGTTCTTATTTATAGTACCATTGTGTATATCTATGCAATTTCATAATGTTAGGGTTAAACTTAAAATTAAAGGCAACCTCACTCATATAAAATAAAAATCTCCTCTAGATGGCACCATGTACATTAAAAAAAACAACAAAAAAACTAGAGAATTAATCAAAATTACATATGGTAATTCAAATACAAAGCCAGATGGAATGGTGTACAACACTGAAGCTTGAACAAAAGGCTTCAAGTTCTACATAATTAGCAGACTCTACAAACATAGGAGCATATGGCCAGTGTTTAACCCCAGTCATCCTTGGGGGGAAGGTGTTTTGAATCATAAACAAATCCTGACCTCAAACGACCTTTAACAACTCAGACTACGTGTTGCTCAGATTTTATACTCGTGCGAGTCCCTATGTACTCACTGCACTAGATGGAGAGATGGGGTTAGCTTGAATAACAAACAATTAAATTATATTATTTGATTAAATGTAATATTGCTTATTATAAGTTACCTTCAGGGGATATTTAACAAATTAAATACTTTAATTCTATACACTGCCCACAGAAATGTATTATGTAAATTCTGCCTTATTCTTAAATTTATGGTCAACAAATAAAGTGTCATTTTTTCTTTCAGAAAAGAAATACTGAATTACTTACTTACAGATAAATATTGATGCTAGATACATAAGTTTGCCATCTCTTAGCAATTGCAAACTCTTCTCAATTATAAAGAGCATCATTAAAATATTATTAATTTTATATGTGTTTTAAGAATAAATAACAGACATATTTAATATACTGAGTCTTTGTAAGAATAGAAAAATCATGAAATCTTTCTAGCAACACTTCTAAATGTTAAAACATTGGAATAAGCTTAATAGTGTGGATTTTTGCCAAATTTGCATCGTCACTAAAGTACATTAAAAGAAAGCTAACATGTTTAAGCATAATTACTCATTAATTGCTCTTAAGTGTCTCTAAGAATGTTATGTAATGAGTGAATTAATGACACATTCAATCACTTGAATTTTGAGTACTTTACAAAATGAAGACAGTGTGTGCTAAAAGAATTCATAGCCACCACCTATGATAAGCATCACATGGATTTTTTCTGGTAAATATAGATAAATGATGTTCCTATAAAAAGCTGCAAATTCAATAAAGCAAAATAACAAACAAGAGCAGGACCCCCCTCCCCCTCCCCAATGCCTTTGATATGTATAATCAAATTCCCTTTATTGTCACCATTCACCAATCTGGTCAGTGGTAACAGCTTCCACACCTGAACAATACACCTTGACTTTATGACAGCTAAGCACACCTGTTGTATCTATAACTCTACTCACCATAACAATAGCAATGTACACATAAACATGTACATGAATATTCCCAATCTTCATAATGAACAGCCTGCCATGAAATCTACCCTCTTTCAATGTAGCTTCCCCCTATATATGGGGAACAATATCCATTGCGTTCAATGGTTCAATATACATTCAAACTTTATCACAATGGCTGTTTTTTTAATTCACTTCAGAAGTGTTCTGACAAAAAATCACACACACACTAGCAGAAAACCCCTCCAAATTGGGGTCACATTTAAAGGAGGTTTTGTCACTCTAATCAGAGTGTAGATAAACAAATTTCATGAAGACTTCATCAAGTTCTACATGTTTCTTCTTCCACAGAAGAGATGATCTAACACACACGAATCATAAATCCCCTGGCTATGTAAAAAACAAACCACTGCAGTTAAAACTGACACTTTCCACAAAACACACCTTTTCTGAAGTCCCAATAAAAAAGGCAGGGGTGTTAAAGAGGTTTTTCCGTCAAATCACACAATAATAACAGATTTAGAAGCTTATCTTCAGATATATCAATAAATATTGAATTAGTGTTTCTTTCAAATGGATAAGCAAATAGGCATCTGGACTTTTATCTCAAGTCATTTCAGCACAGCATGAGGGCACCTTACTTAAGGATCTGTCAAGAAATTGAGTGGTCACTAATTCTTCAAAATACTCAATGTCCACTTCTGAGGAATCAGTAGAGAGGATCAAGAGGTGCTGCAGAGAACTCAGATGGATTAGTTCAACATTAGAAGATGACATGGAATACCCTCCATGGGGAAACACTATATACGATTTAGGATATTGTTCTGGCAACCACTCTCTCTAAAATGTAAGGGGCTTCTCACTTATGGCAAAGATGATCACCATCTAAACTCCATATATCAGACATGAATTATACATATTACTGGACCAGTTTCTATAGTGATGCAGATCTCCAAAGATGTTTTTTTACTGGGTAGTAGCCAGCAATTATTACTGGTTTTACTAGACGAGACTCTGACACTGACATGTAATTTCCAAAGAAATCCTTGGTGTGTAGTCAGCTATCAATACAGGAATTCCCAGGGGCACTTTGTGACACTCTATGTGCACCTCAGCACCTCTTAAACCTATTTAACTGTCTGATATCATAGACAGTATTTATCCAACAATCTGCAGATGGTTAATTCCTGATCTTTGCAAAAATATGCCTTATTTCTTGCACAAATTAATTATTGATCAGTTAAAACACCATTTTAATTCAGACACAAAACTGCAGAGGAGAAACAAAAATTCTCAAGTCTGCTGGCAGAAGAAGAAAGAGAGCCTCACGGAGATAAACACAGGGAATCAATGGCAGTGGGTAGTGATGGCAATTTGATGAGGTTTTATTATTCTGAAGTGCAAACATGCCTCACATTCTCCGCATCACTGAACTAAGACATTGATCCAGATCCCTGCGTACTAGAGAATCTCTCCAAATTGATTCTGCATAGTAGTTCTTTATCAACAGATTCCGAATTCCAATAGATCCAGATTTTCTGCATTGATGTGTGTCAATGAGTTTATATTGATTCAGAGGTTGGCATTTAAAGCATCAGCTCTCAACAATGTAAGGCCATAAAACGACTTAATAATCACCTTCCATGTCACCATCAACACAAAAATTTGCCCCTTTTTCAAAAAAAAAAACTTGTTTCTCAAGTTATTCTTGAATGGATGAATATCCATTATTATACAAATTGTTTAACGTATGTTTTTTTTTTCCCATTCAGCTTGCAAAGTGGCAATGCCAAAGTTTTCACCAATTAAATTTGCACTTTTAGCTTAAAGGTTTTATACATAACAAGAAGATACATATTATCCTTCAAAGAGATTATGAAAAAACAGCATAACACAAAGAGGTGTGCAAACTTTTCTGGGTTTTCATTCAGAAAAAATCCAGCTGAGGTCAATTTCTTAAAGATATGTTATTCAGATAATGGTAAACCTTCACAGTCAATTTGGAAAACTTTATGAAAAAGCACACAAAAGCACATTAAGGTCTTGCTGCCTTGGTGCATTAAATGAATTCAGAACACAGATCTAAAGAATGTTGGAGACTTTAATTTGACAGCAAGGTATCATTGATTTTTGGTCCGAAGGCCACACAAGATTTTTAGTCTCTCCCTTGCTACCATTTATACTTCCGCGAGAGCGTCCAAATTTGATCCTCAGCAAATCGATGATTATCCAGTCCCTAATCCCTTGTTATAAAAGCACCAGGGATCATCTTTCCCTCTGTTGGAATGCTGTTTGATTAGAAACGGATTTTAAATTTTCTCATTAAGATGAGAAAGATCGAAAGGCATACTCTAGCATGTCAAATGTCATTAAAAAGGTTCCTCAGGTACTTTTGTGATAATTATCCCAGTAACTAAAACCATGCACATGGAGCAGAAAACATGGCTTCCGATTTTTCAAATCAATCAAGTTTCTTTTAATCTTTTCAATCCAAAGTAAAAATGCTTTTAGGAGACTTTGAATTCCTCCATGAAATAAATATACTCAAGCACTCCTCTTTTGTCAATTAAATGGGATTTAAACAAAACACATGAAGCTATGAATGGCAGTAATTTGTATTCAGATCGAGTGTAAATTAGCAGATATCCCGTCTTTTAATCTGAAAGTCCAAAGTTCAAAAGGTGAGAAGAACTTTCATTTTCCTAAATGTCGGAATATTCAAATTTATGTCCATATAAATTGATAAACAAGTGTCTTGCTGACTCCTGTATTCTATTTAAATCTGTGAATACAAAATATATAGTTCACCACTTTTCAAACTCTCCATTTCCCAGGCTGCCCCTCCATTCAAGAAACTTTATACCGGAAATGTTTTAGAAAGGACGGCACATTCCTGGGATGATTCCAGTGTCTTTGAAATTTTTTTTGTTTCCCTTAAACACATCAATTCACAAAGGGGTAGGGCTAACAAATCATTCTCTAAGCCCTAACACTTGACAATGGTGACCTGGTCGGTCAAAGATAGTCTTACCATTCAGCCCTGTTTATTCCATTCGTGACTTTGTACCCCTAATCCTTTAGGTATTCTGATCTTCTGAAACATTAACCTGTTTCCAATTTGTAAAACTATACACAGCACACCTACATGATTAAATATGCCAATTTTTTTATTTTAAAGCTCCCTTTTTTTATTTAATGAAAAGAAAAAGCAGACTTTTATTTTCTTATCAAGAGATCTGGCGGACAAAGTTGCCAATCATAGAGAAGTTTAGTATACTTGAACATACACTGAAAAAATAATCAATAGAGATTTTAAAGTGATAACACTATCAAATTTTAAATTGTACAAATGTTTATTGTCGATTCAAAACCTTGAATTAAAAACTAGTTACCACCAAAATAAAACATAAATTTAAACAATTATCAAATATGTTGCATTGTAAGTGTAAAGCCCAATAGAATTTAATGATTTTTAACTGATTTCAGTGATTTTGTGCTATATTTATTGTTTAACTGTGTGAAACTGACACATGGCATGTAAGAATTAATGACATTATCTACATTAGAGATCTGTTCTTTGCAGTTCTAAATCATTTGGTTCAAAGGACTTCTAAATACTTACTTTGAAAGCTGTCAACACACAAAATATCTGTTATCGCCTTGTCAATTAAAACTTATACTTAATATAATTCTAATGGAAAGGGAGGCTATGCAAGCTAAATGAATAGATCTGTGAAAAATTCCTAGAGAGATATGTTCAAATATCAGAATCAAAGGTTTGTTAAAGAAGTAGTAAAAAGCATTCAGCAAGCTTAAGATGGTAAAATGCATCTTGCAACACAAGCTTCATTACATTTGCTACTATAAAAACTTTGATTTTATTCAAAATGCAAAATATCATACACTGAAATGGGATTAAAAATTGTATTCCAATTACATGTATATATGGACCCATATATCAAACCTTGAAATATTGATTAAGAAATTAAACTTTCTAAGATATTCAAATATTTTCCTTTTTGTCATCACCCTAAAAAATCTATAATTTCTTTTTATCACTTTATAGGACATCATTGAGAAACTTTGAATGAAATATTAAACTTTATGCAGTTAAACTTATTCAAATTCATATAAAATTATATATTAACATAGATTTACTTGTTATTTTCATCATTTTCACTTATTAAATCTAATGAAATTTTACTGGATGTGTTACACCTCCCTAAAGGAACTAAAGGTACATCACATGTGTGGCCTCAGAAAAATCCTAATCTAGATACACCCTGAACAATTAACTTCACCTGTCCCGCCTTTTACTGTGTCAGTCTCACCTCTAAATGTTTGGTCCACCACCATTTTATAACACTTCTTCACAGGACACAGACTGCATTAACTTTGATTTATCCCCCATATACAATGGTCAAAATATGAGAAAGATGACACTGCTAGAGGTTCCCACACATCCCTAACTTTCTTATAGGGGTTAATATACCTTGACCCACTTTATTACCTGCTCAGGAAAAGTTATGGTAAATTGAGGCGGGGGGTTATGGGTAGGGATAAGAGGAGGAGATTTATATCATAATACAGATTGTGTATAGATCCACTGTACATTTACACAGATTGCTCTGAGTTTATCAAAATGTAAGATTTTCAGAATGTTTTTCTCCAAACGTTTCAAGGACTGCAGGATATACTTTAAAGAGACCTCAAGTCAGATTTATTTTTTTTTCAATTTGATCCACACTTGCAACATAACTGTTAAAATCCTCATGTTCTCTAAATTCTAACAACGTAAAAAAGAAAAAAAAGACATTGCATAAGAAGCACCCTTTGAGTTTGGTTTGAATTACACTGTAAAATGTTTACAGAAGATCAAAAGTGCAACAAGATCCCAAAGTAACAAAAGGGACATGCAACATCTCTTTGGAAATGGGCCCAGGAAGTAGGATAGTTGGAAATCCTTACTACCGTAATCAAGTGTAATTATCATGTTTAAATGATGACAATTGAGGATTCATGAGAGATAGGTGATGACAAAACGTAATTCCTATTACCGTGTGCTGCATATAGACCTAGGAACATAGGATGGTAAACAATGCATCATGTTTGCGAAGTTGAAATTCGATTGTCTCCTGCTGAAATTTTCACCTGTTACCTCAGTTATCAAGATAAGTGTTAGTTACCTGGATTGGGTAGAAATGCGTAAAAAGATACCTTTACTGAAACCCATGGAGAAAACGGTTATCAGGAAGATTAAAAGAATTTTTTTGAAACTTTTTTTGGATAGCTGAGTGCATTTGATGAAAACCCACCCACTTTATTCCACACAGAGCATGACATGTTTCAGTATATGCTTAAACCCTGTATGCTTTAATTGATTGGATATCATAAATGATATCTTTCTCCCAGAATCCCCCCCCCCCCCCCAAAAAAAAAAAAATGATTATAAAAGAACTACTTAGCTCCATCTTTATCTAATCATATTGTTATGTTTGTTATTCCTTTTATGCAAGTTTGGTTTGAGTGACAAATTTTTGTCTGCTATCTGTTGAAATCGACACTTTGACGTGATTGATTTGGCTTTGGCGTAGATTAGTGGGTTATTACAATCACCTGACAAATCTCAGATCTACCTGGGACCAAAGCAAATAAAGGACACATGACAAAAAATAAACAGCATTCTCTAAATATAAATGTTGCTGGTCAATCTGTCTTGAATTCTGTTTAAGCATGTACTAAAAATACTGGAAATGGA